TGTGGATTTTAGAATATTTGCATGAAAATCTGTCGCCAATTGGATGGAAACCTAGCTACTGTCATAAAAGTTGTCTCCTTCAAAAGAAACAATTCACAAAAATGTATAGTTTAAAAAAAAAATCCTGTATTGTCCTGATATGGAGTGTTGTGGAAAATCAATCAGAAATCAAAATACTTTCAGAGTTTTTGTTGCAACAAAAATGACTTTATTAGAGTTTCAACAAAGTCAGGCCGGTCTGCAGAGTAGCCCCGCCTCTCTCTTGCTCTCCCTCTATATATACCCCCTTCCGTCTCCCTCTTCACTTAAAATCCCTCCTCCTACAGTTTCCCGCTCTTTTCCACTCCACGCCCACTTCCTTTGTCTCTGAGGGCGGCTAAACTCGACTTTTATTATGCACATAGTACTCCAACCAATCACTCACTCCCCTGTCTTGCACACACACTCATGTTTAGTTTAAACATGACAAGGCCCTAAATCCTTGAAACATACACAAACCCCACCCCATCATGCTGTAATCAATCAAGAAGATACCAAGGAGACAAAGGTCTAGCCTTAACTCCATTCAACCCTGGTGCCGCTCCCTTCACGGTGTTTGAAGAGAGAGACAAAAGGCCACAAGCTAGTTTCAGTCTCTCATCAGATAAGACAGCCATGGATTTAAGTAAGAGCAAGCCATTTGACCCTAGGGCAGATTCCCTCTACACCCCCCCCCCCCCCCCCTCCCTTTGACACAGACCCACAGTTCACTCTCTCACCTGACACTACTAATCCAGGTCCTCGCGGATGCTGAGCTTAGTTCCACTCCCCTGCACAATGGTGCCATTATGGGGAGTGAGGAGACAGTGGCAAACTCCCCAGTCCGCTCTTGATGCATTCCTCAGCATCATGGAGAAGTCCCCAGCAACGGGATTCCCGGAGAGGAATGCCCGGCCTGTAAACGTATCCTCAGACGTCTGGTTTCCCTCCAGTATGGTGTGCCTCTCCTCGTGCCCATGGTGCACCCACTGAACCTCAACCCCATCTGGGTCACCCTGGGTCACCTCCAGACAGCAAGCAGAAGAAGACCACATTGTCTCCCGCCATCGCATTCTCTTTATTGGGCTGCTGCTGCACCATAAGGCCCCCCTCCTCCACAATGCCCCCAGTGTCTTCCACAACTCCCTCCTCCTCCACAAGGACCCCCTGCTCAACAAGGCCCCCCTCCTCCACAAGGCCCTCCTCCTCCACAAGGCCCCCCTCCTCCTCCACAAGGCCCTTCTCCTCCACAACCCCCTCCTCCTCCACAAGGCCCCCTCCTCCACAACTCCCTCCTCCTTTACGAGGCCCCCCTCCTCCACAGCTCCCTCCTCTCCACGAGGCCCCCCTCCTCCACAACTCCCTCCTCCTCCATGAGGCCCCCCTCTTCAACAACTCCCTCCTCTTCCACAAGGCCCCCCTCCTCCAAAACTCCCTCCTCCTCCACAAAGCCCTCCTCCTCCACAACTCCCTCCTCCTCCACAAAGCCTGCCTCCTCCACAACTCCCTCCTCCTCCACAAGGCCCCCCTCCTCCACAAGGCCCCCCTCCTCCACAACTCCCTCCTCCACAAGGCCGTCTTCCTCCACAACTCCCTCCTCCTCCACAAGGCCGTCTTCCTCCACAACTCCCTCCTCCTCCACGAAGCCCTCCTCCTCCACGAGGCCCTCCTCCTCCACGAGGCCCTCCTCCTCCACAAGGCCGTCTTCCTCCACAAGGCCGTCCTCGCCCACAAGGCCCTCTTCCTCCACAGGGACATCAGTACAGACATCAGTAGACAGTGAGGTGTTTTCTGTCTCAGAGCCAGGCTCGATAGTGCCGTCACTGCCATGGTGTCTGTTACAGGACCTTCGGTATGGGCAGCATCTTGAGTGGGGTTAAAGCACCAGAGAATCCCCCCTGTCAAAGAGAGGCACAGTTTAGACACACGCACACGCACGCAGGTACACATGCAACCAAATAACTACACCCACTAACACACACACACACAGTCTTGCGCTGCTAACCTTGTAGGGACATACAATTCAGTCCCATTCAAAATCCTATTTTCCCTAACCCTAACCCTAACCTTAACCCTAACCCTAACCAAAAAACCTAACCTTAACCCTAACCCTAAACCTAACCTTAGCCCTAAAACTAACCCTATCTTCTAACCCTAAACCTAATTCTAACCTTAACCCTAAACCCACTAGAAATAGCATTTGACCTTGTGGGGACCAACAAAATGTCCCAAGTTGGTTAAATTTCTCTTGGTTTGCTATTCTTGTGGGGACTTCTGGTCCCCACAAGTATAGTTAAACACGTCCACACACACACACACACACACACACAAACACAAACACAAACACACACACACACCCTCTACACAGATATTGCTCTTCCAACAGTTCACATATTCTAGTAAGGACAACACGGACACCATGGATTTACACAGAAATTACATCTGAGAATAGGCAGCCTAGAAAGACATCACAGCAAATCTGAAAGTGTCAAAATTCTAAAACTGGATTTACAACTTATCTAGAGTATGTACTGCATGTTATTATCATTTGCATAAGTAATACCTTTTTTGGAATATTTTCACATTTTGATATCATGATGGGATTTCAAAGGAAAGGTTAACAGCAAATAAAAACTCTCAGTGGTGGCTTCAAGTCATCACACACAGGCAGATGCCATACAACAACCTCCTCAACTGTATTATGTCTTCACACATAGGCCCACACCAGTGGAGGCTAATGGGAGGAGCTATAGGAGGACAAGCTTATTGTAATGGCTGGAATGGTATAAATGGAACGGTATCAAACATATCAGACATATAGAAACCACACGTTTGACTCTGTTCCATTTATTCCATTCCAGCCATTACAATGAGCCTGTCCTCCTATAGCTCCTCTCACCAGCCTCCACTGGCCTACACTCCGTTCATTCCACTTTTGCTGACAACAGCTGTACATGCTAGTCAGACGTTGCCCTTGTTATTGTCTGCGACTGACTGCATTAACCCCACCAAAATAGATTAGAGAGTCTGTATCTGACAGAGCTTATGTGCTCCAGGCTTTTTAACTGCTGCATGGTTCCGGACTACAGCTTGACTAATGGGAGCATACCCAATAGCCCATGTCAGGGAGAGCTTCATCCTGTGTATTGATCCAGTCCGTCTACACAGCATCACCAGAGTGGACATTACTGTAAAGAGAAAATTCAGCTGTCTACCGATATCCAAATGAACCTGTAGTGTGCGTGTGTGTACGTGTGTGTGTGTGTGTGTGTGTGTGTGTGTGTGTGTGCGCCTATTGTGTGATATGTATAGTGAAATCAAAATATGCACACTTTTGAAATTTGATTTCACGTCATTTACTTGTGCACAATAACGTTTTTGCATAACCCTATAATCAGAATCCCATGTAAACTGGTACAAATTTCATAACTGTTTGTTTTTTTCAACTGTTTGTGTGCATTGTGAGTCGGTAGACAACTGTCTGTTTTGGTTGTTTGCTGCTCATTGTTCTGACACACCTGCCTGGGGCTTGGTTTACTCAGATGCCTCATTTAGGTTAGAGTTATAATTTGTCACCTCTGAATATGCACATTTTTATTTGTCAAAAGTCAATTATCATTTTGTTTATTTTGAGAATAACCTTACATCAGAAAGCACTGCTTTTGTATAACTGTACCTATAAACATAAAGTGTTTAACTGGAGTTATACATGACCAGGGCATAGATACACTTAGAGTTGGATTCCTGCTTCCCATCACACACACGCTTGACTCCTCCAGAGTCTTCTCTGTGAGTGAAGAGTGGGGATGGGTCATGTTGCTGGCTGGAGGAAATATGATTCTGAAAGGTGGGTGTGTCCCACAGATCTTCCCACTCTCCTGTATGTCGTCTGTCTTGTCTCCCACACTAACTCAAGTGTAGATTATCAGGGCTGTTGTTGGACTTCTTAACACCTCAGTGTTATCATCCATGGAAAAGGACACCCATGCCACACTCTCCATCTAGCTACAGCAACACCAGGCTAAAGTTACCTAAAGTTACAGCAAAACAAAACAGCACACAAGCTTACCAAACCAACAATTCGGCAGCTGTGAAACCAAAATGGTATCAAACTAATTTTAAAGGCCATTGAAGGGAACAACTAGCTAGAGAAGGGTGATTGACCTATAACACGTTAGAGCAGGGTGAGGTCTATACATCTGTGCTTATTGTGGAATTTAAGGCAATTTCAGTATAGTCTAATATCATGTATTTCTATAGAGATGTTGATAAATGATAAGCTATTCAATGTCTCAGGTGCAGAACATTGACTTTGCCAGGACCATCAGCCTCAGCCATTCACAGCACTGAGTGGAGGTAGGGATATTATGTCAGACAAGTACATTTTGTTAATGACCAACAAAGCTTTTAGCCTACTGTTTACATCAGCACATTTAAAAGAATACCATTCCCCCATGGTGTATCGCAATAGACCATTTGAGCTAGTTAAATTATGTTGCCCCTTCCAAAGTAGTCGGGCGCAGTGGTGACACTTTCCGCCTGAGAATCCGCGGCATGCATAGCACCTCCATACGCTGCCACACGCTGTCGCTGCCACTGCAAGGCATGCTAATGTCCTTTTTCAACACTGTCACCCAAGCCAATCTGGCTAACTCCTCTCATCATGTCTGCTCCTCTTCAATGACCGACATGTTGCTTTCCCATGAGGAGGAATAAAACTTAATCAAGCTCTCCCCACCAAAAAACGGCTGGATTACAGGATATTACAGTATACAAAGTTTTTGACTGAAACGGATATCACACCTACCAACGCTTGCCAGATACCCCGGTACCACCTGGAATTTCTATTCGGACCGAAGTTTATTCTAGTGTAGACGCGTCAACGGACCTTATACTAAAACAGATTGAAACGGATCTCATGTTTGACATGGAAAATCTGAAATATATTACAGGAAAAACATAAGAGAAATAATAAATAATTGATGTTCCTAAAACAAAGGGTCTTTACCCTAGTCTTCGAGGAAAAGGTGCTTTCACCGAAGAAATCTACAGTCCAGGTAAATGTAGGCTATGCACTTTTTTTTCTCAAAGGTAAGCTAGAGGCACACAATTTTGCACAACCATGTAGGCTACAGAAGCAGGCACAGGCTTTATGAGATGTAATTCTCTGGGAACAAGTTTAAACTGCAGAAGTATTCTAAATATTGACTACCTTGTTTATTGGTATGCGATATACCATTCATTTAGAATATTGGATTGAAACATTAATCATATTTAGTTGATAATTGTTTAATACATTTACATTGTTTGTTCAACCTTTCCCTTTAAACTGTGACTATAGCCTACAGTTATTTCAAGTTCATTTATTGAGAAATAAAATATTTAAGTCAATATTTAGACTGCTTCTGCAGTTTTAACTTAAATTCACCCACTGTCGAAGAGCTGGGCTATATTTGAAGTAGTATACCAGAAGACAAAGTCCAACACTGGCAGTCACTCCAACAACGTACATTCTATCTCACTGTAAGATAGGCGTGCTTGGGGACCCGGGTTTAGTTGGCCCAGATAGGTCTTCCCTAATGACATGACGGCCTTATTTCTAAAAGCGACATATTAGAGGAAAGTAGTTTTATTATAAAACTTGTTAAAATCGAAAGCTATTTTAATTGACTCCATTAATTGACTCCCCTTGTCACTTCATGAGGCAGATGATGGCAAAGTATTCCTAGTTGGGAAGGCTAGTAAAATGTGCGTGCGCGCGTGCGCGTGCATGTGTACGTGCAGTCGATTTGAGTGCAAGTAATGGAGACCTTTCAGACAACGTAACCTTGATGTCTTCATTATGATGAAGAACTGTCTGTGGGGGGATGATTTCATTCCATCCATTAAGTAGACCATCTAAGAGAGTCCTCAAGTCAAATGTAATTTTCAAGGTCTTTCTCTCCCTGCTAGTTAATTGATTGATTATTGGCACAGATTGGCACCCATATATACCCCTCATCTGGTGCGCCAGTCAGTCCTGCACACCTTGAGGGCCGGATTTGAGAAAGGTGACGCCCCAACCGTATGTACCACTAGAGCAACAAGCTAGCTTTACGTATACAGTGCATTCGGAAAGTATTCAGACCCCTTGATTTTTTTCCACATTTTGTTATGTTACAGAGTTATTTTAAAATGGATAGAAGAAAAAAAATCCTCATCAATCTACACACAATACCCCATAATGAAAAGTGAAAACAGGTTTTTAGAAATTTTTGCAAATGTAGTACAAATAAAAAACAGAAAAGCCTTATTTACATAATTATTCAGACCCTTTGCTATGAGACTCGAAATTGAGCTCAGGTACATCCTGTTTCCATTGATCATCCTTGAGATTTTTTTACAACCTAATTGGAGTCCACCTGTGGTAAATTCAATTGATTGGACATGATTTGGAAAGGCACACACCTGTCTATATAAGGTCCCACAGTTGACAGTGCATGTCAGAGCAAAAACCAAGTCATGCGGTCGAAGGAATTGTCCGTAGAGCTCCGAGACAGGATTGTGTTGAGACACAGATCTGGGGAAGGGTACCAAAACATTTCTGCATCATTGAAGAGCACAGGGCCTCCATCATTCTTAAATGGAAGAAGTTTGGAACCACCAAGACTATTCCTAGAGCTGGCCGCCCGGCCAAACTTAGCATTCGGGGAGAAGGGCCTTGGTCAGGGAGGTGACCAAGAACCTGATGTTCACTCTGACAGAGCTCCAGAGTTTCTCTGTGGAGATGGGAGAACCTTCCAGAAGGACAAACATCTCTGCAGCACTCCGCCAATCAGGCCTTTATGGTAGAGTGGCCAGACGGAAGCCACTCCTCAGTAAAAGGCACATGACAGCCCGTTTGGAGTTTGCCAAAAGGCACCTAAAGGAAACAAGATTCTCTGGTCTGATGAAACCAAGATTGGACTCTTTGGCCTGAATGCCAAGCGTCACGTCTGGAGGAAACCTGGCACCATCCCTACGGTGAAGCATCGTGGTGGTTGCATCATGCTGTGGTGATATTTTTCAGCGGCAGGGACTGGGAGACTAGTCAGGATCGAGGGAAAGATGAACAGAGCAAAGTACAGAGAGATCCTTGATGAAAACCTGCTCCAGAGCGCTCAGGACCTCAGATTGGGGCGAAGGTTCACCTTCCAACAGGACAACGACCCTAAGCACACAGCCAAGACAATGCAAGAGTGGCTTTGGGACAAGTCTCTGAATGTCCTTGAGTGGCCCAGGCCCAGACGATCAAATATCTCTGGAGAGACCTGAAAATAGCTGTGCAGCGACACTCCCAATCCAACCTGACAGAGCTTAAGAGGATCTGCAGAGAGGAATAGGATAAACTCCCCAAATACAGGTGTGCCAAGCTTGTAGTGTCATACCCAAGAAGACTCGAGGCTGTAATCGCTGCCAAAGGTGCTTCAACAAAGTACTGAGTAAAGGGTCTGAATACTTATATAAATATGATATTTCAGGTTTTTTTTAAATTATAAATGTGCAAAAATTTCTAAAAACCTATTTTTGCTTTGTCATTATGGGATATCGTGTGTAGATTGGTGAGGGGAAAAAAACGATTTACTCCATTTTAGAATAAGGCTGTAATGTAACAAAATGTGGAAAAAGTCAAGGGGTCTGAATACTTTCCGAATGCACTGTAGGAGGCGACAGTTGACTTCAGGCCTTGACAGAGGTGATGTCACCATGCAAGTTTAAGATGTTATGTAACCATTACCTCAGTGGTGGAATAAGATTTCCAACACAGTCCAATTTACTGCAGCACTTCACTGAATGAAGACTGAAGACTACTCTCCATATTGTCAAAGACTCCAGCCACCCTAGTCATAGACTGTTCTCTCTGCTACCGCACAGCAAGCGGTACCAGAGCGCCAAGTCTAGGTCCAAAAGGCTTCTTAACAGCTTCTACCCCCAAGCAATAAGACTCCTGAACAGCTAATGATGGCTACCCGGACTATTTGCATCCCTCTTTTACCCTGCTTCTACTCTGTTTATTATCTATACATAGTCAGTTTAACTCTACCCACATGTACATATTACCTCAATTACCTCGACTAACCGGTGCCCCCGCACATTGACTCTCTACCGGTACCCCCTGTATATACCCTCCCTACTAGTATTTATTTTACTGCTGCTCTTTAATTATTTTGTATTTATCTCTTTTTCACTTAACACTTTTTTTCTTAAAACTACATTGTTGGTTAAGGGCTTGTAAGTAAGCATTTCACTGTAAGGTTTACACATGTTGTATTCGGCGCATGTGGCAAATAAAATGTAATTTGATTTGATATCCTTACCACACCCAAATAACAAATAATTTCTATACTGAACAAAAATATAAATGCAACATACAACAATTTCAATGATTTTACTGAGTTACAGTTCATATAAGGAAATCAGTCTATTGAAATAAATTCATTAGGCCCTAATCTATGGATTTCACATGACTGACAGGGCACAGCCATGGGAGGGCATAGGCCCACCCACTTGGGAACCAGGCCCACCCACTGGGGAGCCAGGCCCAGCCAATCAGAATGAGTTTTTCCCACAAAAGGCTTTATTAGAGACAGAAATACTCATCAGTTTCATCAGCTGTCTGGGTGGCTGGTCTCAGACGATCTCGCAGGTGATGAAGCGGGATGTGGAGGTCCTGGGCTGTTGTAGTTATACGTGGTCTGCGGTTGTGAGGCCAGTTGGACATACTGCCAAATTCTCTAAAGTGACGTTGGAGGCGGTTTATGGTAGAGAAATGAACATTACATTCTCTGGCAACAGCTCTGGTGGACATTCCTGCAGTCAGCATGCCAATTGCACACTCCCTCAAAACTTGAGCCCTCTGTGGCATTTTGTTGTGTTATAAAACTGCACATTTTAGAATGGCCTTTTATTGTCCCCAGCAGAAGGTGCACCTGTGTTATGATCATGCTGTTTAATCAGCTTCTTGATATGCCACACCTTTCAGGTGGATGGATTATCTTGGCAAAGGAGAAATGCTCACCAACAGGGATGTAAAAAAAAATTGTGCACATAATTTGAGAGAAATAAGCTTTTTGTGCGAATGGAAAATGTCTGATCTTTTATTTCAGCTCATGAAACATGGGACAACACTTTACATGTTGCATTTATATTTTTGTTCAGTATAGTTATCATGTGGTTTGACTGTCTCTCTACTGTTGCTATTCTTTTGCACAGGACCTTCAAGTGGATCTGTGAACAGCCAGAATGAAATGGGAGAAGTTTAAGCCTCCAGAGCCAGACGATCCCATGTGCTGTTGTGAGTGTGATTTGGACCCACATGAATGCTGCTGTGACTGTGACGATCTGGATGAAGCTTGCAGCAGGTGAAATAGGTGGAATGGGGAGGATCATGGCAGGACTCAGCAGTCCAAGTTCAGGTCTAACCAGTGCTTGACATGGACTGAAATATGTGCCGGTATTCATTTTGGGTGCTGGTACTGTTTATATTTAGTTGCAGCAGCTCCACAATACTTTTGAGCTAATATTCTATAAAAGGAACAGGAGTTCAAGCAGTAGAACATTTGAGGTGCTGGTATTCATCTCCGGTGAGCTCCTACCCAAGTCAAGCACTTGGTCTAACCCCCTGCCCTCTCTGTGTTTCCCTCTCTGTCATCCCTACCCTTATGTCTTTTCCAGGTGGCTGAAGGGTAAGCCTCAGAAACCTGACTGTGCGTTGCCTGTGTTTGGTGCCGTGATGGACCGGCTGAGGTTGAGACTGTTATCAGGGGACAGGCGGGTGGAGATCTCCATGGTCCCAGCTCTAGTGCTGCTTCCCCTGCTACTGCGGCTGGCAGCCCTGCACTTCCTGCTGGGCCTGGTCATTCTGACAGCCCTGCCTGGCCTGGTTCTGTGGTACTACTACACCACACACAGGAAGAAGGGCCGCACCCTCTTCTTCCTCAGCCTGGCGCTCTTCTCCCTAGCCTACATGTACTTCCTCTTCATCACAGAGATCCTACCTCGTGGGGACGTAAGTCACCTGCAGCTGGTGACCGTGACTACGGGTGTGGTTCTTACTCTTATCTCTCTTGTGCGCACCAAGAGGGGGCCAGGCTTCGTGCAGCCTTCCCTGGCTGACACAGACAGCACCAGCACCAATCATTACCAACTGCCTGACAAAGACTCTGCCTCTCAGAATGGAGTGGACCAGTCGGTGGTGCCAGCCCCCCCAGCCAGACCAGTGGAACAGCAGACACAGTCCCTGAAAGCAGAGGGGGCCAGGTGTCCTCTGTGCAAAGTGGTGCGTCCCCCTCGGGCGGGACATTGCCGGATCTGTGGAGGCTGTGTCCAGCGCCTGGACCACCACTGTATCTGGTGAGTGTCATTAAACACCTTTGTCTGTTGTGGAGGACCAGTCATTTAGTACACCATTATTTGTGCAGCGACAGGATGACTTGTGAAAAATACCTTTCTGCAACACTCAGATAACCACAGCCTGACTACACTTCCCTGCTATACACACATGCAATATTTTCATCTCTCAGATCCCCCACAATTATATTTGCTCAACACTTCTCTTCCACACATAATCATGATCTCACTAAGTGTCATACTGTCAGGCCAAAAAGACGTCACCAAAGCAGACCAGGCTGTAGAGACATGTGTAGTGCCCACAGGGGTTCACCCTTCAGCAGGGTGAGGCGACCTCAAACCAGGACAATCTGTTATTTATGGCATTTAGATACATGCACCAACACAACCAGACACATTTAGAGCATGTAGTCACATTCTCTCACATTCATGCTAATTGTACTCTCACATGTAAACACAGCAGAAGTTGGTCATTTGAACTGAGGGTATGTGTGTGTGTGTGTGTGTGTGGTGTTGTGTTGTCTTGTGTCTGTCACTGCTGAGGCAGGATAAACAGCTGTGTGGGCCAGGCCAATCATCGCAGCTTCCTGCTGACCCTGCTCCTCTTCCTGTTGACCTCTCTGTATGGGATCAGTCTGGTGCTGCGCAGCGTGTGTCCTCAACAGAACCTGCTCACCGCCCTGCTCTACTGCCCTGGCGTCTACAGTCAGTACAGGTACACCTGGTATTTGCTTAAAATTTACACACATGAAAAATGTGTTACAAAATGACAATTGTAACTACATAGTAATTATCTAATAATTACTTTGGGTTTATTTAGCATTCATTGAAACAAGAACCACTATATTTAAGCAGTAAGGCTCGAGGAGGTGTGGTATATGGCCAATATACCACGGCTAAGGGCTGTTCTTAGACTGGACACAGCCCTTAGCAGTGGTATATTGGCCATATATCACAAACCCCCGAGGTGCCTTATTGCTATTATAAACTGGTTACCAACGTAATTAGAGCAGGAAAAATAAATGTTTTGTCATACCCGTGGTATACGGTCTGATATACCATGGCTGTTAGCCAATCAGCATTCAGGGCTCAAACCACCCAGTTTATAATACCTACTATTTGGCACCAGGTAGTTACCAAATATTTTGAGTTACTTGAAATAAGTACTAGAAGATTTACTTAAATAATCAATTAACTAAAACCAACTGAAAGATAAAGTGTTATGTTGTTTTCTAAGTGTAACTATGCTCATGCTGATGTTTTCCCAGCTCAGCCCTGTGCTTCACCTGTGCCTGGTACAGCAGTATTGTCACAGCAGGCCTGCTAAACCTGCTGGTGCTGCAAATGATCAATATCAGCTACAATGTGACGGAGCGGGAGGCACAACTTGCACTGCGGAAGAAAAATGGCCAGAGTCGTCCGTGTGGCCTCGTTGTCGACACAGGGGTCTACTCACGTGGCTTCTGCCAGAACTGGGCTGAATTCCTGGCCATGGGAGAGCCTGTTGATAGACCATCCTCCGTCCTCACTGACTTGGTTTAGCCTTGGCTTAACACCATGCCACTCTGCCTAAGCAGGTCAACCTTGCTGGGTTTCAACTGGCAATGCCTTTCCTCAGCCATGCTGCTGGTGAGCTGTGTTGCTTTAGGGACTGTGAGATGCTCTGGAACTCGACATATTGCAACTCAGAGGTGTTCATTTTTAATTGTTATAGACCTCTACATTCCAAACACTCCAGTTAGAGAAAATAACCATGATCCTCCAGGTTGTCATGGATATGACACTCTTAATATTAGTTATGTAATAGCATGGTGTTAATATAAAGGGTTGCTCTGACTAATAGGATTTTATGTTTTAACCTCTGACAAATATCTGTTTGATTTTGCTGTCACTATCTTTTTCCAAAATGATGTAAAGATTCGTAACCATGGTAGACTAAATAGCAATAGATTAATAGAAATACATAAGTTAGAGAACATGTTTAAGAAACTGTAGACTACTTGACCTGACTATAAGATTACTTCAAAGGGAGGAAAGCTCTGCATGTTCTGACAGAGATGACAGACACACATCCTCTCACCCACGCACACATACACTCTTTGTAGTTGAAGTGCTATTATTGTTAAGTTTGAATGTACAGTAAATTATTTATATTTCAACTATCCTTTTACTTGTATAAGACTAAGACTCATCTTCCTTTGTATCTTGTTTGTTTGTCATGCCAATAAAGCATATCTTATCTAACGGCTAACGGTGAGAGACAATGTTGATTGCGGGGGCATAAAAAACCAGTCGACCAGGGCTGCTGTGTTCACAGGAAGTGGCTAGTGAGCTCAGGAGACCTCATCTGTGTCATCATGGAAACAAACCTACAGAATGAGAGTCTGTGTAGAACTGTCACTAGTTCGTTAGTAAACGTAAATATTTTTTCTATATTTTAACTGTTTAAAATCCACCTCAACTTGGATTGCAAACGTGGCTACTGTTGAAGATACAGATGAAGTCGGAAGTTTACATACACTTAGGTCGGTGTCATTAAAACTCGTTTTTCAACCACTCCACAAATGTCTTGTTAACAAACTATAGTTTTGGCAAGTCGGTTAGGACATCTACTTTGTGCATGACACAAGTAATTTTTCCAACAATTGTTTACAGACAGATTATTTCAATTATAATTCACTGTATCACAATTCCAGTGGGTCAGAAGTTTACATACACTATGTTGACTGTGCCTTTAAACAGCTTGGAAAATTCCAGAAAATGATGTCATGGCTTTAGAAGCTTCTGATAGGCTAATTGACATAATTTGAGTCAATTGGAGATGTACCTGTGGTTGTATTTCAAGGCCTACCTTCAAACTCAGTGCATCTTTGCTTGACATCATGGGAAAATCAAAAGAAATCAGCCAAAACCTCAGAAAAAAAATTGTAGACCTCCACAAACCTGATTCATCCTTGGGAGCAATTTCCAAACGCCTGAAGGCACCACGTTCATCTGTACAAACAATAGTACGCAAGTATAAACACCATGGGACCACGCAGCCGTCATACCGCTCAGGAAGGAGACGCGTTCTGTCTCCTAGAGATGAACGTACTTTGGTGCAAAAAGTGCAAATCAATCCCAGAACAACAGCAAATGACCTTGTGAAAATGCTGGAGGAAACAGATACAAAAGTATCTATATCCACAGTAAAACGAGTCCTATATCGACATAACCTGAAAGGCCGCTCAGCAAGGAAGAAGCCACTGCTCCAAAACCGCCATAAAAAAGCCAGACTATGGTTTGCAACTGCACATGGGATCAAAGATCGTACTTTTTGGAGAAATGTCCTCTGGTCTGATGAAACAAAAATAGAACTGTTTGGCCATAATTACCATCGTTATGTTTGGAGGTAAAAGGGAGCTGCTTGCAAGCCGAAGAACACCATCCCAACCGTGAAGCATGGGGGCGGCAGCATCATGCTGTGGGGGTGCTTTGCTGCAGGAGGGACTGGTGCACTTCACAAAATAGATGGCATCATGAGGAAGGAAAATTATGTGGATACATTGAAGCAACATCTCAAGACATCAGTCAGGAAGTTAAAGCTTGGTCACAAATGGGTCTTCCAAATGGACAATGACCCCAAGCATACTTCCAAAATTGTGGCAAAATGGCTTAAGGACAACAAAGTCAAGGTATTGGAGTGGCCATCACAAAGCCCTGACCTCAATCCTATAGAAAATGTGTGGGCAGAACTGAAATAGCGTGTGCTAGCAAGAAGGCCTACAAACCTGACTCAGTTACACCAGCTCTGTCAGGAGGAATGGGCCAAATTATTGTGGGAAGCTTGTGGAAGGCTACCCGAAACGTTTGACCCAAGTTAAATAATTTAAAGGCAATGCTACCAAATACTAATTGAGTGTATGTAAACTTCTGACCCACTGGGAATGTGATGAAAGAATGTCACGGTTTCGGCCGAGGCTGCTCCTTCTCCTTGTTCGGGCAGGCTTCGGCGGTCGTCGTCTCCGGAGTACTAGCTGCCACCGTTCTATGTTTCGATGTTTGATTGGTTTTGTCTGTTTTGTTACACCTGTTCCTTGTTAGTGTTCATTATGCGTCCTATAAGTTCTCTTGAGTTTTGTCATGTGTTGTGTGTAATTGTTCGTTGTCACTGTGGGATGCTAGTTCGTTTTTGTCTCTCTGTTCGGTGTAGTAGAGAGCTCCGCACTTTTGTGCCTTTGTATGTACTTTACCGGTGTGCGTAAAGTTCGCTTGCCTGCCAGGTTGTATGTAGCCGTGTTTGGCTTGCTCTTTTTTGTCTTCACTAAAGATGTCAGTACGAAGCCTCTGGGTGTTCTGCGCTTGATTCCACACCACTTCTACACTCAACAGTGACAGAATTACACACCATTACTATGGAATCAGCAGGAGCAGCCGCACCTACCGAGATTATTGAGGAGCGCCTTCGTGGACAGGAGGACAGGATCAACCAGATCGGCCACGCTCTGGATAGGGTGATGAACACCCTCCATCGATGGGAGGCCAGCGGGGTACCCACGCCCCCACCTACCACACCATCACCATCGGTCAGTCCACCTGTCCAACTTCCGGAACCCAGTGGGTTTCGGCTCTCGCTCCCGAGGGCGTACGACGGCACCGCGGCCGGGTGTCAGGGTTTCCTGTTGCAAATCGAACTCTACCTCGCCACCGTACACCCGGTGCCCTCGGGACACGAGAGCGTTTCCGCCCTCATCTCCTATCTCACCGGCAAGGCGTTGGAGTGGGCCAACGCCGAATGGAGGAGGATAGACGCCGCAACGATCACCTATGCGGAGTTCTCCCACCGCTTCCGGGCAGTGTTCGACCATCCACCTGAGGGGAAGGCGGCGGGGGAGCGTCTATTCTACCTCCGGCAGGGGATGAGGAGCGCTCAAGAGTTTGCACTGGAGTTCCGGACTCTAGCGGCAGATGCAGGGTGGAATGAGCGGGCCCTCATAGATCACTTCCGCTGCAGCCTCAGGGAGGACGTCCGTAGAGAGTTGGCGTGCAGGGACACCACTCTTTCGTTTGACCAATTGGTTGACATGGCCATTCGGCTAGACACCCTGCTCGCCACCCGTCCTGGGTGGGGGTCGCCCATTCCACCCTCCAGCACCTCTGAGCCGAGTCCTATGGAGCTCGGGGGTGCTGGCGCTAGAGAACGGAGGAGAAGGAGCCCGAGGGGGGCCGTCCCCTGCACCAACTGTGGCCGTGGAGGGCACACCGCGGCTAGGTGCTGGGGAGGGTCTCCTGGAGGACGAGACAGCAGGCCACACATTGGGGAGTCCTCCCAGGTGAGTAGGCGCCCCACTTACCCAGAGCTTTCTGTCGTGCACATAACCATACCTGTTTGTTTTCCACAGGTTGCACCTCGTTCCCAGCATAAGGCGCTAGTAGATTCAGGCGCAGCTGGGAATTTTGTAGATCGTAAATTTTGTATAGAGTTAGGGATCCCTCTCCTACCGGTTAATAATCCCTTGCCTGTACATGCCCTAGATAGCCGTCCGTTAGGATCCGGGTTGATCAGGGAGGTCACAGTGCCACTTAGGATGGAGACGCAGGGGGGTCATGAGGAGACGATTCAGCTATACCTGATTGACTCTCCTGCGTATCCGGTGGTGCTGGGGCTTCCCTGGTTGATTACTCACGATCCTACCATTTCGTGGCGAGAGAAGGCTCTTAAGGGGTGGTCTGCCCAGTGTGTGGGGCTATGTCTGGGTGTTTCCGTAGGGGCGACCTCGGTGGAGAGTCCAAACCAAATGCCCGCAATGCATGTTCCCCCCCGAGTATGAGGATTTAGCACTCGTGTTTAGCAAGGCGAGGGCAGCGCGATTGCCACCTCAGCGCGATTGCCACCGCGGTCTCAATCAGATTACTGTGAAATATAGTTATCCACTCCCTCTGATTGCGACTATGACGGAGTCATTACACGGGGCACGGTTCTTCACAAAATTGGACCTCAGGAGCGCATACAACTTGGTGCGCATTAGAGAGGGCGATGAATGGAAGACAGCATTCAGTACTACCTCGGGTCATTACGAGTATCTCGTCATGCCATACGGGTTAATGAATGCTCCATCAGTCTTCCAATCCTTTGTGGATGAGATCTTCCGGGACATGCAGGGGCAGGGAGTGGTCGTGTACATAGACGATATTCTAGTGTACAGTTCTACCCGAGCCGAGCATGTAGCCCTGGTGTGCCGAGTGTTGAGGAGGCTGTTGGAGCATGACCTGTATGTCAAGGCAGAGAAATGTCTGTTCTTCCAGGAGTCGGTCTCCTTTTTGGGTTATCAGTTGTCCGCGTCAGGGGTGAAGATGGAGGTTGACCGTGTGTCAGCCGTGCGTAATTGGCAAACCCCAACCACAGTGAAAGAGGTGCAGCAGTTCTTGGGCTTTGCGAATTACTACCGGAGGTTTATCCGGGGTTTTGGACAGGTGGCAGCTCCCATAACGTCCCTTCTGAAGGGGGGTCCGGTGCGCTTGCGGTGGTCAGCTGAGGCGAACAGGGCTTTTGGGAGACTGAAGGACCTGTTTACTTCGGCTCCGGTGCTGGCGCATCCGGATCCCGCTTTACCATTCCAAGTGGAGGTGGACGCGTCAGAAGCCGGTATCGGGGCCGTTCTCTCGCAACGGTCCGGCACACCACCTAAACTCCGCCCCTGTGCTTTTTACTCGAAAAAGCTCAGTCCGGCGGAGCGAAATTATGACGTAGGGGACAGGGAGCTGTTAGCCGTGGTACAGTCGCTATGGGGGTGCCACAGGGTTCAATTCTTGGGCCGACACTTTTCTCCGTGTATATCAATGATGTCGCTCTTGCTGCTGGTGACTCTCAGATCCACCTCTACGCAGACGACACCATTTTGTATACATCTGGCCCTTCATTGGACACTGTGTTAACAAACCTCCAAACGAGCTTCAATGCCATACAACAATCCTTCAGTAGCCTCCAACTGCTCTTAAACACTAGTAAAACTAAATGCATGCTTTTCAATCGAACGCTGCTGGCACCCGCCCACCCGACTAGAATCACCACTCTCGACGGGTCTGACCTAGAGTATGTGGACAACTACAAATACCTAGGTGTCTGGTTAGACTGTAAACTCAACTTCCAGACTCACATAAAGAATCTCCAATCCAAAGTTAAATCTAGAATCGGCTTCCTATTTCGCAACAAAGCCTCCTTCACTCATGCTGCCAAACATGCCCTCGTAAAACTGACTATCCTACCGATCCTTGACTTCGGCGATGTCATTTACAAAATAGCCTCCAACACTCTACTCAGCAAATTGGATGTAGTCTATCACAGTGCCATCCGTTTTGTCTCCAAAGCCCCATACACTACCCACCACTGTGACCTGTACGCTCTTGTTGGCTGGTCCTCACTACATGTTCGTCGTCAAACCCACTGGCTCCAGGCCATCTATAAATCACTGCTAGGCAAATCCCCGCCTTATCTTAGCTCATTGGTCACCATAGCAGCACCCACCCGTAGTCTGCGCTCCAGCAGGTATATCTCACTGGTCATTCCCAAAGCCAACACCTCCTTTGGCCGCCATTCCTTCCAGTTCTCTGCTGCCAATGACTGGAACGAATTGCAAAAATCTCTGAAGCTGGAGACTCTTATCTCCCTCAATAACTTTAAGCATCAGTTGTCAGAGCACCTTACCGATCACTGCACCTGTACACAGCCCATCTGAAATTACCCCACCCAACTACCTCATCCCTATATTGTTATTTATTTTGCTCTTTTGCACCCCAGTATCTCTATTTGCACATAATCTCTTGCACATCTAGCATTCCAGTGTTAATACTATTGTAATTATTCTGCACTATAGCCTATTTATTGCCTTACCTCCATAACTTGCTACATTTGCACACACTGTATATATATTTTCTGTTGTATTTCTGACTTTATGTTTTTTACCCCATATGTAACTCTGTGTTGTTTTTATTGCACTACTTTGCTTTATCTTGGCCAGGTCGCAGTTGTAAATGAGAACCTGTTCTCAACTGGCTTACCTGGTTAAATAAAGGTGAAATAAAAAAATAAATAAAAATAATAATAAAAAAAAGGTGTGGAGGCATTGGCTTGAGGGGGCTCAACACCCTTTTCTCATTTTGACTGACCACCGTAACCTGGAATACATTCGGGCAGCTAGGAGACTAAATCCTCGCCAGGCTCGGTGGACTATGTTTCTAGCCCGGTTCGTGTTTAAGATCACTTACATCCCTGGGTCCCAGAACGGGAAGGCAGACGCCCTGTCTCGGCGGTATGACACAGAGGAGAGGTCCGTTGAGCCCACTCCCATACTACCTGAGTCTTGTCTGGTGGCACCGGTGGTGTGGGAGGTCGATACGGAGATCGAGCGGGCGTTACGCACCGACCCTAGCCCTCCACAGTGTCCGGTGGGTCGGACGTACGTCCCGCTCGAGGTCCGGGATCGACTCATTTATTGGGCTCACACGTCACCCTCATCTGGGCATCCAGGTATTGGCCGGACAGTGCACTGCCTTAGCACAAAGTACTGGTGGCCAACGTTAGCCAGGGATGTGAGGATTTATGTCTCCTCCTGCTCGGTGTGTGCCCAGTGTAAGGCGCCCAGACACTTGCCCAGGGGTAAGTTACAACCCCTGCCCGTTCCACAACGACCCTGGTCTCACCTCTCGGTGGATTTTGTTACAGACCTTCCCCCCTCACAGGGGAATACCACCATCCTGGTCGTTGTGGATCGGTTCTCGAAGGCCTGTCGTCTCCTTCCCATGCCGGGTCTTTCTACTGCCCTACAGACCGCTGAGGCTCTATTCACCCACGTCTTCCGGCATTACGGGGTACCCGAGGATATAGTGTCTGATCGAGGCCCCCAGTTTACCTCCAGAGTCTGGAGAGCGTTTATGGAGCGTTTGGGGGTTTCGGTGAGCCTTACCTCGGGTTACCACCCGGAGAGTAATGGGCAGGTCGAACGTGTCAACCAGGATGTGGGTAGGTTTCTGAGGTCGTATTGCCAGGGCCGGCCGGAGGAGAGGGCGAGGTATGTTCCCTGGGCCGAGATGGCACAGAACTCTCTCCGCCACTCCTCCACTAAACTAATTCCTTTCCAGTGTGTGTTAGGGTACCAGCCGGCTCTGGCACCTTGGCATCAGAGCCAGATCGAGGCCCCTGCGGTGGATGAGTGGGTGCGGCGCTCGGAGGAGACGTTGAACGCTGCACACATCCATCTGCAGCGAGCCATCCGTCGACATAAGACGAGCGCCGATCTCCACCGCAGTGAGGGGCCAGTGTACGCACCTGGAGATCGAGTCTGGCTCTCGACCAGAAACCTGCCCCTCCGCCTGCCCTGCCGGAAGCTGGGTCGGCGGTTTGTGGGGCCTTTTAAAGTCCTGAGGAGATTGAACAAGGTGTGTTACAGGTTACAACTGCCAATTGATTACAAGAATATTAACCCCTCGTTCCATGTGTCTCTCCTCAGGCCGGTGGTAGCTGGTCCACTCCAGGACTATGAGATAGAAGAGACTCCTCCGCCCCCGCTGGACATCGAGGGGGCTCCGGCGTACACTGTTCGGTCCATCCTAGATTTGAAACGCCGGATGGGGGGTCTCCAATATCTCGTGGAGTGGGAGGGGTACGGCCCGGAGGAGCGGTCCTGGGTGCCGAGGAGGGACATCCTAGACCCGTCTCTTCTGACCGAGTTCCATCGTGGTCATCCCACGCGCCCTGCTCCGCGTCTTCCTGGTCGTCCTCGAGGCCGGGGTCGGCTCCAGGGTACTGTCACGGTTTCGGCCGAGGCTGCTCCTTCTCCTTGTTCGGGCAGGCTTTGGCGGTCGTCGTCTCCAGAGTACTAGCTGCCACCGTTTCGATGTTTGATTGGTTTTGTCTGTTTTGTTACACCTGTTCCTTGTTAGTGTTCATTATGCGTCCTATAAGTTCTCTTGAGTTTTGTCATGTGTTGTGTGTAATTGTTCGTTGTCACTGTGGGATGCTAGTTCGTTTTTGTCTCTCTGTTCGATGTAGTAGAGAGCTCCGCACTTTTGTGCCTTTGTATGTACTTTACCGGTGTGCGTAAAGTTCGCTTGCCTGCCAGGTTGTATGTAGCCGTGTTTGGCTTGCTCTTTTTTGTCTTCACTAAAGACGTCAGTACGAAGCCTCTGGGTGTCCTGCGCTTGATTCCACACCACTTCTACACTCAACAGTGACAAAGAAATAAAAGCTGAAATAAATCATTCTCTCTACTATTATTCTGACATTTCACAATCTTAAAATAAAATGGTGATCCTAACTGATTTAAGACAGGGATGTTTTACTAGGATTAAATGTCAGGAATTGTGAAAAACTGAGTTTAAATGTATTTGGCTAAGGTGTTTGTAAACTTTCAACTTCAACTGTATGCACATGCTCTCTCTCTCTCTTTCTCGCTCGCTCCCTCTCTCTCTCTCACACACACACACACACACACACACACACACACACACACACACACACACACACACACACACACACACACACACACAGTGACTGTATATCGTGGTGTGCCTTCTGTTTCTTGATTGACCCTTCTTACTCTCTGGTGTTGAATCTGTCATTTCCTGTCATTGCATAAACCTCTGAGATGTTCTCTATCCCCCCAACATTGCTGTATTTCACATCATGAGTGTCAGTACTAAAGAGTCTCTGCTTGTCCACTACTGGTCCTCAGCACCACTCGTCCTCCTGCTCCTCTGTTCTGGTAAGAGACCCACATTCCCACTGGAGAGACTTGGTGTTGATAAATGTGTTATGAGACGTTATGTTGTGATAAGGTATAGAGTATAGGTACTGGCAAATATATTCTGACTGGTTCTCTCTGTGTACGAATATGCCTAAATTTGTGAGCTACTTAGTATTGGCGATAATTCTATAAAGCATAGAAGAGGACTTGTTATAAATGAATCATGAATACCACATAACAACGTTAGCCAACTAAGACTGTGGAAGATCACAACTGATCATCAACAAGGTCACTGCATAGTGCAAATAGCATTATGTACAGCAATTAGGAACAAACTATTGTCGAACAGAGCTGAAATGACAGGACAATTTCAATATTCATACCCCTTCACTACTTCCACTTTGTTATGTTACAGCCTTACTCTAAAATGGATAAAATAGTTTTTTTCCCTCATCAATCTACACACAATACCCCATAAGGACAAAGCAAAAATGTTTTTTAGATTTTTTTGCAAATGTATATATTTAAATAAAAAAAGATTAGTAGAACAACAGCATGTATATATTTAAATAAAAAAAGATTAGTAGAACAACAGCATCTAGTAAAGATGAGGTCAAGCGTATTGCCTGCCTTGTGAGTAGGGGGGGACGGTGAGAGGGTGAGGTCAAAAGAGGAGAGGAGTGGAAAGAAGGAGGCAGAGAGAAATGAGTCAAATGTAGACGTAGGGAGGTTGAAATCCCCCAGAACTGTGAGGGGTGAGCCATCCTCAGGAAAGGAACTTATCAAGGCGTCAAGCTCATTGATGAACTCTCCAAGGGAACCTGGAGGGCGATAGATGACAAGGATATTAAGCTTAAATGGGCTAGTGACTGTGACAGCATGGAATTCAAATGAGGAGATAGACAGATGGGTCAGGGGAAAAATTGAGAATGTCCACTTGGGAGAGATGAGGATTCCTGTGCCACCACCCCGCTGACCAGATGCTCTCGGGGTATGCGAGAACACATGGTCAGACGAGGAGAGAGCAGTAGGAGTAGCAGTGTTTTCAGTGGTAATCCATGTTTCCGTCAGCGCCAAGAAGTCGAGGGACTGGAGGGTAGCATAGGCTGAGATGAACTCTGCCTTGTTGGCAGCAGAACGGCAGTTCCAGAGGCTGCCTGAGACCTGGAACTCCACGTGGGTGGTGCGTGCAGGGACCACCAGGTTAGAGAGGCAGCAGCCACGCGGTGTGAGGCGTTTGTATAGCCTGTGCAGAGAGGAGAGAACAGGGATAGGCAGAGGCATAGTTGACAGGCTGCAGCAAATGGCTACAATAATGCAGAGGAGATCGGAATGAAATGAACTAAACATCTGGGAAAGGAGAGAGCGGGGCCTCCCTCACCACAACTCCCAAATATAACTCTCCCAACTTCCACCTCAGAAACTATAATTGTTGTAAACTACAGCGGTTCAATGTTTTCTAGGAATAGACTAACTTAGTTTATTCAGCTAGCTAACTAGGTACAGTATTATTCCATGAAAATCGTCCGGGCACCTAGTCATAAGACGCCACAGCCAGCTAGCATGCCGGACTCCAACAACACGGTTTAGCGCCAATACTCGGCCACAACAAACCACTAGAGTATCAACACGAAAGCAGATCGTTCGTGTCCGTGTCTAACGTTGTGGGTTAGTCCCGACAGCTTGAGCGAGTCCGTCGTCAACTTATTCAGCCAGTTAGTTAGCTAGAATAGTTAGCAAACTAGCTAGCCATTGCTTTCAGACAAAGAAGAACCCCTCCTTTCACGGCACAAACACACAGAGAGAGCCAAACTAACGTTAACTAGTCACCCATGTCCCGAATTCCTTGAATGACTCGGGCTACCAATATGTAAAAAACAAAACACGAATGTAGGTTATGACTTACCCCTAGCAGCTACTGTTAGCTAGCCAAGTGCAAAGCTAGCCACTGAATTGACTCAGCCAGTTCGCGTCTGTTCGCTAGGTCGTTCCAGCTATTGTTTACTAGTAGCTATCCAGGTAGCAACACGCTAGCTAAATTTCAAGCACAGTAGCCACTTGCTACCTAACGTTAACGGTTCAGACAATGAGGTTAGAAAACAGCTGAATGGTAGGCAATTATTGTATGTAATTATTGTAGGCAGCCAGCTGGCGTAATTACAGGCACTCTCAGGCGTGAAACAACTATACCGTTGCTAATAGCTACTCGCCAGCTAGTCCAGGTGGTGGGCTAGCTAGCTAGCTTCGTGCTACACCGGGCACAGCCAAATACAATACTAACCTACAATAAATACATACAACAACCCACGATAACTACCTACAATACCTAACTACAATCTAAATACATAGTTTAAGCCTTACTCGACAAAGCCCAAGCTATGTATAAAGCCAAGCTTACCCGACGCCAAGCTTACCCGACGACCTCCTCCTTCGACCTCCCCCCAGAGGCCCTGTCAACTTATATAGACAGGTGTGTGCCTTTCCAAATCATGTACAATCAATTGAATTTACCACAGGTGGACTCCAATCAAGTTGTAGAAACATCAAGGATGATCAATGGAAACAGGATGCACCTGAGCTCAATTTCGAGTCTCATAGCAAAGGGTCTGAATACTTATGTAAATAAGGCATTTCTGTTTTTCATTTTTAATACATTTGCAAAAATTTCTAAAAACCTGTTTTCGCTTTGTCATTATGGGGTATTGTGTGTAGATTGATAAGGATTTTTTTTTTTTAATCCATTTTAGAATAAGGCTGTAAGGTAACAAAATGTGGAAAAGTGAAGGGGTCTGAATACTTTCCGAATGCACTGTATCTCTCATTTTACATGATTATAGAGAACAAAGTTAGAAACGTGTGTCGATATTTTCATGTTGGTGTAAGATCGTCCCAAAATAAGTCACCCCCTCCCCTCCAGGTTGTTTTGCAGACAGCAGGGTGAGAACTTCTGGTAACATCACAGCAAAGATTGGTCATGCTGTGACTCTGTCCTGTGAGCTGTCTGGAGACGGGGAGGTGTCCCAGGTTGAGTGGAGAATTGGAGGGTGTGATGGCCATAGGATACTGGTTTCTAACACAAACAACCCAATTGTCGTGGAGCCGGACTATATCAACCGTGTCTCTGCTGTGACGATGCGTGGATACACGTTACTAGAAACACAGAGGAATGACGCTGGGCCGTACTGCTGCTCTCTCACAACCTTCCCACATGGGACTCTGAATGGTCGCCTTTATTTGTATCTGAGTGAATACACACAAACAGGTACTGCCCACCTTCACCAACTCCAAACCAGGCTAGCATGTACCTCACATATTTCTCTTCTACGCCAAGTTGTTCTGCCACAGAAGCACCTAGTCACCAAGATGACACCCACAGCCACCTAGTCACCAAGATGACACCCACAGCCACCACGCACGTGCTTTCGGAACTGTCACACTAACCTATACGTCAGCTATTGTAATAATCTGGATGTAGAAAATATAAGATATTTCTAACTAGTTCCCTCCTGTTTTGTCAGCCTTCGGTGAATCTCCTCTCATAATGATTGTGTCCATTGCGAGTGGGATTCTGGGAGTGCTGGTGCTGGGAGGGACCATAATGGCACTGTTGCTCTGTAAGGTGAGACCCACACATCTACCCATAACACCTCTCTCACTTCATAGCTATTTCAGCCTGGTTCTGAGAGAGGGCTAGAGATGAAATTATCTAATGCCCTTAGGTGGCTATAATCGGAACTGCAGTGTAGCTTGGTGGCTGCGATTGATACATGTTGTGACGCCAAGCTGCTATACAACCCAATTTCTCTCCAAAGTGTTTAATGGCACATTCCTATATTCACAGAGGTGTAGAAGACCAGTGCAGGACCCTGTGCATGTGGCAGTTCATCCACAGGGGTTTCCACAAAACCACCCCTCCATCCTCCAGAACAGCCAGGCCCATGCTCCCCCACCACAGAGGAGTAACAATGAGGAGGAGGAGGAGGAGGACAGGGACATGGATTACTTGAACATTGCAGTGCTTCGCCTCCCCAGAATTCCGCCTACTGCCTCGGGGAAGAGATAGAGAATACTGCACTCTCATACACACAGAATAAAATACAAACAAACAAAGACATGTATTCATAAAGACACAATATACTGTATACACACACTCACTGGCACAAAAGCAGTAACATTCACACACTTTACCTTAATTTGGTTTGGGACAATTTCCAGTGTAGCATCTCCCCTATTCTGAAGTAAAGATTTTATGTCAGATTTGATCATCGTAAGAAGCAGTCTTATTGTGCTGGTTATGCTTCCTAAATATCTTGTGTTTTCTAATGAAACAGAATTCAATGTGTCTCAAACACACAGAATGGTCCTGAAGCATGATTTAAACACTACACTCTTAGAAAAGGGTTCTTTGGCTGTCCCCATAAATCTAATCTAATCAAACTTTATTTAAAGTGCATTTAGAATCACTTTACATTAAAACAATAGTAAAAGGACATAGAAAGCAAAACAATCACTTATTAAAAGCCCCCCCCCCTCCCCAAGTTGTAGGCTTCTAATAGTAGAGTCTGAGCAGCTGGAGATGAGGGCATTATAGTAGTCTAGCCTACATGAAACAAATGCATGGACCAGTTTCTAATTCTGGAAACATTCCTGAGATGGAAGTATGCTGTTCTGGATATGCTTTCTATGTGGTTGTCAAAAGTTAGGCCGGGGTCAAAGGTAACACCAAGGTTTTTAACAATCATGTTTGGTGTAATGAGGTAACCATCAATGTTGAGAGTGAGGTCTGACACTTTGTTTGTAAGTTTCTTGTGACCAAGTAGTATAATTTCCGTCTTATCAGAGTTTAAAAGCAATAAGTTGGTTGACTGTAAAGCATCGTCTGGTTTAAAATATAAATACAATTGGGTATCATCAGCATAGCAATGAAAGTGCATGTTGTACTAACAGTTGACATTACCAGGGGGTATCATGTACAAGGAAAATAAAAGGGATCCAAGCAAAGAACCTTGGGGAACGCCACATTCAACCTTGGAACGTTCAGATGAATTATTGCCCATCTGAACAAATTGATACCGCTCAGAGAGGTATGATTTAAAACTATTGAGAACCTGTCCTTGTAGACCATCCAAGTCTTCAAGCCTCTTAGTGAGAATAGCATGATCAATCGTATCGAAGGCAGCACTTAAATCTAAAAGAACAAGAATAGAGACATGACCACGGTCAGGGGACAGCAGTAGGTAATTTACTGTCTTGACAAGTGCAGTCTCAGTGCTGTGAAATGGTCTAAAACCGGATTGGTAGGTTTCAAAGATACTGTGTGAATTTAAAAGCAATGTCAGCTGCTGGGCTACGGCCTTCTCTAGTATCTTAGAAAGGAAGAGGAGGTTTGAGATCGGGCCTATAGTTTTTTGTTCATCTGGTTCAAGTTTAGTATTTATTTTTTATGTCTAATTACAGCCAATTTATGAGATTCAGGAAGTATCCCCCTTTGGAGAGATGTGTTTAAAATGTTAAGCCTTGGCTTGCTTTTTGGGTATAGGGTCAAGTTGGCAGGTGGTAGGCTTGGAGTGCATCATAAGTTCAACCATGCCATCATAAATCAGGGGTGTTAAACAATCCAGAAGAGCTGTGATCTCCTCATAATCCTGTAGGGTTTGTGGCATAGCAGATGGATTCTTTGAGATTTTAGCTCTAATTGTAGTAATTTTCTCAATAACAAACTTCATAAAATCATTACAGGTGAGGCTAGAAAAATGCTCAGGGCAGGTTGGGGCCTGCTTCTCTGTGAGGCTGGCTCAGGGCAGGCTGGGGCATTCTTCTCTGAGGCTGGCTACAGTGCTGAAGAGAAATCTAGGGTTATTTTTGTTATCATCTATTAATTTAGAGAAGTAGGACGCATGCACAGATGCTAGGGCTTGCTTGTATTCGGTGATGCTGTCTTGCCATGCCAGCCGGTATACCTCAAACTTGGAGGAACGGCATTTACGCTCTAGCTTTCTGGCGGCACGATTCAGGGCTCGGGTATGGTCAGTGTACCAGGGGGCAAGCTTTCTTAGGGTACATTTTTTATTTCTAATAGGTGCCACTGTATCTAGGGCTGTTGTAAGAGTAAATCATCCGTCATGTGGTGAACTGTGGTAAGAATGTTAGAATCTGTAACATCTGGGAGGATGTCAATATGTTTTTGAAGTGAGGAGGAATTTACAAGGCGGCTAAAATCTAATCCAGGTTCAGCTCTAGGGCGGACTGCCAATTTAATTTCAAAAGTTATAAGAAAGTGTTCTGAGAGTACAGGATTATGAGGAGAGACTGATACATCTAAAACATCAATACCATAGGACAGGGCTAGGTCTAGTGTATGGCTATGGCAGTGGGTGGGCACGGATATATAGCCGCGGGAAGTAGTTTGGGGGTGGGGTGCTGTGATTTGGGCAGCGATGCAGGAAAATAAAATTGCCCGTGCTACAGACGTCTATATTGGTCCGCTAATACAGGACTAGTAAAGGCCCAGTGCACTACTTTTGTCAAAATTGTTTAACTAAATGTATTTCTATTTGAGTGTTTACCAGCATTTGTAACTTGAGTCTGATAATTATCTGTACAAAACAGTTAATCTGATAATACTTGTGGAATATAAAAATACTTGCTTGATATTTTTTCCAGTTTCTTGAAATACTTTGCAAATGCTACTTATTTCTATGTGAAAACTGAAATGGTCTATTATTTCATTTTACATTTTAGTAGACATTCTACTCCAAAGCAATTTACAGTAGTGAGTGCATACATTTTCATACTTTTTTGTACTGGTCCCTCGTGGGAATCAAACCCACAACCCTAGCATTGCAAGCGCCATGCTCTACCAACTGAGCCACATTATCACATCACATTATCACAAACCATTTGATGTCTCAATGTACTCAATTACTGTATTGTACATTGTTTTTCTTCATGGTGATGGAAAGTCTACAGGTACAAACCTAGATGACCAGCCTATGTACAATACAGGAATGTACATTTACATTAAGTGGTTTGTAAGGATGGTAAATTAATACTGCACAAAAAGGGATTGTTTTCTATGTTATTTGATAAAGAAAAATATTTAATTTGATGTGGATGTTTTGGGTCTTTGCCCATAACTTTGCACCTTTTGATGTAAATGTTTGAGGACAGGGTTTTGTTCTTTCTGGATTCCATTAGAACGACGATCGCAGAGAAAGGGACAGGGCAACAACTCTTACAATTCCAATTTATGAATCCTGCAAGATACTGTTCTTAATTATACAACTACACCTTTTTTGCCAAAGCGGAGATGCTGAAAAAAAATGTTTTGCCGACGCTACAGACGTCTAATACAGCACTAGTAAAGGCCCAGTGCAGTATTTTTGTGAAAAAATACATTTTTCAAAAAATATATAGTTTTTTTATAATTATTTATTATTATTATTATTATTATTTATTTTTTACAAATTCAGGGGGTGCTGCAGCACCCTCAGCACCCTCAGCATCCCTACTTCCCGCAGCTATGCACGGATACATTCTGAGCAAAGCCAAAAGACTCTATACGAGAGGAAAACGCTATACCCAGGGCATCACTGTTATTGTCCACATGTACATTAAAATCACCTACAAATACTATTTTGTCTGATAGGATTACAGCAAAATTCAGCAAATTCTGTCAAAAACATAGTATAAGGACCAGGTGGTCTGTAAACAGTGGCAAGAATAAAATCATCCAAGTAGTCTTTTGCCTTAGGCATGGTATAGTTCAGAGTGAGTCCCTCAAAGGAGGACAAGTCAGTAGCAGCAGTAGGTTTTAAACAGTGTCCGGGCTCGTGTATCATGGCTATCCCACCACCTCTTCCTGATTCACCAGATGTCTGTGAGTTTAAATAAGCCACTGGAGATGTCTCATTTAGAGGACTCATCAGGTCTCAGCCAGGTCTCTGTTAAACTCATAGCATCTATCTTACTCTCAGTAATACCAGGTCTCTGTTAAACTGAAAAGTATGTGGACACCCTTTCAAATTAGTGGATTCGGCTATTTCAGCCACACCCGTTGCTGATAAGTCTATAAAATCAAGCACACAGCCATGCAATCTCCATAGACAAACATTGGCAGTATAATGGCCTTACTGAAGAGCTCAGTGACTTTCAACGTGGGACCGTCATAGGATGCCACCTTTCCAACAAGTCAGTTTGTCAAATTTTGCCCCTGCTAGAGCTGCCCCGGTCAACTGTAAGTGCTGTTATTGTGAAGTGGAAACATCTATGAGCAACAACGGCTCAGCCGCGAAGTGGTAGGCCACACAAGCTAACAGAACGGGACCGCCGAGTGCTGAAGCGCGTAGCGTGTACAAATCATCTGTCCTCGGTTGCAACACTCACTGCCGAGTTCCAAACTGCCTCTGGAAGCAACGTCAGCACAATAACTGTTCATCGGGAGCTTCATGAAAAGGGTTTCCATGGCCGAGTAGCCGCACTCAAGATCACCATGCACAATGCCAAGTGTCAGCTGGAGTGGTGTAAAGCTCGCCGCCATTGGACTCTGGAGCAGTGGAAACGCGTTCTCTGGAGTGATGAATCATGCTTCACCATCTGGCAGTCCGACAGACTAATCTGGGTTTGGCGGATGCCAGGAGAACACTACCTGCCCCAATGCATAGTGCCAACTGTAAAGTTCGGTGTAGGAGGAATAACGGTCTAGAGGATTCTGTGCTTCCAACTTTGTGGCAACAGTTTGGGGAAGGCCCTTTCCTGTTTCAGCATGACAATGCCGCCGTGCATAAAGTGAGGTCCATACAGAAATGGTTTGTCGAGATCGGTGTGGAAGAACTTGACTGGCCTGCACAGAGCCCTGACCTCAACCCCATTGAACACCTTTGGGATGAATTGGAATGCAGACTGCGAGCCAGGCCTAATCGCCCAACATCAGTGCCCGACCTCACTAATGCTCTTGTGGCTGAATGGAAACAAGTCCCCGCAGCAATGTTCCAACATCTAGTGGAAAGCCTTCCCAGAAGAGTGGAGGCTGTTATAGCAGCAAAGGGGGGACCAACTCCATATTAATGCCCATGATTTTGGAATGAGATGTTCGACGAGCAGGTGTCCACATACTTTTGGTAATGTAGTGTATCTTACTGTCTGTAATACCAGGTCTCTGTTAAACTGATAACATTTATCTTACTGTCAGTAATAAGTTCATTTTTAAGTGCAGTTTTAGGACTGAGAGATATAATATTCAATAGGCCAGTGTGATAAATTGATTAGATTTGATGGGTCTGAATGGTAATGAGATTACTCACATTTGATCCAGGCTGTTTTTGTATTCTTTGTAGTCTGGGCATGGGGTATACAGGTTGGATGGAATGAATCAAAATTTGCAAAGAAGCAATTTCTTCACTACAGACAGACAGTCAGTTTTTAAAACAGCTGGCAATGTTGCTGGAGAGTACACTGGACCAATGTTGCTGGAGAGTACACTGGACCAATGTTGCTGGAGAGTACACTGGACCAATGTTGCTGGAGAGAACACTGGACCAATGTTGCTGGAGTACACTGGACCAATGTTGCTGGAGAGTACACTGGACCAATGTTGCTGGAGAGTACACTGGACCAATGTTGCTGGAGAGAACACTGGACCAATGTTGCTGGAGAGTACACTGGACCAATGTTGCTGGAGAGTACACTGGACCAATGTTGCTGGAGAGTACACTGGACCAATGTTGCTGGAGAGTACACTGGACCAATGTTGCTGGAGAGTACACTGGACCAATGTTGCTGGAGAGAACACTGGACCAATGTTGCTGGAGAGTACACTGGAACAATGTTGCTGGAGAACACTGGACCAATGTTGCTGGAGAGTACACTGGACCAATGTTGCTGGAGAGTACACTGGACCAATGTTGCTGGAGAGAACACTGGACCAATGTTGCTGGAGAGTACACTGGACCAATGTTGCTGGAGCGAACACTGGACCAATGTTGCTGGAGAGAACACTGGACCAATGTTGCTGGAGAGAACACTGGACCAATGTTGCTGGAGAGAACACTGGACCAATGTTGCTGGAGAGTACACTGGACCAATGTTGCTGGAGAGTACACTGGACCAATGTTGCTGGAGAGAACACTGGACCAATGTTGCTGGAGAGTACACTGGAACAATGTTGCTGGAGAACACTGGACCAATGTTGCTGGAGAGTACACTGGACCAATGTTGCTGGAGTACACTGGACCAATGTTGCTGGAGAGTACACTGCACCAATGTTGCTGGAGAGAACACTGGACCAATGTTGCTGGAGAGTACACTGGACCAATGTTGCTGGAGAGTACACTGGACCAGTGTTGCTGGAAAGAACACTGGACCAATGTTGCTGGAGAGTACACTGGACCAATGTTGCTGGAGAGAACACTGGACCAATGTTGCTGGAGAGTACACTGGACCAATGTTGCTGGAGAGTACACTGGACCTTTGCGGTTTGGATGTAGCCCATCCCATAGGAGAACACTTTTTGGTTCCAGGTAGAACAAGTTCCAGGTAGCACCCTTTTAACCCACATTAAATTAAATCAAACAGTGAGGACAATAAAGTAAGATGAACATTTTTGAGCAGTATTCAACAGCCATTTATAAGCCTTATTGAATTATCAGAGGGAGTCACCAGTAGAGACCCATGTCTATTATGTTGCAAGAACATTCCTGTGTCCAGGTTTCTGAGGGTTAGGAGAATAAGATTTCGACTCCCAGCTCAGGCCTGTGAGCAATAGGATAAAGTGGTTCTCACTCTGCTTGCCCTGACCCAAAGTTATGCTTCCAGTGTAGCAGGTTTCATTGGACAGGAAAAGGCGCAACGCTCGCTCACCATTAAAAATATGTAGTTTTATTAGACAAGTTTAAAAGGGAATGGACAAGTTCATAAAGGGCACAGGGAAGACAATTAGGGAGAAAACTCTTCAGCTGGTGGTGCTAATGAGAGACAGTGTGGTAGACCATACAGGTTGGTACTCAGGGTGTGGTGTGCTGTGGTCAATGTCTCCACCTAGTGATGAAAAAGCTCACATTCTAAATGAGATGTCCAACCCTTTTTTAGATAACCTGGTCATTTGGAAACTTTACATCGATTACATTTTTGTCAGGGGCACAACTTTCACTGGGAACATGTCCCCCCCACATTCTGAAATTGCATTTTTGTCCCCCCCAGTTGTATCATTGGAAGGTGGTACGAAACGAGGCAACGGTGTGCTTTAGGACCATGGGAATGCCTCAGAGCGGTAGGCTGTTTGGAGTATTTATCTGAGTGGATAATTAATTTTATTATGTCGTCCCCCCCACTTCTAAAACCAAAGTCGCGCCCCTGATTTTTGTTGTCTACAAGGGTGACCTAAAGTCCTTGAGGTGCTTTCACCAATTTCTGAATTCCATTACAGGACACCTGCGCTTCACTATGGAACATGACGAGGGAGGACTATACTTCCTGGACATACGTGTCAACAAAACCGGTACCTTCCTCACATCTGATCTATTCAGAAAGAGCACAGACAGAAACAATTTCCTCCACGCTCAAAGTTGCCACCCTCCCACCCTAAAGAAAAGTCTCCCTATAAGTCAACTACAGTGGGGAAAAAAAGTATTTAGTCAGCCACCAATTGTGCAAGTTCTCCCACTTAAAAAGATGAGAGAGGCCTGTAATTTTCATCATAGGTACACGTCAACTATGACAGACAAAATGAGAAAAAAAAATCCAGAAAATCACATTGTAGGATTTTTAATGAATTTATTTGCAAATTATGGTGGAAAATAAGTATTTGGTCAATAACAAAAGTTTCTCAATACTTTGTTATATACCCTTTGTTGGCAATGACACAGGTCAAACGTTTTCTGTAAGTCTTCACAAGGTTTTCACACACTGTTGCTGGTATTTTGGCCCATTCCTCCATGCAGATCTCCTCTAGAGCAGTGATGTTTTGGGGCTGTCGCTGGGCAACACGGACTTTCAACTCCCTCCAAAGATTTTCTATGAGGTTGAGATCTGGAGACTGGCTAGGCCACTCCAGGACCTTGAAATGCTTCTTACGAAGCCACTCCTTCGTTGCCCGGGCGGTGTGTTTGGGATCATTGTCATGCTGAAAGACCCAGCCACGTTTCATCTTCAATGCCCTTGCTGATGGAAGGAGGTTTTCACTCAAAATCTCACAATACATGGCCCCATTCATTCTTTCCTTTACATGGATCAGTCGTCCTGGTCCCTTTGCAGAAAAACAGCCCCAAAGCATGATGTTTCCACCCCCATGCTTCACTGTAGGTATGGTGTTCTTTGGATGCAACTCTGCATTCTTTGTCCTCCAAACACGACGAGTTGAGTTTTTACCAAAAAGTTCTATTCTGGTTTCATCTGACCATATGACATTCTCCCAATCCTCTTCTGGATCATCCAAATGCACTCTAGCAAACTTCAGACGGGCCTGGACATGTACTGGCTTAAGCAGGGGGACACATCTGGCACTGCAGGATTTGAGTCCCTGGCGGCGTAGTGTGTTACTGATGGTAGGCTTTGTTACTTTGGTCCCAGCTCTCTGCAGGTCATTCACTAGGTCCCCCCGTGTGGTTCTGGGATTTTTGGGGTGAGATCTTGCGTGGAGCCCCAGATTGAGGGAGATTATCAGTGGTCTTGTATGTCTTCCATTTCCTAATAATTGCTCCCACAGTTAATTTCTTCAAACCAAGCTGCTTACCTATTGCAGATTCAGTCTTCCCAGCCTGGTGCAGGTCTACAATTTTGTTTCTGGTGTCCTTTGACAGCTCTTTGGTCTTGGCCATAGTGGAGTTTGGAGTGTGACTGTTTGAGGTTGTGGACAGGTGTCTTTTATACTGATAACAAGTTCAAACAGGTGCCATTAATACAGGTAACGAGTGGAGGACAGAGGAGCCTCTTAAAGAAGAAGTTACAATTCTGTGAGAGCCAGAAATCTTGCTTGTTTGTAGATGACCAAATACTTATTTTCCACCATAATTTGCAAATAAATTCATAAAAATCCTACAGTGTGATTTTCTGGATTATTTTTTCTCAATTTGTCTGTCATAGTTGACGTGTACCTATGATGCAAATTACAGGCCTCTCTCATCTTTTTAAGTGGGAGAACTTGCACAATTGGTGGCTGACTAAATATTTTTTCCCCCCACTGTACATAGGGTCAAGCACATCTGCTCCAGTGAAAGCGCATTCAATAGAAGAAAGGATGAACTCCTGGAAAGATTCAGAGCAAACGGTTACAATCAGACATGGTTCAAGCTGAAAGTAAACTCATGAAAGTAAACTCATGGATGTCCCTAGAGCACAACTACTGAGAAAGCCCACAAACCCTAGAGAGCCAGACCTCCTATCCAACTGATCCCTATCTACACCCCACAAAGTCCAGTACTACTAGGCATCATTAAAAAAAACATTGGCATATTCTACGCTCAGACTCAGCTCTAGGTAATACATTTCAGCAGCCTCCTGCGGCCGCCTACCGTAGAGCTAAAAACATTAAAGACAGTGTTGTCCGATCCGACATCAGCCAAGGCGCAAACAAGACCAGCCTCCTGCTTATTCCCCCCGGCAACTACAAGTGTGGCAATTGTACTCAATGCCAGTACACCAAACATATGAAAGGTTTCTCGCACCCCAAATCAGGTCGAGACATCAAAATCTAAAGTACCATCAATTGTAATTCTCGCAATGTGATCTATGTGATTGTGCATCTTATTTTACCTAGCAGAAACTTCAAGGGAGTTGCGCACTAGAATGTGTGAGCACCGAAGTGCCATTCCACGTGCTGAACCCAACAGCCCAGTGGCCCTCCATTTCAAAGAGAGAGGACACTCGCTTTGTGAGTTTTTTATTTATTTTGGAATTGAACAAGTAAGTAAAAACAAACGCGGTGGCGATGTTGACAAACACTGAAGGTCCAGAGAGACATTCTGGATCCATTCCTTAGATACTTTAGTCCCCAGAGGTCTTAATCTAGAGAAGGACTATAGTATGCTTTTGTGAAAGGCCCCATCCCTTTGTTGGTCCAGTGACAACCCCCTCCCCCCATTTGCACTTCTTGTTTACACATGGAAGGAGCTTACTAGCTCGCTAACTGTTGTCCGAACCAGTTGTTAGACCTCTTTGCTTTTGATGTTTTTTGTTGTTATCCCTAGTTCTGCTTAGCCCTGTTGTTTATTTTTCAATACACAACATATTCAACATGTATTATATACAGTAGTAGTGGTTGTGTATCTATTACCCCTACTGTAGTTGAAAAAAGCTTGTCCAGTTTTCCAATTGTTGTTTATTGGTTTCACTCCTGTATTTAATCACTAGGTAGAGACATTGACCACTGCACTCCAACCCTGTTCCTTTAGAGCTACCCTCCTGTAGGTTTTAACTCCAACCCTGTTCCTGGAGAGCTACCCTCCTGTAGGTTTTAACTCCAACCCTGTTCCTGGAGAGCTACCCTCCTGTAGGTTTTAACTCCAACCCTGTTCCTGGAGAGCTACCCTCCTGTAGGTTTTAACTCCAACCCTATTCCTGGAGAGCTACCCTCCTGTAGGTTTTCGCTCCAACCCCAGGTGTCACTAACCTGATTCCTTTTATCAACCTGCTAATTATTAGAATCTACAGGACGGCAGCTCTCCAGGAACAGGGTTGGGCAGTCCTGCCCTATATGAACTTGTCCATTCCCTTTGTGATTATTCTGAAGGATGCCATTGAAAGCCGAAACGTCAATATTTTAAACTTGTCTAATAAAACTACGTATTTTTCATGGTGAGCGAACGTTGCACCTTTTCCTGTCCAATGAAGTCTACACATTTTTAGGTTGCACCTCTACTCATGTTGGTTGAGCACCTTCTACTTCTTTCCAGTGTAGCAGGTAAAATAAATATACTGCTTTAGCAGTGACCCAGTTTATCTCCTTTGTCAGGTTACTGGAATTCTTTGCAGTTTGGTTGTTTTCAGTTGTTTTTTTTTTTACCTGCCTAATGGGGTAACCACACTTTCCCGACTGCCATAAATTGTATGTTATTCACTTAAACAATGGGGATTAACCAGAAAGATCCTAATTAGGCTAGGCCTACTGGAAAATTCAGTTTTGTTATTTTCAGTTAATTCTTAAAAGTCTAAGCTGTAGGGGGGGGTTCTAAGCTGACATGGAATTGTTTTAAGAAGGTCATTTCATGGCTCATTTAGCTATTTGATTTAGAATTATAGGACCCCTTTAGGTATCATAAAATAATATTTAAATGATTTGGTAAAATATTGAATTTGGCCTTTATACTATAGCCCATAGAAACACATTGAATAACACATACATAAATGGCAACAAAAAAAGAAATCATAAGGAATCATCTATTGAAGTGTCTGTCCTATAGGAAATATATATATTTACACATTTAACCCCTTATTTTTGTTGGCACAAAACTACCTCCATACTTCCATTAATTTGTATGGGTAACCTTTAGACGAGTCCCATGACACCTGAGTCTCCCCTTTCTATAGAGTGGTCATATTTTTTCTAGGCCAAACCGATCAGATGTCACAGACGTTTTCGTGAGAAGACGATTTTCGGGATGTCTCCTGGACTGAAAAACACGCTGTAGCTCTGCCACTTTCCACCACAAATGCGAAAGGGCAACATGCGGTGGATTGAGACGCAGCCCATGCAAAAATGGATATCTCTAGTTTAAATTGACGGATTTTGATGGATTATTATTACTTACTGGTGTGTCAATAGATTTTAAAAAATCACTTTTGCTCAATTTGCCTCGTGATTGAACCGCCCACTGCTATAGCCGCACCTCCGCCTAAACTATTCTAAGGTGGAAGGGGGTTTAGCAATTTTTATACATGAACAAAATAGTGCCTTTCTGGTCATATATACCTTCAATGACATAATATATTAATTTAAACATGTATTAACTTCAAATGTTAAAGCTTGGTTTAAGTGCCCTATGTTTTTTTCGTTATAGGATACAGCAGCAGTTTTTCCACTTCATAAACATAATGGTACCTTCTAAAAAAACATGACTCAAGTCATGTGATGTGACTATATAAACAGGGAAGTGAACATCCATTTGTGAAATATTTCAGTCGTAAATATTTTAAGCTGTAAGTAACTTTCTTTCTGCAACTAATCATGATGAAGTGTGGCGGTACCGCCGAGGTAAAGGATGCCACACCCGAAGTGCAGCAAATCTGCGATGAGGTGAGCATATTTCCTTAATTTATCCTGCATAGTCCAGCTGTCCCATAGCTGAGGAACGCTCAGCTCCGTTTTCGAGGCGGAAAACTAGTCGCGCGATTTGCTAGGAACCACATGGACTTACCATAAGTTGATACTTGTAAAAGTATAAATTCTGTAAACGCTTACCTGTACAACTGCGGTCCTTCTGCGGGGTGCTGACATTCACTTTTAATAACTTAAAAACGAATACAATCACCGACTTTTTAATCATTTGTTGCTTAACTCTGCGCGAGAGTGCCAATTGAATCGCAGTTACTACGTCAAGGCCGCTACGTCTCCATATGAGTAACACAAATTAGGAAAAAATCGATGGTGGTTTTCGATAGAAGTATTTATTAAAAGTATGAATTTCAGCACCCTGCGGAAGGACCGCTGTTGTACAGGACAAACAGCTGCAGGTAAACTTTTTCAGAATTGTGATTTTTACAAGTATCGACTGATGGTGACTGAATGTTGTTGCTATCAAATCGCGTGACCAGTTATCAATACTCAACTCCGCCTTGATATAAGATAATGGAGTTGAACGTTCCTCAGCTGTCCCACTGAACATCCTCAATTTTTAAGAGTTGATACTCAGACTTGATGAAGGTGTAATCTTAAACCTAGACGTTGTTGAATAATCAGCTCTACAGTGTTATGTTATATATGGTCTCTGGTATTATGGTAAATGTCCAACTTATAGGCCTGTAGGCGTGCATTTGCGTAGGCTATTTGGAGTAAATGTGGAATGCTGTGGGAACAACTGAGTCATTGCCTTACTGTATTTTAAATGTTTCTAGATGAAGCCATATGCAGAGGAGAAAGCTGGAAAGAAGTTTGATGTTTTTGCTGCCAAAACATTCACAACACAAGTTGTGGCGGGGACCAACTTCTTCATTAAAGTGAGAGTGTTTAATTTAAATATAATTTCTAGCCAATTTTTTTGCTAAACTAAATGTCTCCAGTTCCACTCAACGATATTTATTAACCCTAGATGACTGACAGGGGGGCGCTCTTGTGAAGCTGCTGCACAACAATTTTGGTACTCCTCAATTGTAAATCAAAATAAAGATTTAGGAAGCTATAAAAGAAATGCATTGATTTGTTTGACTAATATATTAGACACCTTAATGCATAGGCCTTCTTTTAAATTATATTAAGGGAACTGAACATTTAACATAAAAAAAATAAAAAAAATCCTTAAATTCCTGAACCATTTTTTTTAGAGTACCAATGTTACTGTCCCCACTACAACAAATACATTATTTTGTTTTCAAGCTCTGTGAGAGCTGTGACAGCCTGCCACACCCTCACAGCCCCTGTGTGGGGTTCAAAGCATTTGGCTGCATCAAGAATGTATAGGGAGTGAACCAGAGGCGGATGGTGGCACCTTAATTGGGGAGGACAGGCTCATAGTAATGGCTAAAACAGAATGAATGGAATGGTATCAAACGCATGATGTGGTTGATATCATTCCATTTACTCCATTCCAGCCATTATTATGAGCCGTCTTCCCCTCAACAGCCTCCTGTGGAGTGAACATGTACATACTGGAAGAGCTATGTGATCTCTAAATAAACAGATCATTACTCAGTCTCGACTCCCCATCCGCTATGCTTCACTAACCAGGCCCTATTCCTTCCTTCCTTCCTTTTCTCAAAGGTCCATGTTGGTGGAGATGAATTTATGCACCTGCGGGTCCATAGAACTCTACCCCACGCTGGCGGGAAACTGGAGCTTCATGGAGTACAGACTCCCAAAGCTCACCATGACCCCATTGGTTTCTTCTGATTACCTGTAACTCCCTGCAGAGGATGCCACACCTCTACTCCATGCCTGGATCATGTGTACCCTTGTTTATTATGGTCACCTGTACTGCATTATATACTTCCATTGGTAAATGTCTGTCTTTGGTACTAAAAGCTGTCTAAACCTTTTGACAAAATGGCTTTTGTTAGAACATAAATACAAATTTGACAGCCGACTGTTGTTTTTGTCAATCTATGCGGAGGTTAGTAGCCACTAACATGTTTCTCATGATTGCATGGTACATTTCGGGGAGGAGAGATTGTCAGTAGATATATATATTTTTTTCTCTCTGAAAGTTTAAATAAAGGAAAAGAAAGGGGGATACCTAGTCAGTACAACTGAATGCATTCAACTGAAATGTGTCTTCCGCATTTAACCCAACCCCTCTGAATCAGAGAGGTGCGGGGGGCTGCCTTAATTGACATCCACGTCATTGGCGCCTAGGGAACAGTGGGTTAACTGCCTTGCTCAGGAGCAGACCGACAGATTTTCTTTACCTTGTCAGCTCGGGGATTCGATCCAGAAACCTTTCGGTTACTGGCCCAACGCTCCTATACAGTGCAGTCTTCCAATCGAGGCCGCAAATGAAGGTGGTCTCCTTTTAAAATCGGTACAGCTGGGGGAAGAGATTTGACACCCTCATGTGGTGCAGTTTTCCTTCATGGAAGAAGACTCAGATTGTAGCTCTGTCTGAGCATGTTTTGCATTTAAGATAGAAACAGACTTCCTTTTCTTTTTTGCTGAAAACATTTGCCCTGTCTACTGAATGCAACTCAAGAGGGCCACACCCATTCTAAGAGGTGATCACAACTTGTAATGACAGCATATGATTGGCTGATGGCAGCTTTTACCTGTTAAATTTCACCAAAACCCACACGAAGCTGAAAACTCGTCCCTTTGTCTTTGGGGGTTTGATGAGGGGAATAAAAAGTAGAGGTTGAGGGGAGGAGAGGAATATACACTGTGTACAAAATATTAGGAACACCTTCCTAATATTAAATTAAACCCCCCCAGTCCGCCTCAATTCATCGGGGCATGGACTCTACATGGTGTCGAAAGCATTCCACAGGGATGCTGGCCCATGTTGACTCCAATGCTTCCCACAGTAGTGTCAAGTTGGCTGGATGTCCTTTGGGTGGTGGACCATTCTTGATACACACGGGTGACTTTTGAGTGTGAAAAACCCAGCAGCGTTGCAGTTCTTGACACAAACCAGTGCGCCTGGCAGTGCTGGCACCTACAACCATACACCGTTCAAAGGCACTTAAATCTTTTGTCTTGCCCATTCACCCTCTGAATGGCACACATACACAATCCATGTCTCAAGCCTTAAAAAGCCTTCTTTAACCTGTCTCCTCCCCTTCATCTACACTGAAGTGGATTTAACAAGTGACATCAATAAGGGATCATAGATTTCACCTGGTCAGTCTATATCATGGAAAGAGCAGGTGTTCTTAATGTTTGTACACTCAGTAAGTCACCTAAAAGCCACCAGAATAAGAGAGTAGGCGAACAAAGGAGCACAGCACTAGAATTATCTAATTGTATTTGTCACACGCGCCGAATACAACAGGCCCTTAACCAACAATGCAGTTTTTAAAAAATTAGAGAAAATATTTACTAAATAAACAAAAGTTTAAAAAAATTAGCACAAAATAACAATAACGAGGCTATATACAGGGGATACCGGTATCGAGTCATTGTGTGGGGGTACAGGTTAGTCGAGGTAATTGAGATAATATGTACTTGTAGGTAGGGGTAAAGTGACTATGCATGGATAATAAACAGCAAGTAGCAGCAGTGTAAAAACAAAGTGTGTGGGGGGGGGGTGTTCAAAGCAAACAGTCAAGGTAGCTATTTGATTAATTGTTCAGCAGTCTTATGACTTGGGGGAAGAATCTGTTAAGGAGCCTTTTGGACCTAGACTTGACACTCCGGTACCGCTTGCCGTGCGGTAGCAGAGAGAACAGTCTATGATTTCGGTGGCTGAAGTCTTTGACCATTTTTAGGGCCTTTCTCTGACACCGCCTGGTATAGAAGTCCTGGATGGCAGGAAGCTTGGCCCCAGTGATGTACTGGACCGTACGCACTACCCTCTGTAGCTCCTTACAGTTGGATGCAGAGCAGTTGCCATACCAGGCGGTGATGCAACTGGTCAGGATGCTCTCGATTGTGCAGCTGTATAACTTTTTGAGGATCTGGGGGCCCATGCCAAATCTTTTCAGTCTCCTGAGGAGGAATAGGCGTTGTCGTGGCCTCTTCACGACTGTGTTGGTGTGTTTGGACCATGATAGTTTGTTGGTGATGTGGACACCAAGGAACTTGAAGCTCTCGACCCGCTCCAGTACAGCCTGTCAATGTGAATGGGGGCGTGTTCAGCCCTCCTTTTCCTGTAGTCCACGATCAGCTCCTTTGTCTTGCTCTTGTTGAGGGAGAAGTTGCTATCCTGGCACCACACTGCCAGGTCTTTGACCTCCTCCCTATAGGCTGGCTCATCGTTGTCGGTGATCATGCCTACCACCGTTGTGTCATCAGCAAATTGAATGATGGTGTTGGAGTCGTGCTTGGCCACGCAGTCATGGGTGAACAGGGAGTACAGGAAGGAAAAAAGCATGCACCCCTGAATAAGGTCAATGCTGATCGTGATGCTCGTGGTGGTGTGTCTGTTGCTTACTGAAGCTGGTGAGTATGACATAACATAGTATGCAGCATGACACACAGGACATAATCATGTGATTATGATAACAGTGTTACAGGGTAGGCTACAGGACAACCCTGAGTGACTGACTCACAGTTGACGGGACTTCCCTGTTTTATATATATTTATTTTGGGAAACGCAAAACCAAGAAAAAGAGGATGTCATTACCCAGAGGAGTGAAGAAGATTCAAGAAGCCCTGGGGGAGTCATACATTATAACTTTACTTGTTTGCCTGTGTCCTCTTCCTCTGTTTCTCTCACACCACCACTGTCTTTTCTGGGTGATTCCTTACATGTGACACTGTGTGGTGATTCCAACTTTATTAAGAATTGAAAGCCTTGATGTTCAAACTGTTTCATGTCCATATTTTTAAGTGTTGTGGTTGTGGCCATTCATTTGTTCATGAGGTGGTTGGTTGTGTCTCTTGCAAACCTAGTGGCATTGTAAGTACTTTGAAACAGAACTGGATCCTACACGCAATATTTATTTCTGTACCTTAAACAGTGATTAACAGGACTTCTTATGTCCCTAAACAATAATTAAACACTTGTCTTACATACTCATTCATATCTAGTCCCTAGTATACCAGCTTCTAGTTCACTTGAATTATATCATTAAACAAACATTGTTTACTAGTTTTTTATTTAGCTAAAGTAAAAGAGGACACCATTGTAAATAAACATTTGAGATGTAAGTTTAAAAAGTATTGCGGCATATCAATTACTATGCGATAGTAATACAATATTTCTTCTGATATTATGGACAAAACTGATGGTATTTATTTTGTCTTTGTTCTAGTAACGACCCAAGGTGAGTTACGATCATGGAAGAGAGGATGTCATATCCATATTTACAGGGTTGACTATGTAGTTACTGTGTTGTACTTTTTCCCCCTCAGTGATGAACTGGCTTCATAAAGTGGTTGACGTTGATGAGCAATCTGTCTGTCAGTCTGTCTGTCTGTCCTTTCTGTCTGTCCTGTCTGTCTGTTTTTCTGTCTGGCATCTATCAGTGATTAACACAATCATTTCTGATCTTTCAACTTAGAAAAAGGTATTGCTAACAGTGTCTGAAAGACAGGTGAGCACAGTACAATTGAGAGAAACGTTATGAAGACAACGTACAGTCGTGGTCAAAAGTTTTGAGAATGACACAAATATTAATTTTCACAAAGTCTGCTGCCTCAGTTTTTATGATGGCAATTTGCATATACTCCAGAATGTTATGAAGAGTGATCAGATGAATAGCAATTAATTGCAAAGTCCCTCTTTGCCATGAAAATGAACTTAATCCCAAAAAAACATTTCCACTGCATTTCAGCCCTGCCACAAAAGGACCAGCTGACATCATGTCAGTGATTCTCTCGTTAACACAGGTGAGAGTGTTGACGAGGACAAGGCTGGAGATCACTCTGTCATACTGATTGAGTTAGAATAACAGACTGGAGGCTTTAAAAGGAGGGTGGTGCTTGAAATCATTGTTCTTCCTCTGTTAACCATGGTTACCTGCAAGGAAACACGTGCCGTCATCATTGCTTTGCACAAAAAGGGCTTCACAGGCAAGGATATTGCTGCTAGTAAGATTGCACCTAAATCAACCATTTATCGGATCATCAAGAACTTCAAGGAGAGAGGTTCAGTTGTTGTGAAGAAGGCTTCAGGGCGCCCAAGAAAGTCCAGCAAGTGCCAGGACCGTCTTCTAAAGTTGATTCAGCTGCGGGATCGGGGCACTACCAGTGCAGAGCTTGCTCAGGAATGACAGCAGGCAGGTGTGAGTGCATCTGCACGCACAGTGAGGCGAATACTTTTGGAGGATAGCCTGGTGTCAAGAAGGGCAACATGGAAGCAACTTCTCTCCAGGAAAAACATCAGGGACAGACTGATATTCTGCAAAAAGTACAGGGATTGGACTGCTGAGGACTGGGGTAAAGTCATTTTCTCTGATGAATCCCATTTACGATTGTTTGAGGCATCCGGAAAAAAGCTTGTCCGGAGAAGAAAAGGTGAGCGCTACCATCAGTCCTGTGTCATGCCAACAGTAAAGCATCCTGAGACCATTCATGTGTGGGGTTGCTTCTCAGCCAAGGGAGTGGGATCACTCACAATTTTGCCTAAGAACACAGCCATGAATAAAGAATGGTACCAACACATCCTCTGAGAGCAACTTCTCCCAACCATCCAAGAACAGTTTGGTGACGAACAATGCCTTTTCCAGCATGATGGGGCACCTTGCCATAAGGCAAAAGTGATAACTAAGTGGCTCGGGGAACAAAACATTGACATTTTGGGTCCATGGCTAGGAAACTCCCCAGACCTTAATCCCATTGAGAACTTGTGGTCAATCCTCAAGAGGCGGGTGGACAAACAAAAACCCACAAATTCTGACAAACTCCAAGCATTGAGTATGCAAGAATGGGCTGCCATCAGTCAGGATGTGGCCCAGAAGTTAATTGACAGCATGCCAGGGCAGATTGCAGAGGTCTTGAAAAAGGAGGGTCAACACTGCAAATATTGACTCTTTGCATAAACTTAATGTAATTGTCAATAAAAACCTTTGACACTTATGGAATGCTTGTAATTATACTTCAGTGTACCATAGTAACATCTGACAAAAATATCTAAAAACTCTGAAGCAGCAAACTTTGTGAAGACCAATACTTGTGTCATTCTCAAAACGTTTGACCACGACTGTACACATACAGTGGGGAAAAAAAGTATTTAGTCAGCCACCAATTGTGCAAGTTCTCCCACTTAAAAAGATGAGAGAGGCCTGTAATTTTCATCATAGGTACACGTCAACTATGACAGACAAATTGAGGAAAAAAAATCAAGAAAATCACATTGTAGGATTTTTAATGAATTTATTTGCAAATTATGGTGGAAAATAAGTATTTGGTCACCTACAAACAAGCAAGATTTCTGGCTCTCACAGACCTGTAACTTCTTCTTTAAGAGGCTCCTCTGTCCTCCACTCGTTACCTGTATTAATGGCACCTGTTTGAACTTGTTATCAGTATAAAAGACACCTGTCCACAACCTCAAACAGTCACACTCCAAACTCCACTATGGCCAAGACCAAAGAGCTGTCAAAGGACACCTGAAACAAAATTGTAGACCTGCACCAGGCTGGGAAGACTGAATCTGCAATAGGTAAGCAGCTTGGTTTGAAGAAATCAACTGTGGGAGCAATTATTAAGAAATGGAAGACATACAAGACCACTGATAATCTCCCTCGATCTGGGGCTCCACGCAAGATCTCACCCCGTGGGGTCAAAATGATCACAAGAACGGTGAGCAAAATTCCCAGAACCACACGGGGGGACCTAGTGAATGACCTGCAGAGAGCTGGGACCAAAGTAACAAAGCCTACCATCAGTAACACACTACGCCGCCAGGGACTCAAATCCTGCAGTGACAGACGTGTCCCCCTGCTTATGCCAGTACATGTCCAGGCCCGTCTGAAGTTTGCTAGAGTGCATTTGGATGATCCAGAAGAGGATTGGGAGAATGTCATATGGTCAGATGAAACCAAAATATAACTTTTTGGTAAAAACTCAACTCGTCGTGTTTGGAGGACAAGGAATGCTGAGTTGCATCCAAAGAACACCATACCTACTGTGAAGCATGGGGGTGGAAACATCATGCTTTGGGGCTGTTTTTCTGCAAAGGGACCAGGACGACTGATCTGTGTAAAGGAAAGAATGAATGGGGCCATGTATTGTGAGATTTTGAGTGAAAACCTCCTTCCATCAGCAAGGGCATTGAAGATGAAACGTGGCTTGGTCTTTCAGCATGACAATGATCCCAAACACGACGCCCGGGCAACGAAGGAGTGGCTTCGTAAGAAGCATTTCAAGGTCCTGGAGTGGCCTAGCCAGTCTCCAGATCTCAACCCCATAGAAAATCTTTGGAGGGAGTTGAAAGTCCATGTTGCCCAGCGACAGCCCCAAAACATCACTGCTCTAGAGGAGATCTGCATGGAGGAATGGGCCAAAATACCAGCAACAGTGTGTGAAAACCTTGTGAAGACTTACAGAAAACGTTTGACCTGTGTCATTGCCAACAAAGGGTATATAACAAAGTATTGAGAAACTTTTGTTATTGACCAAATACTTATTTTCCACCATAATTTGCAAATAAATTCATTGAAAATCCTACAATGTGATTTTCTGGATTTTTTTTCTCATTTTGTCTGTCATAGTTGACGTGTACCTATGATGAAAATTACAGGCCTCTCTCATCTTTTTAAGTGGGAGAACTTGCACAATTGGTGGCTGACTAAATACTTTTTTTCCCCACTGTACTGTCAACTACATATCTTGTTCATTCTATATGAACGTCTTAGAGTGGCCTGTTGTCTGATTCGTTTCCTCATGTAATTTATCCCTAGTCATCCATTTATCAGGGATTTCATTTACAAATTATAATCCGGTGGGTGCTTATATTTGTCCTATTTCATGCATGTACAAGTGTGTAATAATTTGCATAAGAGAATTGGAAATGTGTTTTTTGCATTTCCCAACCCCCTGAGACACCCTCAGAGAGTGGGATCACGGCCAAGGTCAGGGATTTGAAGCCAGACTTGACAAGACGGTGAGTAAACAGACTATATGAGCACGTAATAAATATAGAGCTTGAGTACCCACCTATTTGGTATAATTTATGTAATAGAGCCCTCCAACTTAACTCTGGACCACAAAGCCAGTTCCACTTTTTGTTGTCTTCGTTCCCCTCTAATCAGAGACTGATTTAGACCTGGGACACCAGGTGGATGCAATTATTATTTAATTATCAGGTAGAACAGAAAACCATCAGGCTCCGGACTTCATAGGGTAAGAGTTGAATAGCCCTGGTATTAGATGTTCTGTTTTCTATCGTCTAATGATTCAAAGACGTGTACTCTCCTCTGTCCTCAACTTGAAGAACACCATGTCAGTACTGTAGATGGACAGCAGAGATCATCTTCCTCATGAAATATGCTATGGTGCAGCTGGGAGCATAGTTGGAGTAAAAAGACTTGCAGTAACACATACTGAGTCTGCCATCTGTCAGTATGAACATAATGGCACACTATCTTATAGTGATCCAGTACAATTGATGACTCAGTTTTCTTGCTCATAGTACATACTAGTTCATCTATAACATAGAACATAACATAGTAATACCCAAACTTGCATGGTTGTTCAGTCAGTAGACTACAATCCTTTGTGGTTTTATTTTTTGGAACGTAATACATGTCAATCTATTTTCAAGTGCCAACCTTATGTCAAACTTAACATGTTAATTACATTTAAATGTGAATAAGAGAATGTTCCAATAAACTATTTTGTCCCCTCAATCAAGTGGTTTGATTTTATTTGCACACTTGAAATAAGCACACAAATATTGTCAGATGCTGAGTACATTTCTTGGTTTTGATTTCTCAATATTGGTTTCTAGAACACTGTTTCAACTGGCAAGGTATGTGGGTTGCAGGTGTGTCTGTGACTTATAGACTTGTCCACACCTGTTTCAGGTGTTCCATAACAGTATGTCTACGGCCTTACCTTAAGCCCAACAGCCAAAAGAGTGGAGAATTAACCACTGGCAAATAGTTTCTTAGAACATATAGTTTCTTAGAACTTATATAAGGATTATTTGCCTGAAGCAGTATACGATTTAAAGGGATAGACCACTCAAAAGATAAGTGGAAAATCATGTTAGGTTGTGTTTTGAGTGGACTATACGTTTAAAAATGTTGACCTGAGATGATATGAAACTTATATTACATGAAGGCTTGCTCTACCTCCTCCAGCAAGGTTTTACACAGATAGTTAGAGTTCACATTAAACTACACACACACACACACACACACACACGAAAATAGATACAGGGCTTGTGTTAGGGGGAGCTCTGTTTACCATCCAAAGTGCTGACAGTTTGTTTTGATTCTCTGGTTCCTGCCCACAGAAAGCACTGGAGAGGCAGACACTGCATTGTTCATCACAGTCTTTGTCAATTTTTGCTGGTGTTATTTTTCTAAATTGATGGGCTGAGGCTTGACAATCAGCATCACAACTCATGATATAATTTCTCAAGTTATGCAAATGTATTTGAGATTAAATGTGTATACACACTTGCACTTTGATGAAATCTCTCTCTCATCATCTCAAAATGCAGTTCAGGATATTCCTTTATGTGGATCAGTTCACCTGGTGGCAGTGGGGGATGGGGGGGACTGCTCCTGTTTGAACCCATCCCACCTCCAGGGTTCATAGAGGGAGGAGTAACTGGGAGGTCCCGGCCCCACCCCCCACAAGCCCCATCTCCACCCGTTGGTATTGTGTGTGTGTGTGTGTGTGTGTGTGTGTGTGTGTGTGTGTGTCTAGGGGGTGGGGAATAGAGAAGGTGGCAGGTAGCAGGTTGTGTATGGGAAGGAGGGGGGGGGGGGGGTTTATGTAAACCCATGCTCTACAGTATATATAGGAGTGAGAGGCAGCGAAGAAAAACAGATCTCCTGTTCTGTCCTCTTCCTCGTACAACCCCTGACTTTAAAATTATTGATTTGGAACCTGCTCTGCTGTAGCCATGACGACCATGCTGCTGAGAGCGCTAGGAGCACTGCTCTGCTCCTTGGTTGTCACCGCTGAGGTTATGCCCCAAGGAGACTTCAATCTACAGGGGGTAAGAATGAAGAAAGGGATTAACTGGAGGAGAAAAAATACAAACAAGGGAATTGTGATGAAAACAAGATACAAATGGAAAGGATTAAGAGAAATGTAGGAATTCTAGTGACACATTTTCAGATGCTCATATTGAGACAGTAGTTATTGAGATTTTCATTTATAAATGATTCAGGGATATTTCGGTATCAGCTCTCACAGATTTAGGATTGAAAAATTCAGTGAATGAGGAGGTGATGTAATCTAATCAGGGCAGTTTTTTTTCAGGTGGCAGGAAAGTGGTACCTGATTGGATTTGCCACTAATGCCCAGTGGTTTGTCAGCCACAGGGCCGGCATGAAGATGGGCACCGCCATTCTGACACCAACTGCTGATGGAGACCTGGACATGGCATATGCTAGCCTGAAGTGAGTGAGTGAGTGAGTGAGTGAGTGAGTGAGTGAGTGAGTGAGTGAGTGAGTGAGTGAGTGAGTGAGTGAGTGAGTGAGTGAGTGAGTGAGTGAGAGAGTGAGAGAGAGTGAGAGAGAGTGAGAGAGAGAGAGAGAGAGAGAGAGAGAGTGAGAGAGAGAGAGAGAGGAGAGGAGAGAGAGAGAGAGAGAGAGAGAGAGAGAGAGAGAGAGAGAGAGAGAGAGAGAGAGAGAGAGAGAGAGAGAGAGAGAGACTTTCTGCTGATACTGTATTAACTATATTGTCTCTGTAGCTCTGATGGCTCCTGCTGGAGAATGAACCACCTGGCTGAGAAGACAAACCTTCCTGGGAAATTCATCTTCAAGAGCCAGCGTAAGTCTAGAACCTATACACACACACACAGAGCCGGGTCTAACCTTTTGGGGGCCCTAAGTGAGAATTGGTTACAGAGCCCCCCACCTCGCAGAAAAACATTTTAGTGGCCCCCCTCTTGATGGTGGAGAGAAACATTTCCTGCAATTCTACACATTTCGCCATGGGGCGTAAATAAATTGTTGCAATTTTATAACAAACGTCATGCAATTCTACTCATTTTGCCATGGGGTGGAGAGAAATGTTTGCCGTTTTAAAGCTAATTTCTTGAAATTCTACACATTTTTTAATGGCTTATGGAGGACTGCTTTTCTGAGGAGTGCCAATATGGCCATCCAATTGTTAGCTGACTGTCAGTGACTGACATAACATAACAAGAGAAAAACTGCTGATGCACAATCAAATTGCACCTGGTGTATTATTCTATTCTTACTCTCAATAGTAAGTTGAGACCAATGATGTGTGTAAACCCTGGATTGCTGATGCTATTTATTGGCCAATGAGAGGCTTTGAAGCCACTGGTCGGCCATATTGGCACTCCTCAGAAAAGCAGTCCTCCATAGGAATAAATGGAATTCAACAGTATTTCATTTAACTGTTTCAAGGTAAAATTACATGTATTTAAGTATTTTTGTTGTTGTAGTGGGGAAAGTAACATTAGTACTTTCTAAATATTATATAGACATGTTTTTTATATATATTTTCTAAAAATATATGTTTAGCTCACATAATATAGTTTAAAAGTATGTACTAAGGTGTCTTTATAATAAGTGTTGCAAAAACAAATGTAAACAATTATAAAAGCATTTCTATCCAGGCTCTGTCGCAGCCGGCCGCGACCGGGAGATTCATGGGCGGCGCACAATTGGCCCAGCGTCGTCCAGGGTAGGGGAGGGAATGGCCGGCAGGGATGTAGCTCAGTTGATAGAGCATGGCGTTTGCAACGCCAGGGTTGTGGGTTCGATTCCCACGGGGGGCCAGTATAAAAATAAAATGTATTCACTAACTGTAAGTCGCTCTGGATAAGAGCGTCTGCTAAATGACTAAAATGTAAATGTAAATGTATAGCTTCCAAAATATTTTTTACAACGGTGGGGGAGTGCCAAGATGGAGTCGCGGTGGCTTCAAGACATCGCCCCCTGTCAGTCATCTAGTGTACATATAAATCATTTGTTGAGACCCCGACAGTTCCTAAAAAACAAACGTATGTTGCTTATGCCTGGAACCGGCCCTGTTCATACACACACACACACACACACAAAGTGCACCAATATGTGTGTCAATTCATCTTCTTTTTCTCTCTAGGCTGGAATAATGAAAATGACATGCGTGTCGTTGATGTTAAGTATGATGAGTACGCCCTCATTCACACCATCAAGACCAAGGGAGGTGTTTCAACTGTGCTCAACAAACTGTATGGTAAGTTCCTTTCCACTTCTCTGTCAATTCCTATAACTCAGTCTCATTTTGTCACTATTTTTTCCTCCATAATTTGTTAGTAATCTTATATTATAAATTGTATTGTATCCTTCATAGTATATTTAGTCTGCCATGTTCTGTATGTGCGGTGTCTACAGCCCGTGGGACAGACCTGAGCCCTGACCTGCTTCAGAAGTTTAAGCAGTTCTCCCTGGACACTGGCATTCTGCCTGAGAACATTGCTATCCTCCCCAAAAACGGTTTGTTCCATTTCTGTTTGTGACATGTGTTTTTACACTGCTGCTACTAGCTGTTTCTTATCTATGCATAGTCACTTTACCCCTACCTACATGTACAAATTACCTTGACTAACCTGTACCCCCACACATTGACTCGGTACCGGTACCCCCTGTATATAGCCTCGTTATTGTTATTTTATTGTGTTCCTTTTATTTGATTCAGTAAATATTTTCTTAACTCTATTTCTTGAACTGCATTGTTGGTTAAGGGCTTGTAAGTAAGCATTTCACGGTAAGGTCTACACCTGTTGTATTCGGCGCACGTGACAAATAACATTTGTTTTGATTTGATTTGATTTTTTAAAAGGGTTTTATTAAATCCATATCGTGGAAGTTCAGCGTTACAGAGTGATTTAAATTTAAAGGCAATGTTCCTGCGTTAGCGGAGGCTGCAGCATATGTCTGCTCAATCAGAATGACCTTAACATTTCTAGCCTGCAATCTGTAAGGCTTCAGCGATACCGGTTGAATAGGGCCCTATATGAACAATATTTATGGTTAGAAGTGTGGAGTGTCACAGACCTATAAATATGAACCTTCTTTCGTTCTTTCCGCAGATGAGTGTCCCGCTGCGTAATTTCATCAATGTTCTTCACTTCCAAAGCATCCTCCCTTGATCCTTCTGCATGGCTTTTCTACTTGATGGGCAGGCATACCCATGGCAACTGTGGCAACCAGGAACCACTTTTAGCTGCGGTGACCCATCAGGTTCCGCCTTAACCTGCAGCTACGCTACATTGCCCACTGAAGCCCAGTTTTTCACTTCCCCGATTTGTTCCAATAAAATACTGCCTGGTGCTTTATCAGTTTGTCAGTTATTCTACTCTTGTATATGACAGGTATTTAATACCTCTGATCCTAAGTAATATAAGCTGCTTTAGAAGTCTGAATTGATCACATGTAGGCCCTAATGTAAACCCAGCTCTAAAAGCAACCTTGGAGTACCATCATTCTATGGAAAATGTTATCCTACTCCTTGCAGTTATTAGTATTTGGATTTAAATATACTTCATTATCTAAAGTAAATGTAATTGCTAAAATATACTTAAGTATCAATAATAAAAGTAAAAGTATAAATAATTTCAAATTCCTTATATTAAGCAAACCAGATGGCACTATTTTCTTGTGTTTGTAAATTTACAGATAGCCAGGGGCACACTCCAAAAACATTTACAAACGAAGCATGTGTGTTTAGATAGTCCGCCAGATCAGAGGCAATATGGATGAGCAGGGATGTTCATTTGATAAGTGTGTGAATTGGACCATTTTCCTGTCCTGCCAAGCATTCAAAATGTAACGAGTACTTTTGTCTGTCAGGGAAAATGTATGGAGTAAAAAGTACATTATTTTCTTTAGGAATGTAGTGAAGTAAAAGTAAAAGTTGTCAAACATATAAATAGTAAAGTACAGATAACCGTAAAAACTACTTAAGTAGTACTTTAAAGTATTTTTACTTAAGTACTTTACACCACTGACTGGCCTACACACAATACCCCATAATGTCAAAGTGGAAATATGTTTTTAGAAATGTCTTGAGTCAATAAGTATTCAACCCCTTTGTTATGGCAAGCCTAAATAAGTTCAGGAGTAGAAATGTGCTTAAGTGGTCACATAATAAGTTCCATGGACTCACTCTGTGTGCAGTAATAGTGTTGAACATGATTTTTGAATGACTACCTCATCTCTGTACCCCACACATACAATTATCTGTAAGGTCCCTCAGTCGAGCAGTGAATTTCAAACACAGATTCAACCACAAAGACCAGGTAAGTTTTCCAATGCCTTGCAAAGAAGGGCACCTATTGGTAGATTGCAAAAAAATAAACAAAGCAGACATTGAATATTCCTTTGAGCATAGTGAAGTGATTAATAACACTTTGGATGGTGTATCAAAATACCCAGTCACAACAAAGACACAGGCGTCCTTCCAAACTCAGTTGCCGGAGAGGAAGGAAACCGCTCAGGGATTTCACCATGAGGCCAATGGTGACTTTAAAACAGTAAAACAGTATGTACAAATTACCTCGACTAACCTGTACCCCCGCACATCAGTACCAGTACCCCCTGTATATAGCCTCGTTATTGTTATTTTATTGTGTTACTTTTTCTATTCTTTTTTAGTTTAGTTTATTTAATAAATATTTTCTTAACTCTATTTCTTGAACTGCATTGTTGGTTAAGGGCTTGTAAGTAAGCATTTCACGGTTATATTCGGCGCATGTGACAAATAAAATTTGATTTGTAAAATAGTTTAATGGCTGTGATAGGAGAAAACTAAGGATGGATCAACAACATTGTAGCTACTCCACAATACTAACCTAAATGACAGAGTGAAAAGAAGATAGCCTCTACAGAATAAAAATATTCCAAAACATGCATCCTGTTTGCAATAAGGCACTAAAGTAAAAAAAAAAAATGTGGCAAAGAAATTAACTTCATGTCCTGAATACAAAATGTTATGTTTGGGGCAAATCCAACACATCACAGAGTACCACTCTTCATATTTTCCAAGCATGGTGGTGGCTGCATCATGTTATGGGCATGCTTGTTATTGGCAAGGACTAGGGAGTTGTTTAGGATACAAATAAATGGAATAGAGCTAAGCACAGACAAAATCCTAGAGGAAAACCTGGTTCAGTCTGCTTTCCAACAGACACTGGGAGACAAATTCACATTTTAGCAGGTCAATAACCTAAAACACAAGGTCAAATGCTTACCAAGATGACAATGAATGTTCCTGAGTGGCCTAGTTACAGTTTTGACTTAAAATCAGCTTGAAAATATATGGCAAGAATTGAAAATGGCTGTCTCGCAATGATCAACAACCAACTTGACAGAGATTAAAGAATTTTAAAAAGAATAATGTGCGAACATTGTACAATCCAGGTGTGCAAAGCTCTTAGAAACGTACCAAGAAAGACTCACAGCTGTAATCGCTGCCAAAGGTGATTGTAACATGTTTTGACTCAGGGGTGTGAATACTTATCTAAATGAGATATTTCTGTATTTCATTTCCAAAAATATCTAAAAACATGTTTTCACTTTGTCATTATGGGGTATTGTGTGCAGATAGGTGAGAAAAAACATTTAATCCATTTTGAATTCAGGCTGTAACACAACAAAATGTGGAATAAGTCAAGGGGTATGAATACTTTCTGAATGCACTGTACATGTTGGTCAATTATTAAAAAGACAAACATGCAGGTAAAATACTTTGCTTTTATTAACTTTTTTCATAGCTTTTTTTAACAAATACGTCAAGTACATCCATAACAACACAGTTCTGATTCCTCCTTTTGTTTAAGTGTTTACATCTACACACTTTTTACAGATTCGTGTACAAAACAATAATTTACGTCCCATAGAATTCTAGTTACACTGAACTATACAACAAATTTCATGATGATGAAATAAATATAAAAACTAAAAATTATCACAGGGGAAGTAACTGTCGAAGCCAGAGTACAAATATACCACCAGTCTTTATGAGTTACATCTCTCTTCAGGGAACTAATACCGCTCACTGGACACTGACATAAATTGATGGGAGAATCTCAAATCGCATACTCCTCGCATCCTCTCTCCTTCTCAAAACCCATTGAAGGAGAAGGTTAGAGGGGACGGACCTCTGGCACTCTCATCCAATGGGTTTTGAGGAGGCGAGGAGCGCGTAAAGTAGCATGTTGTGGTTATGAATCAGCAGTACCAGATATTGTGCATCCTCACTCTGAAGGCCTTGCTGGCGTTGCATCACACTTCAGTCAGGTGTCTGATAATCAAGCTTATTAGGGGTAAAATAATGTGTATGAAGAGGGGTTTATGGGATGGAGTTCATTAAATGATACTGCTTACCTGTATGTTAGATCCCCCTACCCCGATGGCATGGTCAGCCACATGTAGTATCTCACTGTGTTAAGAAGTGAATCAACTAAGAAACCTTCTCTGAAGCCTTACAACGGCCTTGGCTATTTGCTATGATGCAGTCAACTCCTTCTCCAGACACTGTACATGACCGGACAGACAGTTCTCCTCAGAATACCAAAGATAAGACAACAGGGAGATGTTGGTTCAGACTACCAGGAAGCACAATAGATACATTAACTGACATCTCTCACAACAGGCATACATACAAGCAAGAACTCAACTACATACAACACACATACTCTTCGTGTCTCAGCGTTCAAAGCATCAGGTATAATTCATGAGTTCATGATTACTGCATTCATAATTCTTAAAATAAATTGGTGGCAAGTGCTATTAGAATTTAGTTCATCTCGACTACTCTGCTCAGTGGATCTGCTTTTTCTCTCAGCAGGTGAGTGTCCATTTTATTGTGTGAATACAAACAGCTTGTAGATCATGTTTTATCTTAGTCGTGTGCCAAGTTAAAGTAGGCTTAAAAATCGCCACTTTAATAAAGAACTGATTGTGGCTGTGGAGTAAAAACGATGATTCTGCAAAGACCTCAGAGACCCGAGACTCTTGCACATTCTGCCATGCAATACTGTCACCAGCAGGGGGACATGCAGATAAAGTGCAAGTCTGTACAGGGCTTTGTCACCTTATTCCATAGGCCTTACACCGGTATATGTACATTTAAATTCATTTTCAGTTGCAGGAAAGTTGGCTTGAGAGTCATTGCGGTAAAAATAATAGATGTTCCCTGTTAATGCAGTATACACACACACACACATACATACATACAATTGATTACGGTGTGGTGGTTGCATTAGTGTTGTTCTGGTGGTATGAGGACTGGGCAGTGCCAGGGTCACTCTGCCTGCACCAAGTCCTTGTGGTGGCGTGCAATATGCTGGTTCTTCTCTGAGGGCCTGCGGAAGCCTTTAGAGCAGATCTCACAGCGGTGGGGGTAGTCTTTTGTGTGGATGGAGATCACATGGCGCTTGAAGCCTGAGGCATCCCCACTGCTGTAATCACAGTACTGACACTGGTACACCCTCCTCTCCCTGGGCCCTGTGGCCAAGCCCGCAGCACTAGAACTAGCACCAGGCACCAAAACCTGCTTCTTTGCCACCGGTGCACTGGCAGAGGCAGAGGCAGGGGAAGGCCCCAATAAGGTCCTTTTGGCCCCGTTCTTTTCAGGAGAGGCCTGTTGCTCCTTGGTGTGAACCGACAGGATATGGCGACTGAGCACAAAGGGGTCTGCGATCTTGAAGTTGCAGTGCCGGCACTGGTGCAGTTTCTTGGCACGGTGCGACGCCGAGTGCTTCTTCAGTTCAGACGGCCGGTGGAAGCCTTTATCGCAGACGGCACATTTGTGGGGGTAGTCCTTGGTGTGCACCGATATGATGTGGCGCTTCAGGTCACTGGAGTTGGAGCTCTTGTGTTCACAGTGGGCACACTGGTGGGTTTTGGCCTCCTCGTGCGTCAGTCCATGCTGCAGCAACTCCTCCTCCTCAGCAAAGGTCTGGAAGCAGCGTTCACACTTGAAGGGCATCTCTTTGCTGTGCTTGGTCTTGACATGCGTCTTCAGGTTGGAGGAATCAGCCGACTTGTAGTCGCAGTAGAGGCAAGAGTAAGGCTTCTCGCCGGTGTGTGTGCGCATGTGTTTCTTCAGTTCGGAGGGGTGCCGGAAGCCCTTGCCACACTCCACACAGATGTGGGGGAAGCTCTTACTATGGACGGCCAGCAAGTGGCGGTTGAGCAGTCCTTGTTCAGCCGTCTCGTAGTCACAGAACTTGCACTTGTGCATCTTGTTGGCCTGTGAAGGCACCGGGCTCTTGGGCTCACGGTGGTGGTGCTGCAGTCGATGGGAGAACAGCGCCGCCTGCTGGTGGAACTCCTTGCCACACACCTCACACTCAAACGGAGCCTTGTTGCTCAGCGTGTGCACCTCCATGTGGTTATGAAGGCTGGCCTTCTTGTTGGTGGTGAAGTCACAGTCCGTGCACTGGTACTTTTTCCTGCTAAGGACATCCTGGTGGTGGTTTTTGGTGTGGCGCTTCAGGAAGCCTCGCGACTTGAACTTCTTGCCACAGAGCACGCAGGGGTATACTGTCAGAGGCTGGCCATACGGACCAATGATGATGGCTAGGATGGGAAACGGCGAGAGAGAAGAAAATTAGGATAGATACAAAGCTCATGACTCCCAGATATCACTTGACGGTACAAAAACAAGATGGTCTTGTATTCAGAAATTAAATGTGAAAGCCTGTGCAGTGTGTTTGGCAAACATTATAAGTGACCTGCAGTCATAGAATCAGTACCAGACAGTTTTTTTGTCCCATCTGACAGTTGCATACCTGTCTGGACCTGGCGAGGCTCAGCCCTTGTTCTCTTGTTCCGTTGCCTGTTGACCTTGTCCACTCCGTCTGATTCGTCAATGTGCAGCAGAGCACTGGCAGCACCGTTTCGGTTCTCACAGCTCTCACTGTCCTCAGAACCTGGAATCACACAGCAAACATTCAATGCAAATGCACACCTTCTCTCACCCCTGCTAGAGCAGAGTTACAGTGAGGGAAAAAGTATTTGATCCCCTGCTGATTTTGTACGTTTGCCCACTGACAAAGACATGATCAGTCTATAATTTTAATGGTAGGTTTATTTGAACAGTGAGAGACAAAACAACAAAAAGATCCAGAAAAACACATGTCAAAAATGTTATAAATTGATTTGCATTTTAATGAGGGAAATAAGTATTTGACCCCTCTGCAAAACATGACTTAGTACTTGGTGGCAAAACCCTTGTTGGCAATCACAGAGGTCAGACGTTTCTGGTAGTTGGCCACCAGGTTTGCACACATCTCAGGAGGGATTTTGTCCCACTCCTCTTTGCAGATCTTCTCCAAGTCATTAAGGTTTCGAGGCTGACGTTTGGCAACTCGAACCTTCAGCTCCCTCCACAGAATTTATATGGGATTAAGGTCTGGAGACTGGCTAGGCCACTCCAGGACCTTAATGTGCTTCTTCTTGAGCCACTCCTTTGTTGCCTTGGCCGTGTGTTTTGGGTCATTGTCATGCTGGAATACCCATCCACGACCCATTTTCAATGCCCTGGCTGAGGGAAGGAGGTTCTCACCCAAGATTTGACGGTACATGGCCCCGTCCATCGTCCCTTTGATGCGGTGAAGTTGTCCTGTCCCCTTAGCAGAAAAACACCCCCAAAGCATAATGTTTCCACCTCCATGTTTGACGGTGGGGATGGTGTTCTTGGGGTCATATGCAGCATTCCTCCTCCTCCAAACACGGCGAGTTGAGTTGATGCCAAAGAGCTAAATTTTGGTCTCATCTGACCACAACACTTTCACCCAGTTCTCCTCTGAATCATTCAGATGTTCATTGGCAAACTTCAGACGGGCATGTATATGTGCTTTCTTGAGCAGGGGGACCTTGCGGGCGCTGCAGGATTTCAGTCCTTCACGGCGTAGTGTGTTACCAATTGTTTTCTTGGTGACTATGGTCCCAGCTGCCTTGAGATCATTGACAAGATCCTCCCATGTAGTTCTGGGCTGATTCCTCACCGTTCTCATGATCATTGCAACTCTACGAGGTGAGATCTTGCATGGAGCCCCAGACCGAGGGAGATTGACAGTGATTTTGTGTTTCTTCCATTTGCGAATAATCGCACCAACTTGTAGCCCATTCCAGCCTTGTGTAGGTCTACAATCTTGTCCCTGACATCCTTGGAGAGCTCTTTGGTCTTGGCCATGGTGGAGAGTTTGGAATCTGATTGATCGATTGCTTCTGTGGACAGGTGTCTTTTATACAGGTAACAAACTGAGATTAGGAGCACTCCCTTTAAGAGTGTGCTCCTAATCTCAGCTCTTTACCTGTATAAAAGACACCTTGGAGCCAGAAATCTTTCTGATTGAGAGGGGGTCAAATACTTATTTCCCTCATTAAAATGCAAATCAATTTATAACATTTTTGACATGCGTTTTTCTGGATTATTTTGTTGTTATTCTGTCTCTCACTGTTCAAATAAACCTACCATTAAAAATATATAGACTGATAATTTCTTTGTAAGTGAGCAAATGTACAAAATCAGCAGGGGATCAAATACTTTTCCCCCCTCACTGTACCTATCGCTACAGAGGACAGGTGAGCAAGAAGACATTCTCTGCCTTGTTAAACTGTATGCTTGTATATAAATAGTGTGTTACTGACCATACGTGGCTGCCCAGGCCACAGGCATGAAGTCCTTGCTGAGAGCCGTGCCGTCGTACGACCGCTCGTGGGTCACTGGTTCCTCACCCCCCACCACCACCTCCATATAAACCTCATCAGATATCTTTGATGAACCTGCAGGGGAACATACTAGTTACAACACAACCGTAAAAACACACACACACACACACACACACACACACACACAGAATGTATTTCTTACCATGGCCCCCCTGAGACATGTACACCATCTTCTCTCGAAGCGTTCGGCCTGTAGAGTCTGTCAGTGCCACGTCCTCTGTGTCTCCATCACTGATGTCCACTGTTTCTCCTACACAGACAACCACACACTGATATAATACTTCTTGGTGATCAACTACTATAGGTTATAGAATCCCTCTTTCTTAGGGTATTAAACATTATTCAAATGTCTCCTTACCCAGGTCATCCTCCCCAGAGTCTGCCTTGAAGATGTACACCTTGATCACCTCCTGGCCATCCTCATCCTTCTCCACCTCCTGGTCCTCCACGGCTCCCTCCACAGTCACCTCTGTACCATCGTCTGACACCATCTTGCCTGCCTCATCCACTGGAAGGAGATGAAAAGAGACAGACAGAGTGAGAGATCCATTCACTACTGGTCATTAGTTTAACTGCAATGTTTTCTTTATAAGAGGCCAGGTGACAGTGGTATTGATGGAGAACTGGAGAGGAGAGAAGCAGCCTGGTACTCACAGGAGATCATCAGGTAGTCACCACAGCCGTCTGTGTCTTGCTCTGGGTCCAGTTCATCCTGGGTATGCCCGTCTGCAACAATCACATCCTCAGGGATGTCCCCCATGGCAACGCCTTCGTCCTCCCCCTCCAGTGACATCACACACGTCTCCACAGCAACCTCCTCGTCCTCATCGCAGTGCACATACTCAGACACCACGTCCTCAACAGCATCCTGGATCACCAGCTCGTCTGGAGCGAATCCATGCACCGCCATTCCCTCCCCCTCCCCCTCCCCCTCCGACACCAGCATCGTCTCCTGCAACTCCACCACAAACTCCTCCCCTGCAGCACCGCCTTCATCTGGAACACATCAACACAGGAACAGTTGGATATCTTTAGCATAGGCCTACATAAACATACTGCACAAGACCCATTCATCCACTCTTAGACAACAACAAAAAAAGCTTTGAAGAAATGTTAAATTTTTGTGCAGAACAAAGAACAGTACAGGGAATTAGTTGAATGTGCAAAAAAAATGTAGCTATTACCTGACCCATGGAGAATGATTTTAGGCTCTTGGGAATGTAGTGCCAGCCTGGTCTCGTCCTCATCCATTGTCCTTACACCTCATTGGTCACTGCAGCACTGGAGGCAAGAATTTACCAGTCAAATCAGTCACATAGGCCTAATGACCAACCAAAATGTGAGTCTTCCACAGGGGCGCAACTTTCACTGGGGACAGGGTGGGACATGACCCCCCCCCCCCCCCCCCCCCCCCCATTCTAAAATTGCATTTTTGTCCAACACAGTTTAAACATTGTTGTGTGATACAAAAAGCGGCATCCATGTGCTTTAGGACCATGCGGACGCCTCAGAGCGGTCGGGTAGGATGTAACATGACATGTTTCATCCCTCTCCACTGAAGTTCTGTCTGAATGAACTAGCTAGCTAGTAGCTACCACAGCCAGTTCAGCTCTAGCTATCTGTCAGGTAGTAGCATCTAACAGCTGTTGTGTGTATGGAAATGTTTTGCAGCCTTTTTTGTCCCGTTTCAACCGAAGTCAATTAACTTGGCTAGTTTTCGCCAGTTGATGTACAATTAGAGCTAGTCAAAAGTTGGCTAACTTTAGCTAGCCAGCTCACTAACTTTATCTATTATTTTTGCCTCAATCACACCAGACCTGAATCAAACGATGAAACCAGTGGCCAAACGAATGAGGCCCGATATTCTGACGTTTTTTGACAGCGCAATGTTAGTTTTTATTAGTCAGTATAGCAATTTAACATTATTGATCTGTCAGTTTCCCTAGCTAATTCCCTACTTTTCTCTGACAGTGTAGCTCTACAGGCTACACTGTCATGGTGCAAAGTCAGTACACAACACTATGCTCATCATGTCTTAGCAGGATCAGATGGTGACAGGTGTCCCAGCAGGGTCAGACAGCCAGGGAAGACCAGTCTACGGAGCTCAGGTGAATTTTGCATTATATTATAACAATCAGTGAATGATACAAAGTTCCATCTTGAGTTGATGGGTAGGGTACAGTCTGGGATCTGGGAATAATGGTAATTTCAATTATTGAACCATTGATTATATTCTTGGATAATATAATGTATAAATGTACACCAAGGTACTTCTTTGTCATGCCTCATCTGAGCAGGATCAGATGGTGACAGGGGTCTCATCAGGGTCAGGCAACCAGGGAAGACCAGTCTGTGACGGAGCTGAGGTGAACTTTTGCAGATACAACACTTTATTTTCTCTGTGCAGCAAACACTGGACAAGCAAGAAGCTTCATAGATTTAAACTACTTTAAGGCAGTCTGACAAACCTCAAAAGTTGATTTCCAAACAGTATCAAGAGTTGATAAGAGGCTTTTCTCTATGACACAAAACACGTCAAGCAAAAATCTGAGGAAGACCTGGGAAACACTATTGATGATGATGAATGGATAGATATGTTTGAATGCCCAGTCATGTTCATTTATAGCAGCTAAGAAATGCATTGCCATTAATTGGAAGGTTGGTTATCCTCCCACAATGTCACAATGGATGGCAGAAATGTCAAGTTATGTATCACTAAAATTGATTTATTACAAGATTAAGTGTATACTGTGCAACTTTCATAAGGTCTGGGTGCCTTATGTGGAATACTGTATGACAGTACAGGTCTGTATTGAAAACAATATTTTTTTTTTGTCGAGCAGTCGCAAATAGATAATTTTTTTCATGGCACACGAAACACCTGTCTGATTTGCACCTGTCTGATTTGCGCCTGTCTCAGTGGACTAATCCATTGGAGGCCACAGGGATGCCACGGTCCAAGAATATGGGGATTGTGGCTCAGATGCACAAGGCACATCTCTCTCCAGAATGCGCTGCTCTCTCCCGCCATTTTGTGGGTATTCATTGTTTCATAATTTCATTGTGTGCATTGTTTGCTGTGTCTATCAATTCCCCATTACATATATCATCACCAGTAGTAGCCTACATTTACCGTTAATTCCCATAATTTCTATTCTGCAATGTTTGTTTGGTTATGCTAATCTCTGTTAATGCATCCAATATACTATTATTATTAGTCATTTACCGTTCTCATTGTCGGAATGGACATGTGTTTTGCAGAACTCACAACTTATGCTACACTTGAGAAACACGTTTTTGTTTATTTTATTCCATTTACGAGTTTTGTCAATTTATTTATTGTCTTTTGTTCGAAACGCTCCTGTTTGTCAATGTTGAGTAAGGATGCACACCCGATTACGCATATAGAAGTAGGACTAGTCTACTTGGCCTGCGCACAACTGTAGGCCTATAAAATGTGCCCATTTGGGGATGTCTGAGTATTTCTGATTGCCTTAACTCACCACCACTAATGAGCTGTGGAGCTTCTCAAAGTAATTTTTCACCTCAAACAGCAAGTAAACGAAGTCTGTCTTTATAATCAATTGAGAATGATATAGTTCCTCAAAGTATTTGAACAATATTTCCAGCTCTCTCCCTTTCGATAACCACTCGGCATGAAATGGAAAAATGGAATGCTCTGATCCAGTGGAAACGTCAAAAAATACTTCATTACTTCTTATCCCTTGCACAAATAGCCTACAACTGTGTCTGTCCCGAGCTCATTGGCGCAGGAAACTGGAGGGCCCAGAATATTTTATACAATGTTTCAAGTTTGCTAGCAGGAGTTTCTGGGCCACCCAGTTGATACAATGTTTCAAGTTCTTTGCAGAAAAGCCATTCATTGCCAATGTAATTTATAGGATATTTATTTTTATCAATTAGATTTAGATAGAATGTCAATTAACTACAAACAATGATTTTGAGATCCAAAGACTATTATAAATTAAATGAAACTGTTCCACAAAAATGTGCATATGAAAATCATAGAAATTGTAAGCTAAAATGGCACTACAAATGGAAAAAGTTGCTGACCACCGGTGTAGTCTATTACCGGCAACTTCAGGAGCGTATCGGCAAAATCTGGTAAGGCCAGCAGCAGCGGGACCAGGGGGGGAGGGGGTCGGGAACAGTTTTTTTTTCTTCTGGTTAGGCTATCTTGATCTCTGGCTCCCTTGAGTCATTTGTGTGTCTTAATTATTTAATCAAACAGTGTGCTTAAAGCATCAGACAAGTTCAGTAGACTACATATAGTCAATTTTATTAAAACACACTGGGAGGGTGTGTCTGTATATGGAAAAATACACATTAAATTTACGACCAAATCGATTGGTCGAAAGAAAAGGCTACTCTTGGTCGACCAAGATTTGTTGTGTGTGTCAGGGACAGCCCTGGTAGAAATACAGGAAATGAGCTTTAGATGCCCCAAAAATCCAGAGGGAGGTCCCCCCTCCAGGTAATGCCCCCCACTTCTTAAACCAAAGTTGCGCCCCTAGTCTACCATATTCAAATCCTAAATCTCAAACATATTTTTCTCTCTAACAAGAAACAATCTTGGTACAATGTAACGGATATCATTAAGCACATGTACTTCACATCCTGTGAAATGTAGCCATGTCCCAATCTGTCTAGACACCAATTATATTGGTCTTATTTGGGGCAAACCTAAGCTAGCTAGCTATATTACTTGGCCCACTGCCTAAACCAAAAGGAGGAAGGGTATAGGCAGCTATGTGATTAGGGTTTTTACATCTATGATAAAAATGAGAATATCATCATTTTGTTGTAATGTGCTTTGACATGGGCCCCGTGTAGCTCAGTTGGTAGAGCATGGCGCTTGCAACGCCAGGGTTGTGGGTTAGATTCCCACGGGTGGCCAGTATGAAAAAAAATGTATGCACTCACTACCTGTAAGTCGCTCTGGATAAGAGCGTCTGCTAAATGACAAAAATGTAAATGACATAACGAGAGATGTTTTCAGCCAAGCAAATACATTACTGTCGTAATCCTCATAGTCCAGCAATGTGAAAAAATCTATGTGGTTACTCGCCGAAATGTACCGAAACCAAAAATGTTTCGAGCGACTCAGCCAAGGCAATGTGCCGTTACATTTTTTATCCAATTCCCCCACCCCTTGGTCAAATCTGACAGCAGGTGTGGCGCACAAGTGTGGGAGCGCGACACAGGCGGTGCTGCTGCATGACGCTCACCGGACAGATGCAAAATGAGCTGATCACACTCAAAACCTTTAGCTAGCCTTACATGAAAATAGGAACAAACTCAGTACAAAAACGACTGGTATAATGTCTATTTACGCAAGAAGCCAACATTTAAGACAAAAGGTCTGCAAGCAAACAAAATGAGGAAATTTCACCAAATTATCTGTCTGTCGTAGTAAAATGGTTACGTCATAGCTAACATCAATCAAATAGTAGATCGTCTAGCTAAATGTGGTCAATGTTGTTTAAAAAAAAGATGTGAAGAGGCAGCTTTAGTTAACTAACATCAATGTAAACATGACTTTCATGACAGAGCGCACACATCCATCCGATAGTCAATATCAATACATTTAGATAGCGAGCCATCTGAAAGGTTTATTGCTAGGTAACTATGGCGGCTAGCCTGCCTAGCTAACGCCCATTTCCTTCAGTGTTTTCAAAAACAGAGGTACGCCATTTTGTGTTGGAGATCACTGGACAAACATTTTGGCCACTAATGCATAATAATGCATGCACAATATCATATTTGAACATGGTGGCTACTATTGTAATTTGTGGGGGTATCTGACCAGCAGACTAACGTTACCGATGTTTAGAAAAATCCCCTCCCGTATTTTCTAGGCCGTAATAGTGGCCTGCTTGAGGCCTGGGCCCAAATAAGCAAGAAAGGCCCAACTCCTCGTACGCTTCTCCGTTTGTCAGATAGAAAAATAGAATAATGTAAATGCAATCACATATGCAAGGCATTTCATATGCTCCGTGCACATAAAAAAGCGCAAGATAACCTGCTTACCAGATTTTGTAGTGCGGGTTGGCCTCTCTCCGTCGCTCGATTTCCAGGCCGTCCGGTTTCCCCAGACTCGGGCAGGATTCAATCGGGAGTTTGCGCTAGCTGGGCGGGCCGCTGAGGCGCAGGGAGGGAGGGGCCGAGACTTTCGAAGCTCCACTGATACTCAGAATCGCTACAGCCCCCAGCTCCGCCAGCACCCAAGGCCGCCGTCAGCATTCACGTCACAGCCCGATAGTCGTAGGAAAATGCGGAAGAAGTCTGGAAACCCAACTGGTAATTGCAGGCAGGCCACGATCAGGGACTCAACACCGCGTCTGTTTGCTTTGCATACCATTTGAAAGACTGGTTTAGTGAGCTTAATTTGTTCATGTGTCGGTTCATTGTGTCTCAAAAAATCAACAACAAACTGCGAGAACTTTAAATGCTGCTGCCATTAATTAGCAAGATACTGTTATTTTACATCTATATTTAGCCATGTATTAAACCCTTGGCTTGTTACACTACAGGTTAACTTTACGACTACATATTTGCACGTGATTGACCACTTCTACTTCTTGGTCAAATCATGACACTCTTTATTCTTACAGTTGATATCCCTCGATCTTCTCTCTTGCCTGCAATTTCATGATGCCTTTTGAGATAAGAACATATTTTTAATTTAGCAGGAGAGAGACCAGCTGACAGGGGGCTCGATTTCTTCCTGTGCAGAGGGACACGCTCTACCACATGTACCGTGAAAGCCCAGGTCTCGGGTAGAAGCAGTAGAACGCTTAAACGAACAGTAGCCTATTCCCCAAGAAGTGTCCCCGTACACAAAACCCAACCTGTTAGCAGGGGGCACGTACTTCTCCAGCACCCATGACACAATAATAATCCCACCACTTATTGTGGCAGCGGGAGAGAGAACAGCGGACAGCATCGATTTTACAGTCTTATGGTGCAGAGGCTACTGCTCTACCACCTGTAATACACAGGCCTCAGCTAGAGGCAATAGAACACACAGTCACACACTGTATTACACAAGAATACTTTATACGATTTGTGTGCAAAGAAAATAAAAAACTAACACACACATTCGAGTGGAACAGGGTAATTCTACCCATAGTTATTTTAGTTCTGTATCCTTTAGTCTTGCTCCAGTTGAAGTTCTAGTTCAGGTGGGCATCACATTGTCCATATCGTCCAGAGCAAGCTGCCTTATCCACGAGCAGAGTTTCTCTGCTTCCTCTTCCCACTCAAAATCTGAGAGTGAATCCTCACTGGACTCTTCCTCCAGTGCCAATGGCACAACTATCTGGGGTGCTTCAGGCTTAACAACACTTCCTTCCATGTTTTTCTCGTCTATTTTTTTGCAGGTTCCATTCTCTTATGGTTGTGTTTTTTCTCTGTTACTTCCATATTCTCGTCTTGTAGAAATAAACTGATCAGGATTCAAGAATGGATACCAGTACTTGAAAGTTGCTTCCTCTTCTATGTCCTGTTTTCTAATGCACAGGGTATTGATTCATGTAAAATAACCGAGCAAGTAAAATGTATGGTGTGCATATCACCTTCAGTGTACCCCCAAGGATATACAGATGTCTCATGCGGGCAGCTGTGGTGCGTGCACGGGCAGGGTGGCGAGTTGAGGGGAGGGGTAAGGAGCTAGTGGCAGGTTGTGAGGCATGGGTTGCTGTAGAAACCACAGAAGAGGGGGGCGCAGCAGGAGACCTGTAATCAAGTGAAGACTATATTGCCATGATGCCAACTGTCACGAGTCATAAACCCACAGTTACTCAAATAATGTTACTCACACACACACTACTGACGTCACACACTTACACTTGCACGCACACACCCCTCACATATACGCTGCTGCTAAATTATTATATTTATTACTACCATTCTGCTGATGTTCACTGTTTATTAATTGCCATTAGTATCTAGCTATTTATCCTGCTACTGGTCACTATTACTCCTGTTTACATGTTTATACATTATATTACCATAAGGATATTACCATAAGTATTTATATATTCCTGCTACCAGTCTCTCACACACTCACAATAACACCCACACACACCACTTATGCTGCTGCCATATTGCTTATTATTATTATTATTATTATTAATCCTGCTACCAGTCACCTCTCCCTGCCTACATGTACCTCAACTACTCCATAATCCCTGCACATTGTACATTTGGTACTGGCACTGACCCTGTATATACTATACTTAACAAAAATATAAATGCAACATGCAACAATTTCAAAGATTTTACTGAGTTACAGTTCATATAAGGAAATCAGTCAATTGAAATAAATTAATTAGACCCTAGTCTATGGATTTCACATGACTGGGGAGCCAGGCCCAGCCAATCAGAATGAGTTTCTCCCCACAAAATGGCGTTATTACAAACCAAAATACTTTTCAGCACCCCCTCAGATGATCCCGCAGGTGAAGCAGCCGGATGTGGAGGTCCTGGGCTGGCGTGGTTACGCGTGGTCTGCGGTTGTGAGGCCGGTTGGATGTACTGCCAAATTCTCTAAAATGACGTTGGAGGCGGCTTATAGTAGAGAAATTAACATTCAATTCTCTGGCAACAGCTCTGGTGGACATTCCTGCAGTCATGATGCCAATTGCACGCTCCCTCAAAACTTGAGACATCTGTGGTATTGTGTTGTGTGACAAAACTGCACATTTTAGAGTGGCTTTTTATTTTCCCCAGCACAAGGTGCACCTGTGTAATGATCATGCTGTTTAATCAGCTTCTTGATATGCCACACCTGTCAGGTGGATGGATTATTTTAGCAGCTATGTGATTAGGGTTATTACATCTATGATAGGAATGAGAATATCATAATTTTGTTGTAATGTGCTTTGACATAACGAGAGATGTTTTCAGCCATGCAAATACATTACTGTCTTAATCCTCATAGTCCAGCAATGTGAATAAATCTATGTGGTTACTCGCTGAAATGTACCGAAACAAAAAAGGTTTGAGCGACTCAGCCAAGGCAATGTGCCGTTACATTTTTCATCCAATTCCCCCACCCCTTGTTCAAATGAGAAATGCTCACTAACAGGGATGTAAACAAATTTGTGGTCAAAATTTGAGAGAAATTAGCTTTTTGTGCCTATGGAAAATTTCTGGGATCTTTCAGCTCATGAAACATGGGACCAACACTTTACATTTCTACATGCGTTTATATTTTTGTTCAGTGCCTTCAAAAAGTATTCACACCCCTTTACTTTTTCCACATTGTTGTTTCACAGCCTGAATTTAACATGTATTAAATTGAGATTTTGTGTCACTGATGGAATTTTGTTTTTAGAATTTTGTACAAATTAATAAAAAATGAAAAGCTGAAATGTCTTGAGTCAATAAGTATTCAACCACTTTGTTATGGCAAGCTTAAATAAGTTCAAGAGTAAAAATGTGCTTAACAAAATCACAATAATGTCAGAGTGGTGTAGGTGGATGATAGGAATCAGGCGCAGGAAACCAGGAGGACGTCAACAGAACTTTACTTAGTCCAAACAACAGTATACGTCGCCAACCCAACCGGGTGGCGCGAACAATTACGCACGAAAATACACAGTGCGAGAAAAATAAGGAAAAGCGCACACAGTGCGAGCTCTCGAAATAACACAACGAGAGAACAAACTCGATGAGGCAGGCTGACAACAACAATTACGCATAACACCTGACCCAAACCAACAAACTAAATAAGGGGAACAATCAAGACACAAATAAGGGACAGGTGTTAAGAACAGGCAAAACCAAAAGAACAAGAAACATAGAACGGTGGCAGCTAGTACTCCGGAGACGACGACCGCCGAAGTCCGCCCGAACAAGGAAGAGGAGCAGCCTCGGCCGAAACCGTGACAGTACCCCCCCCCTTGACGCGCGGCTCCAGCCGTGCGCCGACCCGGAGCTCGAGGACGACCCGGACGACGCGGAGCAGGGCGCGCAGGATGACCCCGATGGAAATCGGTCAGTAGGGACTGGTCTAACACGTCCCTCCTTGGCACCCAGCACCGCTCCTCCGGACCGTACCCCTCCCACTCCACGAGATATTGAAGACCCCCCATCCGGCGTCTAGAATCCAGGATGGACCTCACGGTGTACGCCGGAGCCCCCTCGATGTCCAACGGGGGCGGAGGAGTCTCCTCAATCTCAAAGTCCTGGAGTGGACCAGCTACCACCGGCCTGAGGAGAGACACATGGAACGAGGGGTTAATATTCTTGTAGTCAACAGGTAGTTCTAACCTATAACTCACCTCGTTCAATCTCCTCAGGACTTTAAACGGCACCACAAACCGCCGACCCAGCTTCCGGCAGGGCAGGCGGAGGGGCAGGTTTCTGGTTGAGAGCCAGACTCGATCTCCAGGTGCGTACACTGGCCCCTCACTGCGGTGTAGGTCGGCGCTCGTCTTCTGTCGACGTATGGCACGCTGCAGATGGACGTGTGCAGCGTCCCACGTCTCCTCCGAGCGCCTTACCCACTCATCCACAGCGGGGGCCTCGATCTGGCTCTCATGCCATGGTGCCAGCACCGGCTGGTACCCCAACACACACTGAAACGGGGTTAGTTGGGTGGAGGAGTGGCGAAGAGAGTTCTGTGCCATCTCGGCCCAGGGCACATATCTCGCCCACTCCTCCGGCCGGCCCTGACAGTATGACCTCAGAAACCTACCCACATCCTGGTTGACACGTTCAACCTGCCCATTACTCTCCGGGTGGTAACCCGAGGTAAGGCTTACCGACACCCCCAACCGTTCCATAAATGCCCTCCACACTCTAGAGGTGAACTGGGGGCCTCGGTCAGACACTATATCCTCGGGTACCCCGTAATGCCGGAAGACATGGGTGAACAGAGCCTCAGCGGTCTGTAGGGCAGTGGGTAGACCCGGCATGGGAAGGAGACGACAGGCCTTCGAGAACCTATCCACAACGACCAGGATGGTAGTATTCCCCTGTGAGGGGGGAAGGTCGGTAACAAAATCCACCGAGAGGTGGGACCAGGGTCGTTGTGGAATAGGCAGGGGTTGTAACTTACCCCTGGGCAAATGTCTGGGCGCCTTACACTGGGCACACACCGAACAGGAGGAGACATAAATCCTCACATCCCTAGCTAACGTTGGCCACCAGTACTTCGTGCTAAGGCAGTGCACTGTCCGGCCGATACCCGGATGGCCAGAGGAGGGGGACGTATGAGCCCAACAAATGAGGCGATCGCGTATCTCGAGCGGAACGTACGTCCGACCCACAGGACACTGAGGAGGACTCGGGTCGGTGCGTAACGCCCGCTCGATCTCACCATCAACCTCCCACACCACCGGAGCAACCAGACAAGACTCCGGTAGTATGGGCGTGGACTCAACTGACCTCTCCTCTGCGTCATACCGCCGGGACAGAGCATCTGCCTTCCCGTTCTGGGAACCCGGGATGTATGTGATCTTAAACACAAACCGGGCCAGGAACATAGTCCAACGAGCCTGGCGAGGATTCAGTCTCCTAGCTGCCCGGATGTACTCCAGGTTACGATGGTCAGTTTGAATGAGGAAAGGGTGTTGAGCCCCCTCGAGCCAATGCCGCCACACCTTTAGGGCCTGTACCACGGCTAACAGCTCCCTGTCTCCTACGTCATAATTCCGCTCCGCCGGACTGAGCTTCTTAGAGTAGAACGCACAGGGACGGAGTTTAGGTGGAGTACCAGAACGCTGGGAAAGAACGGCCCCTATCCCGGCCTCTGACGCGTCCACCTCTACTTGGAACGGTAAAGAGGGATCCGGATGCGCCAACACCGGCGCCGAGGTAAACAGGTCCTTCAGTCTCCCAAATGCCCTGTCCGCCTCAGCTGACCACCGCAAGCGCACCGGACCCCCCTTTAACAGAGACGTTATGGGAGCTGCCACCTGTCCAAAACCCCGGATAAACCTCCGGTAGTAATTCGCAAAACCCAAGAACCGTTGCACCTCCTTCACAGTGGTTGGGGTCTGCCAATTACGCACAGCTGACACCCGGTCTACCTCCATCTTCACTCCTGACGCAGATAACTGGTAACCCAGAAAGGAGACCGACTTCTGAAAAAACAGACATTTCTCTGCCTTGACATATAGGTCATGCTCCAACAGCCTCCGCAATACTCGGCGCACCAGGGCTACATGCTCAGCACGGGTAGGACTATACACCAGAATGTCGTCGATGTACACAACCACTCCCTGTCCCTGCATGTCCCGGAAAATCTCATCAACGAAGGATTGGAAGACTGAGGGAGCATTCATCAACCCATATGGCATGACTAGATACTCGTAGTGCCCGGAAGTCGTGCTAAACGCTGTCTTCCATTCATCGCCCTTACGGATGCGCACCAAGTTATATGCGCTCCTAAGATCCAATTTTGTAAAGAACTGCGCACCGTGCAGTGACTCCGTCATAGTCGCAATCAGAGGAAGTGGATAGCTGTACTTCACTGTGATCTGATTGAGACCGCGGTAATCAATACACGGCCGCAGACCTCCATCCTTCTTCTTCACAAAAAAGAAACTTGAGGAAACGGGTGAAACGGAGGGCCGTATGTATCCCTGTCTAAGAGACTCAGAGATGTATGTCTCCATAGATTTCTTCTCCTCTTGAGACAAGGGATACACATGGCTCCGCGGGAGAGCTGCGCCTGACTGGAGATCTATCGCACAATCCCCCCGTCTATGAGGCGGCAGCTGCGCAGCCCTAGTCTTACTGAACGCCAATGCCAAATCCTCATACTCGGGGGGAATCTGCAGTGCTGGCATTAGATTCGGACTCTCCACCGAGGTCGCCCCTATGGAAACACCCAGACACCGCCCCTCACATTGAGCAGACCACCCTTTAAGAGCTTTCTCTCGCCACCCCAATAATAGGGTCATGAGTCATCAACCAGGGAAGACCCAGCACCACCGGATACGCAGGAGAGTCAATCAGATAAAGCTGGATTCTCTCCTCATGACCCTCCTGCGCCATCATCTGAAGTGGTGCTGTGACCTCCCTAATCAACCCAGACCCTAACGGACGGCTATCTAGGGCATGGACGGGGAAAGGCTTATCCACTGGAAGAAGGGGAATCCCTAACTCTAAACAGAACTGGCGATCTATAAAATTCCCAGCTGCGCCTGAATCTACCAGCGCCTTATGCTGGGAACGAGGTGCAACCTGTGGGAAACAAACAGGCAAGGTTAGGTGCACGACAGAAAGCTCTGGGTAAGCAGGGCGCCTACTCACCTGGGGGGACCCCCCAATGCTAGACCTGCCATCTCCTCCCCTGGAGGACCCGCCCCAGCACCTAGCCGCAGTGTGCCCTCCACGACCACAGTTGGTGCAAGGGCCGGGTCCCCGTGGGCTCCTCCTCCTCCTTTCCCTAGCGCCAGCACCCCCGAGCTCCATAGGACTCGGCTCGGAGGCGCTGGAGAGTGGAATGGGCGAACCCCCCCCTCCGGGACGCCCACGGGTGGCGAGCAGGGTATCCAGCCGGATGGCCATGTCGACCAGTTGGTCGAAAGTTAACGACGTGTCCCTGCACGCCAACTCTCGCTGGACGTCCTCTCGGAGGCTGCAGCGGAAATGGTCAATATGGGCCCGCTCATTCCACCCTGCATCAGCCGCTAGGGTCCGGAACTCTAAGGCAAAGTCCTGTGCGCTCCTCATCCCCTGTCGGAGGTAGAACAGACGTTCCCCCGCCGCCTTCCCTTCTGGTGGATGGTCGAATACCGCACGGAAGCGGCGGGAGAACTCCGCATAGTTCGTGGTTGCGGCGTCCATTCTCCTCCACTCGGCGTTGGCCCACTCCAACGCCTTGCCGGTGAGACAGGAGATGAGGGCTGAGACGCTCTCGTGTCCCGAGGGCGCCGGGTGTACGGTGGCGAGGTAGAGCTCCACCTGCAGCAGGAACCCTTGACACCCGGCGGTGGAGCCGTCGTACGCCCTCGGGAGCGAGAGCCGAATCCCACTGGGTTCCGGAGATGAAACCGGAGGGCTGACCGCTGGAGCTGGGTCGGTGGTTGGAGGTGCGGGCACCCCGCTGGTCTCCCATCGGTGTAGAGTGTTCATCACCCTCTCCAGGGCGTGACAGACCTGGTTCATTCGGTCCTCCTGACCACGAAGACGTTCGTCCATATCGGCGGTCGGCGCGGTCGCTCCTGCTGATTCCATTTGGATGCGTAATTCTGTCAGAGTGGTGTAGGTGGATGATAGGAATCAGGCGCAGGAAACCAGGAGGACGTCAACAGAACTTTACTTAGTCCAAACAACAGAATACGTCGCCAACCCAACCGGGTGGCGCGAACAATTACGCACGAAAATACACAGTGCGAGAAAAATAAGGAAAAGCGCACACAGTGCGAGCTCTCGAAATAACACAACGAGAGAACAAACTCGATGAGGCAGGCTGACAACAACAATTACGCATAACACCTGACCCAAACCAACAAACTAAATAAGGGGAACAATCAAGACACAAATAAGGGACAGGTGTTAAGAACAGACAAAACCAAAAGAACAAGAAACATAGAACGGTGGCAGCTAGTACTCCGGAGACGACGACCGCCGAAGTCCGCCCGAACAAGGAAGAGGAGCAGCCTCGGCCGAAACCGTGACAAATAAGTTGCATGGACTCATTCTGTGTTAAATAAAAGTGGTTAATGTGATTTTTGAATGACTACCCCATCTCTGTACCCCACACATACAATTATCTGTAAGGTCCCTCAATCGAGTAGTGAATTTCAAGCTCAGATTCAACCACAAAGACCAGGGAGGTTTTTCAATGCCTCGCAAAGAAGGGCACCGATTGGTAGACAAAAAAAAAACAGAGACTGAGTATCCCTTTGAGCATGGTGAAGTTATTAATTAGGTTTGGATGGTGTATAAAAACACCCAGTCACTACAACGATACAGGTGTCCTTCCTAACTCAATTGCCAGAGAGGAAGCAAACTGCTCAGGGATTTCACCATGAGGCCAATGGTGATTTTAAAACAGTTACAGAGTTTAATGGTTGTGATATGAGAGAACTGATGATGGATCAATAACATTGTATTTACCCCACAATACTGACCTACAGTGGGGGAAAAAAGTATTTCGTCAGCCACCAATTGTGCAAGTTCTCCCACTTAAAAAGATGAGAGAGGCCTGTAATTTTCATCATAGGTACACGTCAACTATGACAGACAAAATGAGATTTTTTTTCTCCAGAAAATCACATTGTAGGATTTTTTATGAATTTATTTGCAAATTATGGTGGAAAATAAGTATTTGGTCACCTACAAACAAGCAAGATTTCTGGCTCTCACAGACCTGTAACTTCTTCTTTAAGAGGCTCCTCTGTCCTCCACTCGTTACCTGTATTAATGGCACCTGTTTGAACTTGTTATCAATATAAAAGACACCTGTCCACAACCTCAAACAGTCACACTCCAAACTCCACTATGGCCAAGACCAAAGAGCTGTCAAAAGGACACCAGAAACAAAACTGTAGACCTGCAGCAGGCTGGGAAGACTGAATCTGCAATAGGTAAGCAGCTTGGTTTGAAGAAATCAACTGTGGGAGCAATTATTAGGAAATGGAAGACATACAAGACCACTGATAATCTCCCTCGATCTGGGGCTCCACGCAAGATCTCACCCCGTGGGGTCAAAATGATCACAAGACCGGTGAGCAGAACCACACAGGGGGACCTAGTGAATGACCTGCAGAGAGCTGGGACCAAAGTAACAAAGCCTACCATCAGTAACACACTACGCCGCCAGGGACTCAAATCCTGCAGTGCAAGACGTGTCCCGCTGCTTAAGCCAGGACATGTCCAGGCCCATCTGAAGTTTGCTAGAGTGCATTTGGATGATCCAGAAGAGGATTGGGAGAATGTCATATGGTCAGATGAAACCAAAATAGAACTTTTTGGTAAAACCTCAACTCGTCGTGTTTGGAGGACAAAGAATGCTGAGTTGCATCCAAAGAACACCATACCTACTGTGAAGCATGGGGGTGGAAACATCATTCTTTGGGGCTGTTTTTCTGCAAAGGGACCAGGACGACTGATCCGTGTAAAGGAAAGAATGAATGGGGCCATGTATCGTGAGATTTGGAGTGAAAACCTCCTTCCATCAGCAAGGGCATTGAAGATGAAACGTGGCTGGGTCTTTCAGCATGACAATGATCCCAAACACACCGCCCGGGCAACGAAGGAGTGGCTTCGTAAGAAGCATTTCAAGGTCCTGGAGTGGCCTAGCCAGTCTCCAGATCTCAACCCCATAGAAAATCTTTGGAGGGAGTTGAAAGTCCATGTTGCCCAGCGACAGCCCCAAAACATCACTGCTTTAGAGGAGATCTGCATGGAGGAATGGGCCAAAATACCAGCAACAGTGTGTGAAAACCTTGTGAAGACTTACAGAAAACGTTTGACCTGTGTCATTGCCAACAAAGGGTATATAACAAAGTATTGAGAAACTTTTGTTACTGACCAAATACTTATTTTCCACCATAATTTGCAAATCAATTCATTAAAAATCCTACAATGTGATTTTCTGGATTTTTTTTCTTCTCATTTTGTCTGTCATAGTTGACGTGTACCTATGATGAAAATTACAGGCCTCTCTCATCTTTTTAAGTGGGAGAACTTGCACAATTGGTGGCTGACTAAATACTTTTTTCCCCCACTGTACCATTTTGATTTTGAATACTGTGTTGTTGGGAAGGGCTTGCAAGTTAAGCATTTCACTTTACCTGTGCATGACACAAATAAAACTTCAAACTATATCAGCCTATATCAAGTAAAAACATTGTAGATGTTATACAGTGGCGAGTTTCACTCGGAACGCCCTCCAGAACTCGACTTTATGCCTACCTGAGCATACGAGGAGGGATTCCATTTTCTCCTCCAATCAGAGGGCAAGGAACTCGAGGCACTAAAAGCAGAAGCTCTTCCCTTATCCTGCCTGCCACAGTACACTTCCCGCCAACCTCCAAGCCATCCCACTGTTGGATGTTCCGTGACAGTCCCCGAAGACAGAGCGACCTCCAGCTGTTCTCTCGCCCTCCAAGGTGTGCAGGCAGCTCGTCAAGGTGACTTGAGTACTAAAATGGTCATACATAGTGCTCATAGATTTGTCTGGGAATTATGTCCATTGCATATGGTGCGGTTGTTCCATGTATGACATAAAATCATTGCTCCAAAATTGTTGTCGTAGCTCCCGGACAAAAACACCAAATTCAACTCATTGAGGGCTTGATGATTAGTTGACAAGTTGAATCGGACGTGCCTCGTCCGGGGCTACAACAAAAATGTGTGCTGTTGGAGATACTTGCACTGGAGTTGGGAAAACACTGGTGTAGGCTACTCATCAAAAATGTTCTCAATCTCACCTGCATAAAGTCCCTCATACAGGTAATGTCAGATATGTCAGCAATCTTCCTGCCTTGTCTCTGGATCTCATGAGCAATAATGTGATTGATGAATATCCTATTTCCCATCATCCTGCAGGTGTCTGTTGTGGCCTGCATGGAAGCACATACAGGTTTAGATCAGGGGTAATCAACTCTTACACTACGAGGTCCAGAGCCTGCTGGTTTTCTGTTCTACCTGATCATTAATTGCACACACACCTGGTGTCCCAAGTCTAAATCAGTCCCTGATTAGAGGGGAACAATGTAAAAATACAGTAGAACTGGTCACCTTCTCTGGGGCTGAGTTGGTGGGGAATAACAGGTGCAAGACAGTGCTCCTAAACAGTGCCATGACAAAAGGAAAGAAATGACTGGCTTTACTTTTTGGCACACTTACATAGGTGAACATTTTATATAATGACTAGCCTATTATATCAGATTTTCACACACCTCGCAATAGGCCTATATAATTTAGTTTACATAAAGGCTATAGCCTATTTAAATCTGAATTGGAATGTTGCGTTGATCAATGTTGACAACAAGGCTGCCTGCATCTCTAGCATTCAGCAACGGGAACAGTGAGCAACATCAGTTGGAAAAGTCTCCTGTCTTGGTGAGACCGCCAGTATGTCTTGATCTTCTTCGCGGCAAACACACGCTCCTCTTGGTTGCATCTGCATGATTTAAATTATAATTACAGACTCAGAATATACACTATATATACAAAAGTATGTGGACACACCATAGACAAACATTGGCAGTAGAATGGCCTTACTTAAGAGCTCAGTGACATTTAATGTGGCACTGTCAAAGTCTGTCCATATTTCATTAATCGTCTGTCCTCGGTTGCAACACTCACTACCTAGTTCCAAACTCCCTGTGGAAGCAACGTCAGCACAAGAACTGTTAGTCGGGAGCTTCATGAAATGGTTTTCCATTTCCGAGCAGCCGCACACAAGCCTAAGATCACCATGCGCAATACCAAGTGTCGGCTGGAGTGGTGTAAAGCTCGCCGCCATTGGACTCTGGAGCAATTGAAACGCGTTCTCTAGAGTGATGAATCACGCTTCACCATCTGGCAGTCCGATGGATTATTCTGGGTTTGGCGGATGCCAGGAGAACGCTACCTGCCCGAATGCATAGTGCCAACTGTAAAGTTTGGTGAAGGAGGAATAATGGTCTAGGGCTGTTTTTCATTGTTCGGGCTAGGCCCCTTAGTTCCAGTGAAGTTAAATCTTAACGCTACAGCATACAATGACATGCTAGACAATTCTGTGCTTCCAAATTTGTGGCAACAGTTTGAGGAAGGCCCTTTCCTGTTTCAGCATGACAGTGACAAAGCGAGGTCCATACAGAAATGGTTTGTCGAAATCGGTGTGGAAGAACTTGACTGGCCTGCACAGAGCCCTGACCTCAACCCCATCGAACACCTTTGGGATTAATTGGAATGTCAACTGCGCCTAATCGCCCAACATCAGTGCCCGACCTCACTAATGCTCTTGTGGCTGAATGGAAGCAAGTCCCCGCAGCAATGTTCCAACATCTAGTGGAAAGCCTTCCCAGAAGAGTGGAGGCTGTTATAGCAGCAAAGTGGGGACCAACTCCATATTAATGCCCATGATTTTGGAATGAGATGTTCGACGAGCAGGTGTCCACATACTTTTGGTCATGTAGTGTATCTAAGTCAGACATTTAACAACAAAGGCAGACTTGATCATGTGAGCCTCGTCTTGTGTAATGAATATATGGCCCCTTACCCATATTTCATTATCCACTCCTGTAATGTTGTTAGGCTACTGACAGTGCATTTTCCTGCTGTGTTGTATCTTGTTAGAGAAGAGTTGCTAAGGGATGATTAGAATACTGACTTCAGGAGCCAATGTCAAAGCCACATTTCCTGAGCTAATGAGCACTGGAAAAAGACCACAACAACTTAACAGTAAACTGAATTGTCGACATTTGCATTCTGATATTTGTTAATAAACAAGTTACTATCAAGTAATTATCAGGTTATTCATGGGTCGAGAGCACCGGCCTATAGTAGATTAACCAGAATTGAGCGAAGGTAAACGAGTTACAGATTGGAATGCAGCCAGAGAAGCAGCATGTCCCCTCTCAGACACCGTAGGTACTTGAAGCTTGTCACCGCAAAAAGGATCATGTACAAGGTGAGAATATCAACTTTATATACTACGTAACAACTAAATCACTTGCATTCACGTATGTCGTCTTCAGTCCACATAGATTTATTGTCGTGTTTTTTCATTTTATTCTTTGAATTGAATAGCGATCTGTTTAATTAAAATAATTTAGGGGACTCGAACTCCCGGTGACGCACCAGAGTGCTTTTAAGGACAGCGAGCCATACACCAGACTATCAAGGGCATTGCATTGCAAGAAATGCATAACAGTATAAAACCTATAATACAAAATGTAATTTTAAAAATGCAGTATGTCGGACACATTAATAACCTACTGTAAGGTAGCTAGTTAAATGTCACCAGTCATGCATAGCCAGCTAAAGTCAAAAGTGAGTAAACTCTCTTAGCTAGTTTTTCACACGTGTTATTTAACTAGTGAGTTTACCATGTTGTCATCTTGTTGCTACAGTGGGGAAATGCTTTAGGCTACGATGCGAATGCTAGAAGTTCATGAACTGGACGGACACTCGATAAACCGGTAAATGTGTGTAACTATCACGTCCCCACTTAATGGGATCAACAATACACTTATTTGACACTAGATGGCAACATTTTTTTGTAATACTTGAGGGCCTCAATTCTGAATTTCATTACAACTTCTAGCTTCTACTCCTAGGGTGTTTGAAGGTGAATGGACTGCTGGACCGTTGAAACGTTCAACAGTGTAATGGCTCCATTGTGCCCTCCAATAGTAGAATAGGTTGACTGTTTCAGCTGAGCTTCTGCCATATACAGTAGTTTTCATCTACCTACCCAGTCCCAGTCTATTCAAAGCTGTGCATTTAAAAGGGTAGGGGCTAGGAAAGGCCTGGGATCTAAATGGAACGAGTGTAGCACAGCAGCCATATAACGTGGAACACAGCACCCAGAATCTGTGCAGATCATCAGATCTTTAATACAGCAACAGTCTTTAGTCTCAGTTGCTAAATGTAATTTTTTAGTCAAATATTTGGAATGTATTTATTCAGTATGCAATTTGGAATTGTTTTTTTCCCTTTTAATTTTCATACTTATTATTAATGAAAGCAATATTCACGTTATCTAAAATGTGTGTGTATGTTCATGTGTCTGACCTTTGTACAGAAACAGGAGCCAAGTCTATAATCCATGGAACAGTGTCAAACTAAATTCATGTTAATTATTGACTGTCATTTAAAAAAATAACAGGAAAGCTCACAAGGGGATCAAAATTAATGAAGTGCTTCCAATACAAATTCTTGTTATTATGCGTTTCAGAAAGAAATCTTAACTTTGTTAAATTGAGTGTGTTGTATAAATGTTTCTTTATTCCAAAATGTGACGTGTGTTTGCTTATCGTCAGGTTATTGAACAGACTAAGCTGTAGAGTGGGTATGCTCTCAACTGCAAAACGGGAATAACAGTCCTGAGACCTACCATTTCTCTGTGTCACTGAGAGGGTGTAGACCAAACTGTTGATGTCCCAGTTGTCCCGTGTCTCCCCAGGTAGCAGGGGTGGCTGCTGTGCCTGGAACTCTCAGCCTGATGTCAGGTACTGTGTTTGCTGCCACCGAGGACAAGCCCAATGTCACCTTAAACACAGATGAGGTACTGCATTGTGCACAGAATCACACTTTCTGAAGTCTTTCAGCATACTTCCTATCAAGCCAACATTGGGAAGAGGTAACTGACCAATGTAAAATGTTGTTTGTTACAGCTCTCCCTCTACACTACACCACAGCAGAAGTTCCGCTATGTGGAGCCAGATATAGGGCACTTGGAGCAAGGTGTTACCACTCTAAGGAAACTGGCAGAGCCCTATGTTACTTGGTGTCAGGTACATTGATAACCCTACTCACCAGTGAGCTACTGGGTGACAGTCATTATTTATTTTGTTAGGAACAGTCTTTCGTCTCAGAAAATAAAGACAGTTGTTGGGTGTTTGTTTAAATATGTACAGTTGAAGTCGGAAGTTTACATACACTTAGGTTGGAGTCATTAAAACTCGTTTTACAACCACTCCACAAATTTCTTGTTAACAAACTATAGTTTGGGCAATTCGGTTAGGATATCTACTTTGTGCATGACACAAGTAATTTTTCCAACAATAATTCACTGTATCACAATTCCAGTGGGTCAGAAGTTTACATACACTAAGTTGACGGTGCCTTTAAACAGCTTGGAAAATTCCAGAAAATGATGTCATGGCTTTAGATGCTTCTGATAGGCTAATTGACATAAGTCCATTTCTTTTGAGTCAATTGGAGGTGTACCTGTGGATGTATTTCAAGGCCTACCTTCAAACTCAGTGCCTCTTTGCTTGACATGTGAAAATCAAAAGAAATCAGCCAAGACCTCCGAAAATAAATTCTAGATCCTCACAAGTCTGGTTCATCCTTGGGAGCAATTTCCAAACGCCTGAAGGTACCACGTTCATCTGTACAAACAATAGTACGCAAGTATAAACACCATGGGACCACGCAGCCGTCATACCGCTCAGGAAGGAGCAAAGGACCTTGTGAAGATGCTGGAGGAAACAGGTACAAAAGTATCTATATCCACAGTAAAACAAGTCCTATATCGACATAACCTGAAAGGCTGCTCAGCAAGGAAGAAGCCACTGCTCCAAAACTGCCATAAAAAAGCCAGACTATGTTTTGCAACTGCACATGGGGACAAAGATCGTACTTTTTGGAGAAATGTCCTCTGGTCTGATGAAACAAAAATAGAACTGTTTACCCATAATGACCATCGTTATGTTTGGAGGAAAAAGGGGGTCGCTTGCAAGCCGAAGAACACCATCCCAACTGTGAAGCACGGGGGTGGAAGCATCATGCTGTGGGGGTGCTTTGCTGCAGGAGGGACTGGTGCACTTCACAAAATAGATGGCATCATGAGGAAGGAAAATTATGTGGATATACTGAAGCAACATCTCAAGACATCAGTCAGGAAGTTAAAGCTTGGTCGCAAATGGGTCTTCCAAATGGACAATGACCCCAAGCATACTTCCAAATTTGTGGCAAAATGGCTTAAGGACAACAAAGTCAAGGTATTGGAGTGGCCATCACAATGCCCTGACCTCAATCCTATAGAAAATGTGTGGGCAGAACTGAAAAAGTGTGTGCGAGCAAGGAGGCCTACAAACCTGACTCAGTTACACCATCTCTGTCAGGAGGAATGGGCCAAAATTCACCCAACTTATTGTGGGAAGCTTGTGGAAGGCTACCCGAAACGTTTGACCCAAGTTAAACAATTTAAAGGCAATGCTACCAAATACTAATTGAGTGTATGTAAACTTCTGACCCACTGGGAATGTGATGAAAGAAATACAAGTTGAAATAAATCATTCTCTCTACTATTATTCTGACATTTCACATTCTTAATATAAAGTGGTGATCCTAACTGACCTAAAACAGGGAATTTTTACTAGGATTAAATGTCAGGAATTGTGAAAAACTGAGTTTAAATGTATTTGGCTAAGGTGTATGTAAACTTCCGACTTCAACTGTAACTCTAGGTAAGATTCATAATGTCTGATATCCCAACCTCACTGCATGGACCCAAAATAACTTCACATGGGCACTGAAATGTGAAATGTTTTTGCCATGCTTTACATGATAATCCCAGCTGCTTTTACATATTTTACAATGCATCCTTTTTCCTGTGACCTCCAAAGATTTACTGTGATTAGTTGTGACCGGTAAATATTAACTACAGTAGGTCTCACTAATGTCATTCATCTCATTTTCTCTTTGCGTATTGAGTATCCACAGTAATTGTTTTCCCAGAGACCAGTTAATATTTACTGGTATTCCTATGAGTCTACAGCAGGGTTTCTTAAACTATGGGTCAGGACCCAAAATGGGCCCAGGGCATGTGAGAGGTGGGTCGTGAGTTATACATCTATAATAACACACTATTTGTTCTTAATTCGGGTCGTTGGAGGAAGATTTGGGGTCATGGGAGCACAGTACATTTCTAATTTGGGTCTCAAGCTGAAAAAGTTTAAGAACCCCTGGTCTAGAAATACTGTACATTGTGTTTCAACATGGCCCAAAAATCTGTACTGCGCATTTCACATGGACCAGTAGACCTTTACTGTGAATCCATGCTGCAATCGATAATCATTGCACGTGCTGGAATGATTTTGTCTGTCTGCTGTGAAGTGTTAGTCGTGATTGTGCTGCTCTGCTTCTGCCCCTGTGATCACACCAACGATCTGCTCCCCTTTCAGCAAACAAGCCATTCGGCAGTGGAAAAGGTTCAGGTACTCCCCATAGCCACGCACACATACACTTGTACGTACACACACACACACACACACACACACACACACACACTGAATCATCATAAACTCACAGAGGGGGATTAAGATTAAGCTGATTAGTTGTTAAGTCTAAGAGACTGGTAAAATACTCTGTAAAGAATTTCAAAAACCCATTCAGCCTCTCTATTTCTGCTGTGCCAGGCTGTTTCATTTCTGCTCTAGAAGCTTCTGGGTGCGTTCCTCTGCCCAGGTATTGCTGACACCTGCCAGATCTTACAACGCCTGGATAGGTATTTTAAGTATCAGCTAACCACATCATATGTTATAGCAATCCGTCAGTCGATGACACAGTCGATGACGTGGCACGCAACCATTGGTTGATGCATGCAACGTCTGAGCAGGGGAACATGACATCTGTGTTTGTCGCTGTGATCACCGTTTCTTAGTCACCCACCTGACCTCTTCCCCATTGGCTCCTTCAGTCCGGAGATAAGCAGCTCATTAACACACAGCACATGTTTGTCAGTACAGTGCCGTGGCTGGAACTTTATTGGTAGTTGTTCTTGTACAGTGCAGAATGTCTTTACAATGGGTCAAGGGTACACAAAGTGCTGTTGGTTGATGTTTTAACTCAAGCCCTCTACTGGATAACAGAATGGCCTGTGCTTTAGGCGAACAGAACTGGATGAGGTTTCTGAGGGCATGGCAGTCCTACCACTAGTTATACTACCAGTATACCCATCAGAGTACAAACAACGTAAAGCATCACAGGGGCACTGTGTGCTCAGTAAACTTAAATTGAAGACTACTCAGCAAGAGCATATTTACTATGAATTATCATGTTATTATTAAATGTGAACATATTTTTTAACAATTAAAAATAAGCATTTATCCATTCTTGAATGGCTCTCAAAGTGCAGATATTGGGTGTTTTTAGCGGATATATGTTACATGTTCACTGTACTGTTCTCTCCTGTGGGATTCAGGGTGCCATTGGAAAAGTGAAGCCCAAGGTTGAAAGTGCCATCCAATTAGGAAGTGGTAAGAGAACACACGCCCCATGATACACACAAAGTTCACACATTACTCATTACTGTGGTTCTGTGTGGCTCAGTCGGTAAAGCATGGTGCTTTCAACGCCAAGTGTTGTGGGTTTAAATCCCACTCTGGCCACCCATATATAAAATGGATGCACGCATGACTGTATAATAGTCACTTTGGATAAAAGCATTTCACTGTAATGTCTGCACCTGTTGTATTCGGCGCATGTGACCAATAAAATTTGATTTGATTAGATTTGATTTGAAGCATCTGCAAAATGGCATTTGTTATTATATTCGTAGAGCCATTTGTACAAATAGAATAGCAGTTTCAGTTTGGTACCAGAGTTATTTTCTGTTGTTTCAGAGACCTTCACATTCCTACAAAACCCTCCTGCTGAATTCTACCCCCGGCTTGCAGTCATTGGATTTTCTGGTATCATTGGACTCTTTCTTGCAAGAGGTATTAGTTGAGTTTGGATGACGAGTACCCTGTTATTGATCTCTATTGTGTGTTTGGGTTTATCCACTTTGTCTCTGTGGTAAACAAACACTCTGTATCAGTCGCTGAGCCAGAGGCTAGTCTAGAGGTAGAGCTGTTGCCTCCAGACCATATCAAATATCAGGCCTACTACTGCTTCCTGTTGCCCTATCCGCTTTCCCTTTATTGTTTCTAATCTATCTCCTTGAATAAAAATAGTCTGTGGTCCTCTCTCTTCTGTCTCCTAGGCTCTAGGGTGAAGAAGCTTGTCTACCCTACAGGGCTGATGGCTGCGGGCTATTCTATGTACTACCCCCAGGCGGCCGCATCAATCGCCAAGGTGAGCGAGCGTGTCAATATATCATATGTGGTGTTTTTACTTGTACATGCACGTGGGAGAAAATGTATATTGTTCCATGCCAAGACATACAGTGTTGTAGGGTAATCTTGTGATGTTCAGTTCTCAATGTACAGTATACTGTTTTGTTTAAGCCTATTTTTCCATCCCCCTCCTTCCCACAGAACACAGGAGACTCGTTGTACGATTTCGCCCTTCAGGGCTATGTTAATGTAGAGAACGTTTTCAAGTCCGCAACCACACCAGTTGAGGGGAAGGTGAGCTCATCCTGTCAGGTCAAAAAACAGTTTGATCCAAGAGGATGGAGATAGTACAGAGTGACAGTGCCAATTAGTACAGATTATTTGTAATGGGTTGTAAAGTCTGAATTTTCACATCGTGCCTTGGTTCCTTTCACAGCCAATGAAAAACGAAAAACCAGAGGAAAAGAGCCCAACTGCAGAGTCCAAACCCTGATCACAGCAGTTACAACAAACCTGACCATTTCTGCCAGTGCCCAACACCTTAATTGACCTGGTGGTCAATAAGCCTCTTTATCAGCCTGCAGACTTATGGAACACCCCAATCACTTCTCACTTAATGTTGTCAATTCATTATAAATATATATTTTTTTGTGATAGCTCAAATCAGTGTACTTTGCATATCAGGTGCTTATGCTAACAAATTGCAGAAAAGGGCTTATAATGACTTATCTTTTTTTCAGATAAGGTGTGATAGTATCATTGACAACAAAACAAGATTATCAGTCTTCCCAGATATAACAGGTCCATCCCCCTGTATGCTACTGTACGTCATGGTTAGGCTCGCTCCCATCTGCCACTCTTATGTCCTGCTTCTGCAATAGCCCAGTGTTTCTCTCTGGCATTTACGCAGTAGGGCACAGGACCGGTCACTTAGGTTATAAACTTGATGTATTGAAGGTTCACCTTTGTGATTTGAATGTACTGTATTTATGTTGACCTGAAAATGTATCTATTGACAGCATTGCTTTTTAAAAGTAAAACTAAAGGCCGTAAAAATACTGTAGAGGTTTTGCACAAAGGCACCCGAAGCATGTGTGAGGACAAATAAGTGAAGAAAAACTTGTTTGAAGACATTTAAGAGCTCTGTCCTTCCATAAACAAGCCCCCACTTCTCTTTCTGAGCCAGACTTTATCATTGGTAGAAAAACGTTGCTTTCTTATAACCTATAGAAAACATGCTGATTCATGTTGAATTCCTCTATGTTCCAGTACACGATCACATGACTAGCTGATGTCAACATATTTCTCCTTGATGAAGGAAGGTCACTCAGACAGAGTAAATTAAACTTGCTGACTTCTAGTTATAAAACCCCCCAGATATATAACCAGTCCTGCAGGAAGAAGTTTAAATCTGTTTTTGTATTTATTGATATAAATTTTTTTTTAAATAACATTGACAATGGAATCAACAAACAAAGGGGAAGGCTTTGCAGTCAGTAATCAGTGGTCATTTGCTGAATTTAGCGCTTCTTGGTAGAAATCTTAAGCAGGTCATCCTTCTCAATCGCATAGAGTCGCCAGCCCTCCTCATCAGACAGGTCTGAGGCTCCACGGCGCTTGTAGAACTCTATGGACGGCTTGTTCCACTCTGCTACGATGAAGTGCATGCTACTGCAGCGAGTCTTAACTGCCGTCTGTTGAAGGGGGGACAAAGTTAGACAGGACAGGGTTATCATATAGCCTGATGGACTGTTCCATAGGCTGGACTTTTCCATGTTTGGAAAAGCAAATGTCCTTCCAGTAAATTGATTGCAAAAAAGTAGACTTACCTCACTCAGATGCTTCAGGATATCTGACCCAATACCAGAACCTGAGAGAAAACAGGATCAAACATTAGATTGATGTTTAAGCCCTGGATCTATGGACACTGATTCAGTTGCCTTGCCTTCAATGTAAATAACACAGCATATGTTAGGACAAGACTCAGAGTAGACAATACTTACCCCTGAACTCCTTCATCACATAGAAGTCCTCTAGGTAGAGCAGCTTTCCAATCCAGGGGTCATAGGTGAAGTAGTACATGGCAAACCCAATGACAGTGTATCCTAAAACAGTGAAAAAATCCACATCAAAGCCGGCAGGGAAGTATTTGTGTAAAACTACTATACTACTAGGATTTGATGCTAAATCCCACTGGGCTTATTATGTATGATCTTGTGTTATTATGATAAAGGCGATTTTCCTTGTCAGGTCACATGTTCAGTCAGGAAAATCTATGGGGCCTAGTTATGATATTACTATGAGGTATTTCAGAGAATTGATAGGTTGACATTACAAACCACATCATGATTCATATCCAAGTAAATGCTTGGTCAGGTTGGTCCTTGAGATGCATCATGCACTGCAAGGTTGCCGGTGTTGGAACTGGACTTCGAGTTATGCACACCAACACTGCACATTTTAAGTTTGGAATTTTTAAAAGGGAAACGCCACTCAAACGCATTTTGCATCATCCTGATGATGTGGCACCTGACACTTTGCTTCTTGAAAGTCCAATATCTTGAAAACTTGCCTGCTGACATGCAAAACTTTTTGGGACTATATAAACATTGGACTAATGCAACAAAACAAAAAATAAGAGTTTGAGTGGATTTTCCCTTTAATAATTTAACCATTGCACTATTTCCTTACAAACTGTCATTGAAAGTTGTGTTTGTGTGTGAGCGAGAGAGAGAGAGAGGAAACTGAGTTACAACATAATTTACCATCTGAGCTCTGATGATCCTCAGGGACTTCCGCGACGACGCAATGGTAGAACGGATGATCCCCAAAGCCGTCCTCGAGTAGTTCTGAAAGTAAATAACGAGGACAATTATGAAGAGACTACGGATTTGTTTGGACATTTGGATAAACATTTCATATGTTCACAATAATTGGCCATCACCCACACACGGGCCTAAAAGTAGACTACCTTTCTCTGTCAAGATGACCTGCTCCTCCATTTCTTCAAATTTCGCAAGTTCCTGAAAAAAAAATATAATCATTATAGTTCATAAAAGTATTATTGTTAGTCAAATATGTCACAATAATATGGAACGCCGTTTGGGTCTTTGCTTGTCAAAAAAGATACACGTCAAATACCACTATTTGACGTGTCAAATAAGCTTGTTGACCATTCAGGACCTGAATATGACTGCACGTCACATTACAATTTAACACGTTCACAATTTTTTTACGTAGTTGTTACACATTGATTACACTATCACTCAAGTTACATATGTCACAACGACTCAGCGATAAGTATGCTATTATGCTGGTAAAGTTTTGTCTCACGCACCTGCCCTTCCCCAAGCTGTGGACAGGGCTGGTCATAAATAAAGCAGGCTAACGTTAGCTGATGGATGCAAACAATGTTCTTCCCCCAAAACATAGCAAAACGAGATAATCTGTTTCAGTAGCTATAGTTAGCTAGCTAACTACCTAGCTAGGTGTCATCATCTAAAATAACCCTAATTTATACAACTGTTCTTATTTGAATAATGGTGATCGGACCCACCTATGTGAAGCTAACCACAATAGTGGAATTTGCGGTTAGCCTTCAAAATAATAGTATGTCATTGACAGTGATGCAAATGAATACAAATACATAAAATAATTTGTTAATTTGACAAAAATCTGTTAATCACACTGGATGTATTAGACTTTAAAATAGCATTGAGGGCATATTTATTCACCCCAATGACATGGGGTATCAGTCTACTCAGTGACACCCAGAGAACATTAGCGTCGTTGCTCTTATTGCGGGACTGAAACCACTGGATTGAGCCACATTTATTGTACCAGTCACCCGAGTATGTGTATTGAACACTATTCCAGAGGAAAAACAATACAACCTGGATGCTTTGGGCTCTGATAACTCTGAGGAGGACGTTGGGAAAAAAGCTATTGGTACTGAGTAGACTGACACCCCATTTAATTGATCCCCAATCCTTAGGTAAGGCTGTACAGTGCAATATGAATGTCAATACGCACAACAGGCTGACTGGGGAGGTGATTTCACAGTCACTGTCCCGCTACAACGCTAATATTTGCGTAAACTCTTCACAGTTGTGTTCTGTGGGTGTCACCGAATAGACTGACACCCCATTTCATTGCTCCACATTCCAACCTTGTTTAACATTATCTAGTCTAAATATTGCATGATTTCACCAATTGTAACTTTCTGCGTCACAGAGGTACTTTGAAGGCAAACCGACAATTCCACTATTGTGGCTAATCCTTATTGTGGCTATTTTCACAACACATAACCCGGTCCTGTCAAGCCTCACCAGCCAGATGAAGTTTACTGGCTGCTTATAACGTTAGCTTTGGGCAACAGGGTTAAAGTGGCTGGCTAGCTAGTTATTTTCACTCACGTGGATTCCTAAATCATTGCTAAGAATATTGAAAATGACTGCAGTTTCTATTGGTCATTGTTTTCTATTGGTCATTGGTCAGTTGTATTGGTGCTAGCTAGGTAACGTTACCAAGCTAAAGATAGTTAGCTACCCCAGAAGCTGCTAATAACATCTGTATCAAAGATATTTGCAAAATATTTTGATCCGGACCTTCTTTCAAATGCTCACACAGACGTTTTCCCATTCGGTCGAACAAATAATGCATTATTACCGACGCGCTATTGTAAACACATCTTTGGTGGCCGGTGTGTGCTTGTTTGCATACTTTTTTTTTGGTACAGTTTTGACAGTGCTACTGATCGTAGTGGTGGTGCTTGGCTTGCACATGCAAATTCAGCACACACGACATTCTATAATATAATTGTACTATTTGACGTGTCAAATTAAAAGCTTATTTGACGAGTCAAATCGTGTTATTTGACACGTCAAATAGTGTAATTTGACGTGTATCTTTTTTGACACGCAAAGACCCAAACGGTGTTCCATACAATAATATTGAGAAATATGCCGAGGCTATTTGATAATTTTCTTGTTCATGAAAAAAACAAAAACGTTTAACAGTGATTTGAGAAAGACTAGACATTTATACACAAATCCTTAAACACAGGGAATGGAATTTCATTTTACCTTTATGAGTCGCAAAATGTCTGACACGTCCTTGGGCTCAGCTTTCCGTAATATGAAGTTGGCCATTTTCTTCTTTTACTCTTTTTTCCTTTTCTTACAAGTCCTCTGAATGTAAAAAGAAGCAAAACGTGTTTCTTCATCCGCTTCTCAGGAGTTCACCCCCCGCAATAAGTTTAGAATTCCAGCTCGCGCGGAATTACATTCGCATTGGTTGCTGGCAGCGCAATAACGTTCTGGAGCGCTTCACCCCTTTTTATACGCACTTTGTAAGCGCAATGTCGAACGCTCCTCTGAATAACGGGGCGTGGTTTTCGCTTAACTGCATTGGGAAAAAGAAAGACACAAGCAGCTCACAATCACATCCGGAAGACTAAACGGTCGTCACTAGTTACCCCAGCCACAAAGTCATTTCTAAAATGAATCTTCTTAAAATGTGATTTTAAACCTAACCTTAACCTCACTGCGAACCTTGTGCCTAACCCTAACCTTAAATTAAGACCAAAAAGCTAAATGTTGTTTTCATAAACGTTAACGATAAAGCCAATTTTGAAATTGTGGCTGTGATATCTAGTGGAAATCAGACTAAACGGGAAAATAGCCTAACAAATAACTTTACGTCATAGGGTCTCTGCTTTCCATGACTCATTGGGTGTGTGCGAGCAGTAATGCCGCGTTCAAGTACTAGTCGGAATTAGGAAACTCAGAAACGTGCATCTGCGACAGTCGAACACTTACGTTGGTGTGTTTTCTAACAGCAAGGCTCAGATCAACATGTCAGTGTCAACATAACTGATATTGTTTATAAACGTTTTTCTTTACAAATGTCGAAATAAACGTTTCTATACCCACATATCACACACTCACAAACTGAAAACATAACGTGCGTACAATTAATTGTTTTATAGAGGTATCCCCTGTAGCCTTTTGAATAACGGCAAAGTTGGTTCGTGTTTTAATCACGTCTTTGGTCACGTCAAAGATTATCTATTATATTGACAAGATAGTCGAGTGACTGCTCCAACAATGGAAATACAAGTCCTCAAAGATGGAAGGCAGGCGAGGAGGCGAGATGAAGTGGGACCATTCTAGCCAATGAAAGGGCAGATATGCGTGTGAACAACAGGCACAACTAAGTAGTTTTTCTCAAAGTTGCCGGAATGCCACGTACATCCACTCATATCAGTACATTTGTAACAGCCTAAACATTACAAACCTCTTAGATCAAATAAGCCTTATGTAATTCGACACTCATAGACCTCCACACAAAAAAAATCCCCACTTGGTCTGCTTATCTCACACGGACAGATTTTGAGAAGAGTAAATCGTCTCGCTTCGCCTCTTCCTTTCTGGTCAGGTTTCCCAAACTCGGTCCAGGACCCCGCCTCGGTGCACATTTAGGTTTTTGCCCTACTAAACAGCTGATTAAAATAATCAAAGCTTGAAGAGTTGGTTATTTGAATCAGCTGTGTAGTACTAGGGCAAAAACCAAACTGTTGAGCACAATTGAGCACATCTGGGACATCATGTCTCGCTCCATCCACCAACGCCACGTTGCACCACAGACTGTCCAGGAGTTGGCGGATGCTTTAGTCCAGGTCTGGGAGAAGATCCCTCAGGAGACCATCCGCCACCTCATCAGGAGCATGCCCAGGCGTTGTAGGGAGGTCATACAGGCACGTGGAGGCCACACACAACTGAGCCTCATTTTGACTTGTTTTAAAGGACATTACATCAAAGTTGGATCAGCCTGTAGTGTGGTTTTCCACTTTAATTTTGAGGGGGACTCCAAATCCAGACCTCCATGGGTTGATAAATTTGATTTCCATTGATAATATTTGTGTGATTTTGTTGTCAGCACATTCAACTATGTAAAGAAAAAAGTATTTAATAAGATTATTTCATTCATTCAGATCTAGGATGTGTTATTTTAGTGTTCCCTTAATTTTTTTGAGCAGTGTATATATAATAATTTGTATATATATATATATATCATAATTTTTTATTCACATACATTTATTACATTATTTAACTACACCTGTTTGTGGCTTGCACACTTGAACGGTAATGCAAATAAACTCACAATGGAACTAGGTGATCTAAAACACTAAGGGTGAGGAGAGGTTTAGTCACAATAATTTGGGTTTGTTACAAAATCTTATGAAAATGGCAATATGTAATTGCACTGAATTGCAAAAACCACGAACATGTCACAGTTGTAAGTACCATAACCATGTGTACCTACACTGTAATTACGCAGTACCTGCCTGTGTAACTTCATAGGAAATACATAGGCTTCAGGCCACTTAAACGTGAATCACTCGGGTTAAGGGCCCTTCATCTCTTCTTTTCCTTTATGTCAACAAAATCTCAGATATGCTTAATAAAAAAACACCTATTCTTGTCAAATAGGCCCGCAGTCTTAGCCAAACCTGTTGGTAGCAATATTCTACTGCCAGTCTGAGTTATTTGAAATCCCAGGATTTATTGGAAGTGTCAGTTATAAAAGTCTAAGTAATTTATGATAACTCAGTCCGTGCTCAGCAAAAATTCACGTGACTCAGATGTACTATCCAATCTCCAGGGAAGCAGACGCTGGGATGTTCCATGAACCTATGACCTCAAACTGCCACGGAACTCTTCCCGTTTAGTTTCTCTTTGACTGGTCCTGCATGTTGTCTCAATTAATGAACTACCAACAGAATACATGTGACCATGCAGACCTACAGTGGGGAGAACAAGTATTTGATACACTGCCGATTTTGCAGGGTTTCCTACTTACAAAGCATGTAGGAGGTCTGTAATTTTTATCATAGGTACACTTCAACTGTGAGACGGAATCTAAAACAAAAATCCAGAAAATCACATTGTATGATTTTTAAGTAATTAATTTGCATTTTATTGCATGACATAAGTATTTGATACATCAGAAAAGCAGAACTTAATATTTGGTACAGAAACCTTTGTTTGCAATTACAGAGATCATACGTTTCCTGTAGGTCTTGACCAGGTTTGCACACACTGCAGCAGGGATTTTGGCCCACCCCTCCATACATACCTTCTCCAGATCCTTCAGGTCCTCCAAAGATTTTCTATTGGGTTCAGATCTGGAGACTGGCTAGGCCACTCCAGGACCTTGAGATGCTTCTTACGGAGCCACTCCTTAGTTGCCCTGGCTGTGTGTTTCGGGTCGTTGTCATGCTGGAAGACCCAGCCACGACCCAGCTTCAATGCTCTTACTGAGGGAAGGAGGTTGTTGGCCAAGATCTCGCGATACATGGCCCCATCCATCCTCCCCTCAATACGGTGCAGTCGTCCTGTCCCCTTTGCAGAAAAGCATCCCCAAAGAATGATGTTTCCACCTCCATGCTTCACGGTTGGGATGGTGTTCTTGGGGTTGTACTCATCCTTCTTCTTCCTCCAAACACGGCGAGTGGAGTTTAGACCAAAAAGCTCTATTTTTGTCTCATCAGACCACATGACCTTCTCCCATTCCTCCTCTGGATCATCCAGATGGTCATTGGCAAACTTCAGACGGGCCTGGATATGCGCTGGCTTGAGCAGGGGGACCTTGCGTGTGCTGCAGGATTTTAATCCATGACGGCGTAGTGTGTTACTAATGGTTTTCTTTGAGACTGTGGTCCCAGCTCTCTTCAGGTCATTGACCAGGTCCTGCCATGTATCTGGGCTGATCCCTCACCTTCCTCATGATCATTGATGCCCCACGAGGTGAGATCTTGCATGGAGCCCCAGACCGAGGGTGATTGACCGTCATCTTGAACTTCTTCCATTTTCTAATAATTGCACCAACAGTTGTTGCCTTCTCACCAAGCTGCTTGCCTATTGTCCTGTAGCCCATCCCAGCCTTGTGCAGGTCTACAATTTTATCCCTGATGTCCTTACACAGCTCTCTGGTCTTGGCCATTGTGGAGAGGTTGGAGTTTGTTTGATTGAGTGTGTGGACAGGTGTTTTTTATACAGGTAACGAGTTCAAACATGTGCAGTTAATACAGGTAATGAGTGGAGAACATGAGGGCTTCTTAAAGAAAAACTAACAGGTCTGTGAGAGCCAGAATTCTTACTGGTTGGTAGGTGATCAAATACTTATGTCATGCAATAAAATGCAAATGAATTACTTAAAAATCATACAATTTGATTTTCTGGATTTTTGTTTTAGATTCCGTCTCTCACAGTTGAAGTGTACCTATGATAAAAATTACAGACCTCTACATGCTTTGTAAGTAGGAAAACCTGCAAAATCGGCAGTGTTTCAAATACTTGTTCTCCCCACTGTACATGTTGTGTAAATGGGAAGGTTGAATTGTGTGTGTGCCAAGAGGTACATGTTATGGATGTACTGTAGTTTAATTTACATTTTAAAAAAGTTTCACAAATTATTTACAGAGTGCATGTCCATCATATTCCAGACAATTTATTTGTTATAGGACCCCTCCCCAGGAATGCCAAATACTCAAGTGACTAGTTTAAAGCCAACTGTTATCTGGTGTCTAGTCCATTGGAGTGGGACATATTTGGCACGCTCAAAATATATTTAAGACCAGTGTTTCCCCTATATTCATTTAGACTCCAAAAATGTAAACGTCCAAATATAAATACTAGATATAAAGTATGTTAGAAAATAATGGTGTTATATATTTTTAAATAAGATCATCTTTGAGAACTAACCATCACCAAAATAAAATTAAAGTCAGGGAGAATCTAAAATTCCAAATATGTCATGACATGGGAAGCCCATTCATTTTGTTATGTCTGAGTCACTCATTTAGCATAAGAACACGGCATAAGCCATGGTAAAATGTGTAGAATTGCAGGAAATAAGTTTTAAAACAGCAACATTTTGTCTCTGCAGCCAAGAGGAGGGCCTTTAAAAAAGTAATAATCGGAGAGCGGGCCATTGGCCACGGCCAATACACCAACTATGCAAACATGAAAACATGCATTTCATTAATTTCATCAACATCGCCATCTAGTGTCTCCCATTTAGGAGAGGGTGACTGCCATTTCCAAAAGGCATTATTTTGTTGTTGTAGCTCCTGGCCCGTTTCTCATCTCAAAGGTCACCAGTTTACTCCGACATCACTAGATGAGATTTAATTAGATTTATGTCAAATATGCCTCTACATTGCTAAAACAATCAGACACCAGATTATCAAAACTCTGTTTTTATTCTGAGCTTCAACCAAAGTGTTTAGAGAGCAAAGGAGGGTCAGTTCAGCTTGTCAAAGTACTTGAGTTTGCCCGATGGGTCTGGGATTATCTATGGAGAGTAATACACTGAATTAGTGCAAGAGTCTCAAGAAATGTCTATGAAAATAATCTCTCTCTCTCTCTCATGCACACATTTACTTGGAAACACACACACGCACAGGATGAAACTCACCGTGTCACTGCCTGGCTTCCATCCTGCTGGGCACACTGCAAAAAGAAAAATGATTGAATTCACACAAACTGTAAACAAAGACCATCCATAGAAACCAAAGGTAGTTAAGTGTCTAGCTTTAATAAACTCAGCAAAAAATGAAACGTCCCTTTTTTATGACCCTGTCTTTCAAAGATAATTTGTACAAATCCAAATAACTTCACAGATCTTCATTGTAAAGGGTTTAAACACTGTTTCCCATGCTTGTTCAATGAACCATAAACAATTAATGAACATGCACCTGTGGAACAGTTGTTAAGACACTAACCGCTTACAGACGGTAGGCAATTAAGGTCACAGTTATGAAAACTTAGGACACTAGAGGCCTTTCTACTGACTAAAAGAAAGATGCCCAGGGTCCCTGCTCATCTGCGTGAATGTGCCTTAGGCATGAGGACTGCAGATGTGGCCACGGAAATAAATTGCAATGTCCGTACTGTGAGACGCCTAAGACAGCGCTACAGGGAGACAGGACGGACAGCTGATCGTCCTCGCAGTGGCAGACCACGTGTAACACCTGCACAGGATCGGTACATCCGAACGTCACACCTGCGGGACAGGTACAGGATGGCAACAACAACTGCCCGAGTTACACCAGGAACACACAATCCCTCCATCAGTGCTCAGACTGTCCGCAATAGGCTGAGAGAGGCTGGACTGAGGGCTTGTAGGCCTGTTGTAAGGCAGGTCCTCACCAGACATCACCGGCAACAACGTCGCCTATGGGCACAAACCCACCGTCGCTGGACCAGACAGGACTGGCATAAAATGCTCTTCACTGAAGAGTCGCGGTTTTGTCTCACCAGAGGTGATGGTCGGATTCGCGTTTATCGTCAAAGGAATGAGCGTGACACTGAGGCCTGTACTCTGGTGCGGGATCGATTTGGAGGTGGAGGGTCCGTCATTGTCTGGGGCGGTGTGTCACAGCATCATCGGACTGAGCTTGTTGTCATTGCAAGCAATCTCAACGCTGTGCGTTACAGGGAAGACATCCTCCTCCCTCATGTGGTACCCTTCCTGCAGGCTCATCCTGACATGACCCTCCAGCATGACAATGCCACCAGCCATACTGCTCATTCTGTGTGTAATTTCCTGCAAGGAATGTCAGTGTTCTGCCATGGCCAGCGAAGAGCGCGGATCTCAATCCCATTGAGCACGTCTGGGACCTGTTTGATCTGAGGGTGAGGGCTAGGGCCATTCCCCCCAGAAATGTCAGGGAACTTGCAGGTGCCTTGGTGGAAGAGTGGGATAACATCTCACAGCAAGAACAGGCAAATCTGGTGCAGTCCATGAGGAGGAGATGCACTGCAGTACTTAATGCAGCTGGTGGCCACACCTGATACTGACTGTTACTTATGATTTTGACCCCCCCTTTGTTCAGGGACACATTATTCAATTTCTGTTAGTCACATGTCTGTGGAACTTGTTCAGTTTATGTCTCAGTTGTTGAATCTTGTTATGTTCATACAAATATTTACACATAATAAACGCAGTTGACAATGAGAGGACGTTTCTTTTTTTGCTGAGTTTATCTGAGAATGTGTTATGTGTTGAGACTGAACCGTACCTTCGCCATGTTTGTCAGTGTACTGGAAGGCCTGGACCAGCCGCAGGGTCTCGTCTACAGAGCGCCCTACAGGGAGGTCATTCATGGTAATCTGCCTCAGGACTCCCTTGTCATCGATGATGAACAGGCCCCTGTGGAGGAGAATGACAACAATGATTGCTTCAGTTTCAAACTGCATGACTTTAGACTTCATGAACTTAAAACAGTTAACAGGTATTTTGTTGTACAGTTTCTCACTGAACCCATTTTTTATTTTTTTAAGTTAATGAGGATGAATGCTCTGGCTATAGGAGTTGTATCAAACCCAGACTAGTCATCGTCTTTTGAAGTAGTTTCTACTCCATGTGTGTGAGTTTCTAACTGCACCTGAGTGTATGTCCTGCGTCCTCCAGGAAGACTCCATAGTCCTTGGAAATCTGGTGTGTGAGGTCAGACAGCAGAGGAATTTTCATTGGCCCAAGTCCACCCTGCTTCCTGGGTGTGTTGATCCTGTTAACAACATAACAAATCTGAAATTCTTTGAATAAGTCCAAGCACCTCTGAAGAGGGGTGTGATGCTTATAATCTTACCATGCTAGATGGGTGAATTGTGAGTCGACAGAGCAGGCAACAACCTCAGCATTGATGGCACGGAACTCGTGCACACGATCACTGAACGCAATAATCTCAGTTGGGCAGACAAACGTGCTGCAGGTACACAGAGTTAGCGTCATCAGAATAATACATAGTCAACAGCATTATTACTTTAGACATAGCATACTGCATTTTCATTCAGTCAATGGTTCTATAATATAGAATATGTAATGGTAAGGTAACTCAGAAAAATATGTATAAACAGTTACTACAGTGTACATTTTATGATATGCTACTAAGAGAAAAATAGGCCAGACTCTCCCATTTAAAAGCTGGGGTGTATTCTTTACCCGATACTGTTGCAAAAGTAAACGTTTTGTACCAAAAACAAGAGTTTCTATTGGATAAATTCAGGTAGGTCCCTCCCCGTTTCGTTCTCTGTTTGCTTCCATTTGGTTCTTAAAAAAGTAAACGGTTTCCATTGCAAGAGGTAATTAATACACCCCGGACGATTTAGTTTTCTATTTGATATTATAGAGTAGTGGTCACCAACCTTTCAAGTCAAGATAACTTTCACAGTCAAAAAGCAAGCAGAGATCTACCGCTCAGATTGCTGCTTTTTAAAAATCATGGCTTACATTTTTTAAAACATTAATTTAATGAAAACAGTTCTGTACGAATGAGGTTTGGGCAGGAGGCCTAATACATGAATACAGCATATTGCCTATATGCCTGGCCTGCCAATATTGTTATTCTCAGACCATATTATATTTCAAAATGTGAGCTTTGATAACAAAATAGATAAGTTAGTGTAGCACTTGCGATGCACTGCAGAACATAAATTGAAATAATTGCCTTTTTTATTTTACTGGACGGATGGTACCTGCATCTGATTGTCATGGTGCTTTCAAGACAACTGGGAACATAAAAAAAAAAAAAAAGAGGTCAAATCATGATGTCAGTGATCTTCAGGTCAGAAAGTCCGAGCTCTAGAAAGATTCCCGAGTTTCCTACTTGAAATGTAGAGTTGGATGACTGTTCAAAACGTTTTTTCCCCAGTCGGTTCTCGCTCCCCCCCACTAACTGTTAGAGTTACTAGCCAACTAAGAGTTGCAACGAACAGTACAAAGAGGTTTGTTTTAGGATGAAGGTCAGTAAGAGCTAGTACTCACAAGTCCAGGGGGTAGAAGAAGAAGACTAGGTATTTTCCTTTGTAGTCAGACAGTTTGAGCTCCTTAAACTCTCCATCGATGACAGCTGATCCCTCAAAATAAGGTGCAGGCTTTGAAACTGCAAAAACAAGTTAGTTTTTTTGATAATGGTTCAAAGCACGAGCAAGCAAGATATTTGCTTCTCACCTTTTAGGGACAAACAAATCAAAAGTCTTTAGATCCAAAATCAAAAAGAAACAGGAAGTATACGACTACTGCTGTGCACATGATTACTGCATTTATACTGAACAAAAATATAAAACGCAACATGCAACAATTTCAACGATTTTACTGAGTTACAGTTCATAAGGAAATCAGTCAATTGAAATAAATAAATTAGGCTCTAATCTATGAATTTCACATAACTGGGCAGGGGTGCAGCCATGGGTGGGCCTGGGAGGGCGTAGGCCAATCAGAATGAGTTTTTCCCCAGACAGAAATACTCCTCAGTTTCATCAGCTGTCCGGATGGCTGGTCTCAGATGATCCCGCAGGTGAAGAAGCCGGATGTGGAGGTCCTGGGCTGGCGTGGTTACACATGGTCTGCGGTTGTGAGGCCGGTTGGACGAACTGCCAAATTCTCTAAAACGACGTTTGAGGCAGCTTATGGTAGAGAAATGAACATTCAATTCTCTGGCAACAGCTCTGGTGGACATTCCTGCAGTCAGCATGCCAATTGCATGCTCCCTCAAATCATGACACATCTGTGTTGTGTAACAAAACTGCACATTTTAGAGTGGCCTTTTATTGTCCCAAGCACAAGGTGCACCTGTGTAATGATCATGCTGTTTAATCAGCTTCTTGATATGCCACACCTGTCAGGTGGATGGATTATCTTGGCAAAGGAGAAATGCTCACTAACAGGGTTGTAAACACATTTCTGCACGAAATAAGCTTTTTGTTTTTTTGTTCAGTATAGTATGCTTGGCCGACAACTAATAGTATTTGTTCATTGTTGGTGAGCAGTGTGCAGGTAGGCCTATGTCTCAGGGCAGGCTTGGGGCACACTTGGCTACCCCATGGGGTGCATCACATCATTGGGTGCATATTAGCCAGAATACAATGACATTCTAGACGATTCTATGCTTCAAACTTTGTGGCAACATTTTGGGGAAGGCCCTTTCCTGTTTAAGCATGACAATGGCCCCCGTGCACAAAGCGAGGTCCATACAGAAAGTGTAGTGTAAATAACTCTACACTTGATTATGGATACACTGGGGTCAGACAGGCTTCCTATTTAGATTAAGACAACGCAGAGCCAGCACGAGATATGGCTAGGAAAACAAGCCTCAAGCCAGGGATGAGAGCTGCATTGTACTCCGAATTGTCCCATTCTCCCAACAGTTACACCAAGAAGATTGAACGACTACTAGTTTAAGTAAACTGCCATTTTTCATCCTCATGCTAGCTAGCAGTAGCCACAGCTGCATTATGGAATGGCATGTCATGTTGAAGAACAAAGGAGCCGATTGGCTGACACTGCTGGTCAGCGGGAGCAGGCGTCCCGCGCCAAACGAATTGGGACAAGAGCTGTAACTTGTTTTGCTCTCAAGAAAAGAGCGTCATTGAAAGGAGTGATTACTGAGGTAGCGGTAAATGTGAAAGTGGACCAACTGAAGGGAAAGACTCCTGGTGTTTATGATGCTCGCCGTGTGTTGCAAAACAGACAGGGTGGCATGAGTGATGACACCGAAGTCATTGTCTGTTCTTTTGAGTTTTGATGAGTCTATGCCCGACAAAGTGATGTTAGGATATTTCAGTTATCCCGTACGAGCTTATGTGCCAAATACATTACGTTGTTACAGGTGTCAAGCTTATGGGCATGTGGCAGCAGTGTGTAAGAGGGAGGTTCCTACCGTAGGTGTGAGAAATGTGGGGAAAGAAGCGGTATGTGTTAATTGTAGGGGTGCCCATGGGGCTGGTGATCAGAAATGTCCGGTGCGAGAGAGGCAGGTTGAGGTTACCAGGGTTAGAGTAGAGCAGAGGGTGTCGTATGCTGAGGCAGTGAAGAAAGTTGAGGAAGATGGGTCTAGGGGGAGGGATCCTGAGGGGATTCGTTTGAGTAGTAGATCTGTATCAGTACAGGGGGATAGGCAAACAAGTGATATATGCTATAGTAAGATTGGCTTTTTAGCGTTCATAGCAATGGTTATCCACTGTACTGCAGGGATGGAACATAAGTCGCAGAAAATAGAGGTTGTGGTGATGGCTGCAGAAAAGTATTTGGGTGTACGAGATTTGACGTTAAAAGACTTACAGGCTGTGTTGAGTCCCGTCCTTTCAGGCTGTTGGCCTGAGGTAGGACTAGATATATTTAAACAGTGGAGTAGGGTGGTGGGTTTTTAATGAGTGTAGGGTTAGATATTTGTTGATTTATTTTCCTTTTTTCAAGCAAAGTATAAGGGAGTTATACTCCAGTCTAGTTGGTGGCGGTAATGTAACATTTATTGGATGCCAACCACCGTTAAACCTCGAAGAAGAAGGCTGACACTGCCATTCCAAAATAGCTGGTGTGGCTTATGCTACCTAGCATGAGGTCAAAAAGGGCAGTTTTCTGGAAAAACAAGCAGTTGTTCAATCTTCTCGTTTAACAGTTGGGATAATGGGACAATTCAGAGTACAACATGTTTCTTATCCCTGGATTGAGGTACATTTCCCAAGCCATATCTCGTGCCGGTTCCGCAATGTTTTAATCTAAACAGGAAGCTTGTCAGACCCCAGTGTAGCTGTAAGCAAGCTGTAGGGTTGGAATCTACATTACACTTTCTGTATGGACCTCGCTTTGTGCACGGGGGCATTGTCATGCTGAAACAGGAAAGGTCCTTCCCCAAACTGTTGCCACAAAGTTAGAAGCATAGAATCGTCTAGATTGTATGCTGTAGCGTTAAGATTTCCCTTCACTGGAACCATGAAAAACAGCCCCAGACCATTATTCCTCCACCAAACTTTACAGTTAGCACTATTCATTGGAGCAGGTAGCGTTCTCCTGGCATCCGCCAAAAACAGATTTGTCCGTCGGACTGCCAGATGGTGAAGCGTGATTCATCACTGCAGAGAACGTGTTTCCACTGCTCTAGAGTCCAATGGCGGCGAGCTTTACACCACTCCTGCCGACGCTTGGCATTGCGCATGAAGATCTTAGGCTTGTGTGCGGCTGCTCGGCCATGGAAACCCATTTCATGAAGCTCCAAACGAACAGTTTTTGTGCTGACGTTGCTTCCAGAGGCAGTTTGGAACTCGGTAGTGAGTGTTGCAACCGAGGACAGATGGTTTTTACGCGCTACACGCTTCAGCGGTCCCGTTCTGTGAGCTTGTGTGGCCTACCACTTTGAGGCCGAGACATTGTTGCTCCTAGACGTTTCCGCTTCACAATAACAGCACTTACAGTTGACCGGGGCAGCTTTAGCAGAACAGAAATTTGACTGACTTGTTGGAAAGTCACTGGGCTCTTCAGTAAGGCCATTCTACTGCCAATGTTTGTCTATGGAGATTGCGTGGCGGTGTGCTCGATTTTATACAGCTGTCAGCAACAGGTGTGGCTGAAATAGCCGAATCCACTAATTTGAAGGGGTGTCCACATACTTTCGTATATATAGTGTATTCTGGCTAGGTGCGTCTCAGAAGTCTGGTATTGGCTTCCTTGTCACATCTCAATCTTCTGATTGGAAAACGCAGGAAATGTGAAAGATATAATGGAGGCCATCTACTGACAATTTACATTTCACCTGCCTTTTTTAACGAATGCAGATGAAGGTGTAAACTCTTATAGAGGAAGCCACTTAGCTAACATAACACTGACTGAGATGCATCCATTGGGATTGTGTGGTGCGCAGCAACTGTAATTGCGCGGGTACTCCTGTCCTCGAGACAGTAGTTGGAGCCAAGTTTTTTGGCATGACGTGTCCAAATGTACTAACTACTACTTGGAAATTTTGATCTACAAGTAAAATCTGGCATATTATTACAATAACACGCATACAAATGTCATGCTAACTTCAGTGGTGAACTTGGCAAGGGAAAACTGGCCAATTTGCAGCATAATTGGCACGGTGTCTAGTTAATCAAGTCAGCTAATTAAGTTGCCTGCAGTCAAGCTATTTAGCCAGCCGCAGCTAAAAACAAAAGTACCATATTCATGTAATGTTGAGTAAAAAAAAAAACGTTATTTAAAAGTATTTTAGAGTCAACGCGATTGTTAAAATACAAGTCGTGCAAGGGACGGGGACAATACTCACTTTTTGCCTTGCTGAGGTGTAGGGAATGGTCAGAGACGGGCACACGGAAAGCCTCTCCGGGGTAGACGTGTCCTCCAGCGTAGTTGTGACACTCTTGGTCCTTTTTCCCATTAGTGCCGTCTTGGGCTGCAGTGGAAAAATTGGTGACAAGACAAATTGTGCAAAGCACACTTAAAATGTCCTTTAACATCTTCATATGAAGCATGACGTCCATTACACTGTCTTGCTAAAAGCACGTAGCGAGCTAGCGTCTAAGAAAGTACAGGGGCGCTATTATTTCACGTGAACGCGCAGTTTATGGCCTCGATCGAAAGAACCTTTTCCAGATGTACTTTCCCTTTCTCGTGAAAGGAAGTAGTCCTCCTTGTTCAAGACAACAGAAATGGTTTTTAGTGTCTGATAATGATCGATTTGGGTAAATCAAACTATAAGAAAATGATGTGATGAAATCATTGCAATATTTCCTATTTTGTTTATTTGATCATTCTTATTTTTGCTTTCAAGGGTCCTCACAATATAGTTCCTATTGTGTTACTTATTCTTAAGCAGGGATGTGAAGGATGTATAGAATCCAATCGAAGTTAATTGGTCACGTGCACACGGTAGAGTGAACCACTTGCTTGCTATCTCTCCTCAGCAATGCAGTACAATAACAATATCAATCAAGAATCAAATGCAAAAGTCCAAAAATAACAAGTAGTAATGAAAAAAAAGCGTACTTGTAATACACTCATCTATCCACTTTATTCCTTGAAGGTCCCTGTATAAATATAAGAAAAAATAATATACCAGTCTCTATTCATGACCATTTGCCATTTTGTTTCGTATGTGCCTAGTAATTCCCGAGGCTTGCACCAATGGTCATGATAAAGATAAGTCTGTGATGGTAGGAGTGACATTTTTGGAGAAAGTTGACCGCTGGCTTTTGACTGATCCATATGTGGTTTCAGGGTGGGTGAAAACGGAGTTGGGTGCTGTGGAATCGGTTAAGGTAACCCGAAGTGGTCTTGTGATAATTGTTTGTGTTTCTGCTGGTCAGAGGGAGCAGGCGTCCCGCGCCAGGTCTCCTGAGTGGCGCAGTGGTCTAAGGCACTGCATCGCAGTGCTAGCTGTGCCACTAGAGATCCTGGTTCGAATCCAGGCTCTGTCGCAACCGGCCGCGACCGGGAGACTCATGGGCGGCGCACAATTGGCCTAGCGTTGTCCAGGGTAGGGGAGGGAATGGCTGGCAGGGATGTAGCTCAGTTGATAGAGCATGGCGTTTGCAACGCCAGGGTTGTGGGTTCGTTTCCCACGGGGGACCAGTATGAAAAAAAAAAATTAAAAAAATAATACAAAAATATATATATATGTATTCACTAACTGTAAGTCGCTCTGGATAAGAGCGTCTGCTAAATGACTAAAATGTAAATGTAAAATGGGACAAGAGCTGTAACTTGTTTTTCTCTCAAGAAAAGAGCGCCATTGAAAGGAGTGATTACTGGGGTAGCGGTTAATGTGAAAGTGGACCAACTGAAGGGGAAGATTCCTGGTGTTTGTGATGCTCATCGTTTGGTGCGAAGCAGACAGGGTGGAGTGAGTGGTAAAACAGAAGAGTCATTGTCTGTTCTTTTGAGTTTTGATGTTGAGTCTTTGCCCGACAAAGTGATGTTAGATTGTTTCAGTTATCCACTACAAGCTTTTGTGCCGAATCCATTACGTTGTTACAGGTGTCAAGCTTATGGGCATGTGCCAGCAGTGTGTAGGAGGGAGGTTTATAAGTGTGAGAAGTGTGCAGAAGGGCATGAGACAAAGGAATGTGTAGTATTGGAGAAAGAAGCAGTATGTGTTAATTGTACCGTTGCCCATGAGGATGGGGATCAGAAATATCTGGTGCAAGAGAGGCAGGTTGAGGTTATTAGGGTTAGAGTAGTGCAGAGGGTGTCTGTCATTTGCTGAGGCAGTGAAGAAAGTAGAGGAAGATGGGTCAAGGGGGAGGGATCCTGGGAGGATTTGTGTGAGTAGTAGGTCTGTGCCAGTACAGAGTCGTAGGCCAACGAGTGATATGCTATAGTAAGATTGGCTTTTTAGCATTCATAGCAATGGTTATCAACTGTACGGCAGGGATAGCACGTAAGTCACAGAAAATAGAGGTTGTGGTGGCAGCTGCAGAAATGTATTTGGGTGTACGAGATTTGACGTCAGAAGAGTTACAGGGTGTGTTGAGTGGCGGAGTCCCGTCCTTCCAGGCTGTTGGCCTGAGGTAGGATTAGATAGATTTAAATAGTGGAATAGGTTTGTGGGTTTTTAATGAGTGTAGGGTTATGGTAGGGTCTTTATTTTATTTTTCTCTTTTCCCCACGTAAAGTATAAGCTATACCCCAGTCTAGTTGGCGACGGTAATGCAACATTTATTGGATGCCTACCGCCGTTAAACATAATCGAAGTGCCTGGTAATTCATTTTACAATCAAATGCTTGAAGAGGAACTCGCTCGCTCGTGCAGAGGCCTATGCTTCTGCTATATCTCGGAAGAGCGTGCATTTTTTGGGAGAGTAGCGCATGTCGTCATCTGCAGTCGACGTTTGGTTTGTCCGTAACGTCATTTTGGTAGCGTTCGTTTTGACAGGAAGGACGGAGGGGAAAACCTTCTGCAGATAGCTGGCTGCCAAATAGTATGCAAAAGATGTTGACAATAATCTCCAACGTGCTGAGGGGTAGTGCAAGCAGAAATGTAAGTATTGTTTATGTATAGTATTTTAGCATAGGATACAAAGTACCGAGACCAGTTAAGTTGCCGTCCTGACCTTGCCAATACGATAGGCCCCGATTCGTACCCATACCGCAGTAGCTAGCTAGCCAGCCGCCCTTGGCTTCACATAAATATGACTTGGCAAATTATGTAAATCTGCTAACTAGCTAATATCCTAGCGAATCACATACCTACCTAGCTAGTTAACCAATCGTTAGCTGCCAACTTGTCAAAATAGTTGTCCTCATGGATTGGAAACTCGACGTTCAATTGCATAGAATTGTACGTCGGGCAGAAAAGTTTGACTCAGGAAAGTTTCCTATCACGACCTCAACAAGCCAGAATGTTGAATAAATATGTATTTCAACGTAATTTACCAGTTGTCTGTGCGGTTTGTCATTTTTGCGGTAGGAATGTGAGAATCTATCCACAGGAAGCATAATTACATCAACTTTTCAAAGCGCTGGTAGTTCATTGAGTTTTCTATTACCTAAAGCAGGACTGCCCAACCCTGTTCCTGGAGAGCTAGACTCATGTAGGTTTTCGCTCCAACCCCAGGTGTTACTAACCTGATTCATCTTATCAACCTGCTAATTATTAGAATCAGGTGTGCTAGATTAGGGTTGGAGCAAAAACCTACAGGACGGTAGCTCTCCAGGAACAGGGTTGGGCAGTACTGACCTAAAGCATGCGCAGAACCATGTAAACACGTACATGTGTATCTATTTTGATATTGTGCGCATGCTTCTGTAACAGTGTTGTTTCCGTCCCTCTCCTCGCCCCTACCTGGGCTTGAACCAGGGACCCTCTGCACACATCGACAACAGTCACCCTCGAAGCACCGTTACCCGTCGCTCCACAAAAGCCGCGGCCCTTGCAGAGCAAGGGAAACAACTACTTCAAGGTCTCAAAGCGAGTGAAGTCACTGATTGAAATGCTACTTGCGCGCACCGCTAACTAGCTAGCCATTTTACACCAGTTACACTTCAGGTGATAGAAATCAGAATACACTACCAGTGTTTTAAAAAGTTGATGTAATTATACTTTCCTGTGGTTATATTCTCACGTTCTTACCTCCAAAAGGACCAACAGCACGGACAACCCTAAAATATAATTTTATTCAACATTTTGGTTTGTTGAGGTCGCGAGAGAACTTAACTAATTCAAACTCTCATTTCTGCCAGATTTAGAGTTCTATGCAATTCAAAGTTGAGTTTCCAGGCAAAGTTCAAGACAACTCGGAAATCACTGACTTCAGTGCGTTGGATCAGGGGTTTTCAAACCCCCGCCCAGGCAAACCAGTATCCCAGGGACCCCCATCATACACTACCAGTCAAAAGTTTGGACACACCTACTCATTCAAGGGTTTTTCTGTATTTTTACAATTTTTTACATTGTAGAATAATAGTGAAGACATCAAAACTATGAAATAACACATATGGAATCATGTAGTAACCAAAGTGTTAAACAAATCAAAATATTTTATATTTGAGATTCTTCAAATAGCCACCCTTTGCCTTGATGACAGCTTTGCACACTCTTGACGTTCTCTCAACCAGCTTCATGAGGTAGTCACCTGGAATGCATTTCAATTAACAGGTGTGCCTTCTTAAAAGTTAATTTGTGGAATTTCTTTCCTTCTTAATGTGTTTGAGACAATCAGTTGTGTTGTGACAAGGAAGAGGGGGTATACAGAAGATAGCCCTATTTGGTAAAAGACCAAGTCCATATTATGTCAAACAGCTCAAATAAGCAAAGAGAAATGACAGTCCATCATTACTTTAAGACATGAAGGTCAGTCAATACGGAACATTTCAAGAACTTTGAAGGTTTCTTCAAGTGCAGTTGCAAAAACCATCAAGCGCTATGATGAAACTGGTTCTCATGAGGACCGCCATAGGAATGGAAGACCCAGAGCGACCTCTGCTGCAGAGGATAAGTTCATTAGAGTTACCAGCCTCCGAAATTGCAGCCCAAATAAATGCTTCAGAGTTCAACATCAACTGTTCAGAGGGGACTGTGTGAATCAGGCCTTCATGGTCAAATTGCTGCAAATAAACCACTACTAAAGGACACCAATAATAAGAAGAGACCTGCTTGGGCCAAGAAACACGAGCAATGGACATTAGACCGGTGGAAAAGTGTCCTTTGGTCTGGAGTCCAAATTGGAGATTTTTGGTTCCAACCGCTGTGGCTTTGTGAGACGTGGTGTGGGTGAACGGATGATCTCCGCATGTGTAGTTCCCACCATAAAGCATGGAGGAGGAGGTGTTATGGTGTGTGATTTATTTAGAATTCAAGGCACACTTAACCAGCATGGCTACCACAGCATTCTGCAGCGATACGCCATCCCATCTGGTTTGTGCTTAGTGGGACTATCATTTGTTTTTCAACAGGACAATGACCCAACACACCTCCAGGCTGTGTAAGGGCTATTTGACCTAGAAGGAGAGTGATGGAGTGCTGCATCAGATGACCTGGCCTCCACAATCCCCCAACCGCAACCCAATTGAGATGGTTTGGGATGAGTCGGACCGCAGAGTGAAGGAAAAGCAGCCAACAAGTGCTCACCATATGTGGGAACTCCTTCAAGACTGTTGGAGAAGCATTCCAGGTGAAACTGGTTGAGAGTAGTGTATGTTAGAAAAACAAATATTTGCCACAATGTCAGCTTTTAATCAAGATATCCAGTGGTAAGTAGCTACAGTCTCAATGATGAGAAAAAGCTTTTGACGGAGGCTCATAGGTGAATAATGGCAAGTAGAAGTACCTGCAATCAACATTTTTAAATGAATAGATTTGGTAGACAATTTCATTATTTTGACCTCCACAGTTGATTGGAAGTGTAAACTCTAACAGTCTATTACCTAGAAAAGTATCTTGGTGGCGTAGAGAAAATGTTGCTTTTGTAAAGCAAATTTTCTGAAGTTATACCATTTTTTATTATTTTTATTTTTTATTGTTAGTTCTCAGATGGTATTATTTCAAAAGAAATATAGTTCAATATATTTTCTGCATGCTTTCTATCTGGTTTTGGTTTTTTAAGCTGACACAAACTGTTTTTCATCTGGAAAATTACCACTTAGATGGCCCGCCTAAGAATTTTCTATAAAGGAAAAACCCTGTAATTAGCTCCAATGACTGTAATTTCCTCCATATTAAATGGATAGATGTTGGCAATGAAGCCATATATCTACTTCCCCAGAGTCGGATTAACAGGAACAGCTAGCATGCTAACTGTTCCTGTAGACTTCCAGTAATTGTGCTAACGCTAGTTAGCATTGGCTTGTGAAACTACCTTTAAATCAGCTCCGACTGGGAAAAATATTTTGAACGGTCATCCAACTCAGAATTACAAGTCGGAAACTGTGGCATCTTTCTAGTGATCCAACTTTCCGACCTGAAGATCACTGACGTCATGATTTGACCTCGGTTTCTTTCCTAGAGTTCCCCGTTGTCTTGAAACACCATAATCTCCAGCATCATTATCACAGCCAATGGTAGTCTGCTGGCTAGCTAGTTAGATTCAAGAGTGTCTCCTCATGTCACATCAGTGGTTGCGTTTTGTTTCTTTGCCACAACGTCAGCTTTTAATCAAGATATCCATTGGTAAGTAGCTAAGGTCTCAATGCTGATAAAAAGCTTCTGACGGAGGAACATAAGGCGGCCATCACAGGGAGTTCAAAAATCACCTGTTGTTTTCAATGATTGGCTGATCACCTTGAATAACACAACTCAAACATTTAATGTGGCACAGAATTGTCAGAATTATCTCTTTCATGTCTGACAATATAATCTCTCCTGTGATTCTCTAATTGATCCATCTCTTTATCTCTTGATGTCTTCCAATGTACTCTCTCACTCCTTCCCTTCTCTGGTTTTCTCTCCCATTGGCTGCCTGGTAGGGAGCCCAGGTTGTGTCAGAGGTAAGATGTGGTTTTACTGTAGTGTAGTCCGTGATACAATCCCTGTAGCACACCCAACTCTGCTTATTTTGTGCTCCAGTTTTATTCCTAATGATTTCTTTCACTTTCACATGGCACCGTTATGTTCTATACTTTCACTCACTCATTCATTTAGTTATTTATTTGGGGTCCAATTACGGCATCATTTAACATTGCATTTACCCACCCCACTAGAATAATTTTCATTTGGAAATGATCTCTTTAAGCAATTATGCTTTGCTATCTGCTCCTAATAGCTCGTCTTGTTGGCTTTTTTCTCACACGCACACATAGGTATATCTCATTCATTTATAGCTACTAGCTAGGCCTACTTAGTTATTTCACATTGGAAAGTGGTCTCGGAGCCAACCGCCTAGTGCATTTGCTTTGGCAAAGACAAAAGTGATCTGATTGGTAGGTACTAGTTAGCTATAGTTCACAGGAGGTTGGTGGCGCCTTAATTGGGGAGGACGGGCACGTGGTAATGGCTGGAGCGGAATAAGTGGAAAGGTATCAACAACGTTGGCTCCGAAACCATTCCATTTGCTCCGTTCCAGCCATTATTATGAGCCGTCCTCCCCTCAGCAGCCTCCACTGTTTGGTTAGTAAGGTAATGAGTGTGGACAATGTGGTTTAGAACTAGCCTATGTGTTTTAAGTCTGAGTCAATTGAAAGGCCTTCGTTGGTGCAGTTTTTTTTATTTTTTATGTGGAATAACACATTTTCCTTTTGTCCCGTATTCCTGCTCAAAGGTTAGTTTTGTTTCATAGAAGACTTGGCCCAACACTCAGATGATGCAGATGAGAATAGCTTTTTACTATTGGACTGGATCAACACCTTCAGAACAACCACCAGACCTTTAGCTATTTGAGCTGCAGTAGTTAACTGCTGTTCTCAGACCCCTCAGTGGGTAATGTGCTGACTTTACCTCTAGACCACATGTGTCCAACTCGTTCCATGGAGGGCCGAGTGTCTGCGGGTTTTCACTGCTACCTTGTACTTGATTGATGAATTAAGGTCAGTGATTAGTTAGGAACTCCCCTCACCTGGTTGTCTAGGTCTTAATTGGACACAAATTGAAAGTAGAAACCAAAAACCAGCAGACACTCGGTCCTCCATGGAATGAGTTTGACACCCCTGCTCTCGGCTCTGCAGTGACTGTTCTGCCTGGCTCTTCTCTCCCCAGTCCTCCATGCGCAGGGCTGTTTTGCAGCTGCTGGCGGTCCAGGGTCAGTATGCTGATATTACCTCTCCGCCAGACCCAGATCCAGCACTACTACCCTACAAGCCAGACACAGATTTATACTCGGTCTCACACAGTCCTCTAGTAGACGATTTCAACAGGCCAAAGACTGATCTAACATTTAACCAAACAGACCACAGTGCTGTACTGATCACAGAACTTACAATTGCCAACAGACTAATACCTGAAGAATCCCCAGAGGCCCACTCTGGTCAATCGGTCCCCTGCCTTTAGCAGTAAATCTGAAGAGGAGTCATTTGACACTGACAAACCATTTGCAGATCTAACATCACTTCAGCATGTGATAAATACAGACCCGCCAGTCTCAGAATTATCCTTATCAGAGCAACCAAATCTTAACTCACCAGGACCCTTTGCAGCTGGCCCGACTGTTTCAGAACCGTTAGCTGATAATGCCTTGACTGTTTCAGAACCCTTAGCAGATATTACCCTGATCGTTTCAGAAGCAGAACCCTTAGTAGGTACTGCCCAGACTGTTTCAGAACCCTTAACAGGTACTGCTCTGACTGTTTTAGAACCTTTAGAAGAACCCTTAAATGTCCACTCTGTTTCAAAATTAACTTTATGCGAACCACTCGGTACAAACCCAGTTATTCCAGAATCAAACTTATCTGAACAGTCAGCTGCGATGGACTCTCAAGTATCAGAATCCATTTTACCAGAGCCTCCATTAACCTCTGATGCGCCCATCATAGACCACAATTTAACAGAAGCAGAAATGAACTCTGACTGACTAACGCTAGAACTAACATCACCAGAATTACCTCTTAACGTGGACCAACCGACTCAGGAATTAAACGTTTCGGAACCTGACATCAGTACTAACAGCGACGCTTCTGACTCATCCATATCTGCGCTTCAGCTGGCAGAGAGGAGCCAGAATACTGACATAGCGTTGCTTCAACACCCTGAGATCACCCTCAGCTTGACTGAAGGCACTCCTTTACCAGAGCCACAGCTTGCTGTGAGTACTGGCAGCCCCTCTGTATCTTACACTCCTCCGCTCACCACCACTCATGCTTTTACAGTACTTTGCATGCCCTGATGCACAGGTGCTATGATCTGCCTGTTTTCTCACACTAAGGCTATCCCATGGTGTGATAATTACCCATATTCCTTAGAGCTTGAATTGACTGGTTGTGTGAACCTGCCCACCTCAACATTTGGTCTACAACACAATAATATATTTCTCCTTCATTAACCATTCACATTTGAACACACATTTGATTTTCAGAGTGTCGGAAATATTCTGGATATGTCTTTTTCAGCCAATGAGGCATTCCTGTTAGTTGATTGGTTCAGTGTTTTTCGAGACAGACTTTTCACTGGTGCTTATCAGTGGCAATGGAGTGTTTATTCAGTCTCGTTGTTGTGGTGTGTGGATCAACCTCTGGAAGTATAGCTATGTTCCATCCCATGGTTTCTCACTCTACTTCTTACTTTTTGGGTCTGTCCTACTGCAGATGCTTTTGTGCTGCCTCTCCTGGCTTGCCCAAACGCAGGTCTTGCGAAGTAGATTTGTGTTGTGAAAAGACGTGATGATGTCTAGTTAAATGTACATGTGGAGTGCATTTCTCAAGTGTCCTCTGTTTTTTTTAGGCCACCAGCATGGTGGTGGCGTCACGCTCGTATGCTGATTTCACTCCTGAGGCCACCTTTGACATAAAGGTAAAACCCCAAAAAATATACTAAAAATGTGTAGCTGATTTTGATACTCACGGTCTGCCTTGTTGAGTTCTCATTGTGTGTGTGTGTGTGTGTGTGTTCCCTCCTGTAGAAAGTTGACCTTCATCGTCTGGAGGAGGGCCCACCCCTGACAGCCACTCTGACCCGGGAGGAGGGACTGAAGTACTACCGCACCATGCAGACCATAAGACGCATGGAGCTGAAGTCTGACCAGCTCTACAAGCAGAAGATTATCAGAGGCTTTTGTCACCTGTCCGATGGCCAGGTTAGAACACACAATCACTCTCACCTGTTTTATAAGCAAACATACAGTTTCACATGAACACACACACACACCATTGGAGGCTGGTGGGAGGAGCTATAGGAGGATGGACTCATTGTAATGGTTGGAATGGAATTAGTGGAGCAGTATGTAACACAAACATATGGAAACCACATTTTTGACTCCGTTCCATTTATTCCATTCCAGACATTACAATGAACGCGTCCTCATATAGATCCTCCCAACAGCTTCCACTGACACACACTGCATTCAAATAGCAACAAGCATTTTGCTACACCCACAATAACATCTGCTAAATATGTGTATGTGACCAATAAAATCTGATTTGATTTAATATAAACTCTCAGAGATTATGTTTTTGTTATTCTTTGATAGGAAGCCTGTGCGGTTGGCGTTGAGGGGGGTATCACCCTGTCGGATCACCTGATCACTGCATACCGTGCCCACGGCTACACCCTCACCAGGGGCGGGACGGTCAGGGAGATCATGGCAGAGCTCACTGGTGAGTGTTCTTGACTTGACTCAGTCCAATAGAGAACCCTAATAAGATCTAATCACTGTACTTTGCACCTCTGATTTGATCTCCCTAACCATTAAAACTCTCCTTTCTCTCTTTTCTTTTTCTTCCCTTATTTTTGTCTTTTGTTCCCTTGCTGTCTCTCTTAGGTCGTAGAGGAGGCATTGCTAAGGGCAAGGGAGGCTCTATGCACATGTACACTAAAAACTTCTATGGAGGCAATGGCATTGTGGGAGCTCAGGTAATTCACTAAAGCCTAGCATTATTCCTTTATCTTAGATTTGAAAGAATACCGTTTAGATTTCTTTTTTTTGACCTCATCATTTGCATCCGGTTTATATCCGATTCAAAGATGGTGGATTTCTCCCTCACAAATATAACACCTGCCTAATTTCCCCTCAGGTACCGCTGGGAGCCGGTGTAGCCCTGGCCTGCAAGTACCTGGGCAATGATCAGCTGTGTGTCAGTCTCTATGGTGATGGTGCAGCCAATCAGGTTTGACATAAGGCATGCTTCTTGAAGCCTGCATACATTAAACATATGAAGGACACTTGCTTCAAGTTTGGATTTGACCCCAACTGTTGACTGAATTTGTATTCATCCACAGGGTCAGATCTTTGAGACATATAACATGTCGTCTCTTTGGAAGTTACCCATCATTTTCATCTGTGAGAACAACCAGTATGGCATGGGGACATCAGTAGAGCGCTCTGCTGCCAGCACCGAATACTACAAGAGAGGGGACTACATTCCTGGCATCAGGGTAGACCGCTAACTAATACATTCAAGCTCATGTACATCTTACAAAATGTATTCCGTAATCTCACACAATGCATCTGTACCCAGGTGGATGGGATGGACGTCCTGTGTGTTAGAGAGGCCACCAAGTTTGCAGCTGATCACTGCCGATCTGGAAAGGTGAGCATCAATCTTACAGTATGTAGGATGGTTGATTTTGTGTCTGTGTGTACTGTGCACAGGTTTGTGTGTTTTTAGTCAAAGTAGCACAACTTAGACTTTTTCTCTGTGCACCACCTGTGTTCAGGGCCCTATCCTCATGGAGCTCCAGACCTACCGTTACCATGGACACAGCATGAGCGATCCTGGGGTCAGGTAAAAGTCCAATCCATATTGTTATTATTGGATTAGTAGATTACTATTGTTGATGTCATTGACATGATTATTGTTACGTACCTATGTTTTTTTTTCTCCAAGTTATTTGAACTCCATCAGTGCCGACCTACCAGGGATTCAGCAAGGCTTTCAGTGCTCTAATATATTGCTGCCCCTGCACTCTGCTATGTCCCCCAGTAGTCTCCTCCCTGCCCTCTCTTACCCGCCATAGTGACACTGCATTCCCCTGATCCCTACCCCGCTCTTCCCCGTTTCTCAGCTACCGCACACGTGAGGAGATCCAGGAGGTCCGTAGTAAGAGCGATCCCATCTCCATGCTGAAGGACCGCATGCTCAGCAACAACATGGCCAGCATAGAGGAGCTCAAGGTGATTCTCAAACATTCACTAATATACTGCACATTCAACACAGTATGAATAGGCAGTATATACAGGTAACTGCCAAAATAAAGGAAACACCAACGTAAAGTGTCTTAATAGGGCGTTGGTAGGGCTGGGCGATATCAAATTAATTCAAGTTTATGTTTTAACACAATATTCCAAATGCCTGTATCACAAGAATCAAATTTAATTTAATTTTTATTTTTTATGAGTGCTTATGTCCGATGTCCGCTTGATCTGTATTGGTCTCTCTTGGGGTATGTCTCTAAAAGCTTGGCACATCTAGCCACTGGGATTTTTGCCCATTCTTTAAGGCAAAACTGCTCCAGCTCCTTCAAGTTGGATACAAAGCAATCTTTAAGTCATACCACAGATTCTCAATTGGATTGAGGTCTGGGCTTTGACTAGGCCATTCCAAGACATTTAAATGTTTCCCCTTAAACCACTCAAGTGTTGCTTTAGCAGTATGCTTAGGGTCATTGTCCTGCTGGAAGGTGAACCTCCGTCCCAGTCTCAAATCTCTGGAAGAATGAAACAGGTTTCCCTCAAGCGTTTTCCTTGATGGCCAAAAAGCTCAATTTTAGTCTCATCTGACCAGAGTACCTTCTTCCATATGTTTGGGGAGTCTCCCACATGGCTTTTGGCGAACACCAAACATGTTTGCTTATTTTTTTCTTTAAGCAATGGTTTTTTTCTGGTCACTCTTCCGTAAAGTCCAGCTCTGTGGAGTGTACGGCTTAAAGTAGTCCTATGGACAGATACTCCAATCTCCGCTGTGGAGCTTTGCAGCTCCTTCAGGGTTATCTTTGGTCTCTTTGTTGCCTCTTATTAATGCCCTCCTTGCCTGGTCTGTGAATTTTGGTGGGTGGCCCTCTCTTGGCAGGTTTGTTGTGGTGCCATATTCTTTCCATTTTTTTAAATAATGGATTTAATGGTGCTCCGTGGGATGTTCAAAGTTTCTGATATTTTTTTATAACCCAACTCTGATCTGTACATCTCCACAACTTTGTCCCTGACCTGTTTGGAGAGCTCCTTGTTCTTCATGGTGCCCCTTGCTTAGTGGTGTTGCAGACTCTGGGGCCTTTCAGAACAAGTGTATGTGTGTGTGTGTATATATATGAGATCGTGTGACATTTAGATTGCACACAGGTGGACTTTATTTAACTAATTATGTGACTTCTGAAGGTAATTGGTTGCACCAGATCTTATTTAGGGACTTCATAGCAAAGGGGGTGAATACATATGCACGCACCACTTTTCTGTTATGAATTTTTTGAAACAAGTTATTTTTTTCATTTCACTTCACCAATTTGGACTATTTTGTGTATGTCCATTACATGAAATGCAAATAAAAATCAATTTAAATTACAGGTTGTAATGCAACAAAATAGGAAAAACGCCAAGGGGGATGAATACTTTTGCAGGGCACTGTATTTGAGCTGTTCTTACCATAATATGGACTTGGTCTTTTACCAAATAGGGCTATCTTCTGTATACCCCCCTACCTTGTCACAACACAACTGATTGGCTCAAACACATTAAGAAGGAAATAAATTCCACAAATTATCAAGGCACACCTGTTAGTTGAAATGCATTCCAGGTGACTACCTCATGAAGCTGTTTGAGAGAATGCCAAGAGTGTGCAAAGCTGTCATCAAGGCAAAGGGTGGCTATTTGAAGAATCTCAAATATAAAATATATTTTGATTTGTTTAACACGTTTTTGGTTACTACATAATTCCATATGCGTTATTGCATAGTTTTGATGTCTTCACTATTATTCTACAATGTAGAAAATAGTACAAATAAAGAAAAACCCTTCAATGAGTACGTGTGTCCAAACTTTTGACTGGTACTGTGATATAACTGTATATCTATCTCGTATATATGATTTTAGGCCATATCACCCAGCCCTAGACCTTGGGCCACCATGAGCCACAAGAGTAGCTTCAATGTGCCTTGGCATAAATTCTACAAGCGTCTGGAACTCTATTGGAGGGATGCGACACCAGAATCTCCCATAAGTGTTAAATTGGGTTGAGATCTGGTGACTGACACACAGCCTTAAACCCCCTATGCTCCCTTGAGACCCCTCTTTCAAAGTCACTGAGATCTCCTCTTCTAGCCATGGTAGTCAAAATAATGGGCAACTGAGAATTTTTGTGCATGACCCTAAGCATGATGGGATGTTAATTGCTTAATTAACTCAGGAACCACATCTGTGTGGAAGGACCTGCTTTCAATATACTTTGTACAGGTAACTGCCAAATTATAGGAAACACTTGATTAAATGAGGGATACAAAGTCAAATATCTGAATCTATCATTGTCTATGTTTGAAAAACGCATAATTATTGACACATTGAAAATAGTTACAGCTGACAGAAGCATGTCTTTGAGGATGTAAAGACCAAACTTCCCTTGTCCTGTATGTGTGCAGGAGATTGACATTGCGGTCAGGAAGGAGATTGAAGATGCTGCACAGTTCGCCACCACAGACCCTGAGCCCCCTCTGGATGACCTGTGTAGCCACATCTACGCCAACGATCAGCCCTTTGAAGTGCGTGGTGCCACCCCATGGACCAAGTTGACGTCAACCAGCTAAAGCAGCGTTTCCCAAACTCGGTCCTCATGACCCCTAGGGGTGCACATTTTGGTTTTTGCCCTAGCACTACATAGCTGATTTAAAATAATAAAAGCTTGATGATTAGTTAATTATTTGAATCGGTTGTGCAGTGCTAGGGCAAAAACCAAAACGTGCAGCCCTTGGGCTCCCCAGGCCCGAGTTCGGGATACGCTGAGCTAAAGGCTCTCGTGCCCCCATCCCTTTGTCTCCCAGGCCCTTCCCCTATCCTCCATCAACGCACATTTATCTTTGCACACATCACCTTCTCCATTTCAGCCAATGGCCTTCATGGACTATAATCTTCTCCCCCCCCAAACACATCATCTCGTGCCAACAATAACTTATACCACCCACTGATGTTCCATTTACCCTTTGCCAGAGCCCCAATCCACACCCAAAAAGTGTCTGGTTGGTGTCATATCTCATTGACTAACTCGGAGTCATTGCTATTTGCATTTCTCATGCCACATTATTGGCTCTTATCTTTTCTGTTGAAAGGTCACTTAACACAGCAGAGAAGTTAGAAGAGCCTTTCATTGTCCCTCTACAAATGTTTGGAGACTGGTCACATGGACCAATTGTCCTTATCAACATTACTGGTGTAATTACTCCTATTCAATGATTGTGGTTGTTTTCTCTCCAAATATATAAGATTAAAGGGTATATTAAATAAAGTGATTTACAGTAGGATTTTATTTTATTTGTCTTGCCAAATCAAATCTGTGCCTGTGGGATCTTGTCTGTTTTGACAATGAGTGTCTCATGTCTCTAGGCTGCGGGTCACTCATAACAGAACACAAACACTACAGATCCACATGGATTAAGGCTGAGTCTGGACATTGTGGTGTGATGCTTCAGAGAGAGATTATTAAATCCTGTTGACCTCATGCCTTCACTATCTTGTCAGTCATACCCCCTCTTTGTAGATACTGACTCTCCTTCTAAATCATAATTTGCCCTGGTCTCTTGTTCCCTGAAATTATTTTTTGTTTCTATCAGCCTCATTATTTATTGCTGAATGTGTTTAACTGACATACCAGTGCTCAAACTACAACTACTTAAAGCAGGAATAGAAAATGCTTCTTTTGGGAGTCTTGGTGGTCAACTGTTACAGTGGATAATGGTCAGACTACAGAGAACAGTGGGGCACTACACACAGATCTGTCCTGGTTTTCCCCTAGAGATGCTAATGAAATCAGGAAGTGTATGTGTGCCTTGATTGTCTTTGTACAGTCTATCAAAACAAATAAACTTAGAAAGAAAGCTTTGTGTACAAATGTGTGTGAATGTGTGTGTGTGATCCTTGTTCTAAACAAAAGGCATTTATGTGAGGCTTAATGTTTAAAAATGACATGGCTATTCAACTTATATGACCCTTTTGTGACGTAAGTCCTATGTTACATTTTCCATGTCACATCAAGGCTTACTGCATATTTGCTCAACTGTAGTCTAGTGATTGCTTATCACCTGTTTTGATGCCATGTCTTGTCCCTCCCAACCAATGACGTATGGCCGGGTGACGCATTCCTCAGCCTCGTTCTGACAGACAGGTAAACCGAACCACGGCGCCATATTGAGAGAGAACGGAAGTGAGTGAATTTTGATGTGAAAAAGTGTTTGTAGTTTCTAGAAAACATTGGAAAGAGTAATGAAAGTCGTTTAAACGTACAGTTACGATTGAATTGGAACCATTTTACTGTTTTGTTTTTCTCGTTTAAGAGAGACCCCCCTCCTCAAGAAATACTTTTTCTTAACCCACCCTTGACAGTGTCAAGTCACTGAAAGCGCGCGGCAGCGACTGAACTCTTGTCGAAGATGCCCTTGGCACAGTTTGGAGCAGACCCATGGCAGAAAATGGCCTTGGGGAATTCGGAAAACGAGGTAATGAACATGCCCACGAACGATGGCCACCTTAGTTCTAATTTGTCATCAATGATTGCCGCGGTCTCTTGTGAATTCACTTCCTCCCACAGTTTGTGGGACAGCAACTTCGATTTAGTTTCGCATAAACTGTTTTTAAAACGTAAACGATTATAAAAGGACTATAGTGGTGATCTTAGCTGTCTTATTTCTCAAGCACAGGCTGATAACTGTAACAACAGCCATTTGTTGCAGGAAATCGTGAGTGGGAAAAAAACGAATCGCTAACTACTACACTCACCACAGCGAACGTGATGTTTATCGGTCAAGTTGCCATTTCTAAAGTGTAAACTAGGCCAATGAAATGCTATATGTTCTAATCAACTAACAATTGTCCATGAAGCATATTAGACAGTTTCAAAAACACGAGCCCATCCCAATTTTGTGTGTGAGAGGGAGAGTTTAAATCGCTTTCTGTGTTTCAGGTCATGGATGACTCAATGGGGGAGGATGAAACTGTATGCAGTGTAAGTAAACATTTTAATAATAATCTCACCTGTCTTCTCCCAGACTGGCTCATTTTCACAGATGGTGTGCATCACAGGAGGTTGGTGACACCTTAATTGGGGAGAACGGGCTCATGGTAATGTCTGGAGTGGAAATTGGAATGGTATCAAATACATGGTTTCCATGTGTTTGATGCCATTCCATTCGCTCCGTTCCAGCCATTATTATGAGCCGTCCTCTCCTCACCAGCCTCCACTGGTGCGTGCATATGTATTTATCTTCCATGTTCTCTCTCGTTCTGTTTTCTCTCTTTCAGTCCTATCTTACCTACTCACACTCCTACATCCAGGCACTCCACAATAATACTGAGTACTGTGTATTAATATGGACTAGTGGTGGGGTCGGTGGGAGTAAAACGAGAGCAAAATGATTAAAGAGAAGATGAGGGGTATCGAAAGAGCGTGAAAGCGACTGTAAAAGAGGGAGAGCGCATGCTATGTCTTTAGTCATCCTCCTCCACACCTTTGATGCAGTGGGAGGGGGTGTTGGCGGCATGGCAACCGGTTACAAGCTGTCAGTCGGGAGCTCCCTCCCCCGGCAGATCAGAGTGCAGTCTCTCTCACCGCAGCCGCTCTGCCACACTGTGACACAGGGAGAGGGGCTCTGCTGGCCTAGCACCGGCATGGGGGATTTGGCCTCCGCTTCGGCAGAACACGGGCCAAAGAAGGACTTCGCTGAGAGCTGGTGTGCTGTACGTGTGTCTGATGTGATGTGTTATGTTTGGGTGGGAAAGCATGGGAGTTTATTTCTCCATCCTCCCACAGTATGACTCTGCTGTAGTGCAAAGAAAAGGTTATGAGTATGCAGGGCTGAAACAGTCTCTTTCTTGGTAGGGTTTTACTTCAAAACTTGTGAATGTATTTTATTTGATTCATTCCATTGCTTCTGTTTATTTGATTATTCTTTGCGACGTGTCTCTGTACGTGTGTGTGTGTTTGTTTATAGAATTGCTGTGTATTGCTATACTCGCTCTACATTGCTGTGTATTTGGGGCGCCCCTGGCTTTGGTTTGACTGTGTGTCTCGTCTTTTACAGGATGAGGGCTCAGTGAATGAGATCAGTATCACACATCATGTCAAAGAGGGCTCTGAAAGGGCTGATCCTTGGCAGTTTGAAGTCCGCAAGGTCCTGGGAGAGGGATCCTTTGGGAAGGTAAATGACAGTGTGTGAGATGAAACGGTGTAGTGGTCATAATGTTTGTGGTGTTAATATTATGAATATATTAATTATGGTTTTCTGTATGATCATATCTCTGAACATTTGTCTATATGAAACTGACTGATTCATGGAAGCTGTTGTGATTAACAGCTGAACTGATTTGTCTCTTTATTCATGTTCTTCTGTTCAGGTCTTCCTTGTGAAGAAAATAACAGGGCCTGATGTTGGACAGCTGTATGCTATGAAGGTGCTGAAAAAGGCCACTTTGAAAGGTACACAAGTCTGCAGGGATTTATTTTTTGTGTGAATTTGTTTATATTGAATATCATGCTTGCAATAGGTTTAGAACTACTTTACAACAACAGTATATATGTTTTTTTGTCGAATTAATTACAGCCGTGTTTTACTTATTTATTTCATGAATCACCAGTGCGAGATAGGGTCCGGACCAAGATGGAGCGAGACATTCTGGTGGAGGTGAACCATCCTTTCATAGTCCGACTACACTACGGTGAGTTATCAGACATCATCTGACTGCCCTGTCATATTTCTACGTCTGATATAAGCACAGGTCATCAAACCTTACAGATGAGTTTTTACTTAAATATGTACCCATGATTCTTCACAGCATTCCAGACAGAAGGGAAGCTGTACCTGATTCTGGACTTCCTCCGAGGTGGAGATCTATTCACACGGCTGTCCAAAGAGGTGAGCAGAATTAAAATCCTACGTTTATTTTTTATTAATTAAAATGGTCTGTTTTTCCTGGGAATTCATATCCGTATTAGAATAGTTTTGGTGAGTTTGTGTATTAGGTGTGTTGTTTTAACCAGTCTGCCTCCCAGGTGATGTTCACAGAGGAGGATGTGAAGTTCTACCTGGCAGAGCTGGCTCTGGCCCTGGACCATCTGCATGGCCTGGGAATCATCTACAGAGACCTGAAACCTGAGAAGTACCTATTACACTAACGCTATAACATTGCTTCTTCCCATTAGTTGCTTGTTTCTCTTCCAATCAGCAACCTGGGAAATTATTGTGTATTCTTTATATAAATCTAATGTTATTTTGAGCTTAGAAGTTACGATGTTATATACTGTCTATTTACTGTATGCGTTTCTGCTGGCTGATGTTGTATTCCTCTCTGACTGAGATCACTCTGTCCTTTCAGCATTCTGTTAGATGAGGAGGGCCATATCAAACTCACTGGTGGGTGATTCTCTGCTCCTGTTACATATGCATGTTTCATATTCACACTCCGTCTGACTCAGCCACCGAGCAGAATAACAGTGTTTTTAATGGCTTTGTCATTTTAGGAGCCCTTAGTCTGCCTATGTACCATTTTGGCTTGACTACGAATAGACTTTAAGCACAAGCTCGTGTTCAACTCGACTCTCATTTGGCTGCCCTTTGTTTGTTCCAGACTTCGGCCTTAGTAAAGAGTCCATTGATCATGAGAACAAGGCCTACTCTTTCTGTGGAACAGTGGAGTACATGGCACCGGAGGTCGTAAACCGCAGAGGACACACCCTTAGCGCTGACTGGTGGTCCTACGGCGTGCTCATGGTGAGTGCTGGAGTTCCAAATGCATCTGGATCTTTGACATTTATTACTCTGGGATGTGTTGAAATATCTGATATCTGGTATCAAGTGTTTCCTCATTCATATCTGCCTGGATGGGCCAATGTGTCCAATGGCTGACAGTGCCACTGATTAGACATGTTACTAAAACGTTTTCATCTTCCCCAGTTTGAGATGCTGACTGGGACATTGCCTTTCCAAGGGAAGGATCGGAAGGAAACCATGACCATGATACTGAAGTGCGTCTTACTCAACCTGTCTCGAGTACCAGTTTAACCAGGCGGTTAGCAAATAACAGTTTGATCTCAATCTACCATCGTAATTGTTTTGTTTGCACTGCAGGGCCAAGCTGGGAATGCCACAGTTCCTGAGCCAAGAGGCCCAGTCTCTCCTACGTAACCTTTTCAAACGCAACCCAGGCAACAGACTAGGTAATCAATCTCCATCACTAAAATGGTATTGTGCGCCATGGCTTGTAACTGAAGAGTGCTTAAAGCAGCAATCGGCAGTTGAAACAATAACAAAGTGCATCCCTGCCTGTTTCGGTAAAAAGCTGAGGGATGGGGCTGGAGAAATATAACCACTCTCAAATTCATAGACAGAGCTATGGATGCAAAGACTGACCATTCATGATATCAAAATTATAGTTTTAAATGTTTTTAGGCTATATAATGTTTTACATTTTACTTTGTTTACAAACATTGGCATAAAACATGCTTATATTTTGAGTTGTGATGGGGTACAACAGTTGAACTAAGCTCATGAGGCATTTTATAAGTTATCTTCTTCAAGAATCAATGGGTGCATATAATTAATTCACAAGTCCAAAGATGTATGTAGCAACCGCAGATTGCCCCTTTAAATATATCTCACTCAAATGGAAAAAATATCTTCACACTCTAGTCAGATTATAGTGTTTGACATTTGTCATCACTGAATGTTTGCACAACTGCAATCTTATTACAAAAGATACCACATGTATCCTGATGTAATGCGTGTGGATTTGTTGTTCACAGGTGCTGGTCCAGACGGAGTGGAAGAGATCAAGAGACATTCCTTCTTTTCCGTTATTGACTGGAATGTAAGTTTGCCTTTTCATTTGTGTGTGTGTGTGTGTGTGTGTGTGTGTGCCGTCTGCCTGCTCCTCTGTCCATGTGTTTTATAAATGCTTTTGATGTTTTTAACATGTTTAGGTTTATTCCAATGTTTTTCCCTTTTTCTTGGAACGCCTGTAGAAATTATTCAGGAGAGAACTCCATCCCCCCTTCAAACCTGCGAGTGGCAGACCTGATGACACCATCTACTTTGACTCTGAATTCACTGCAAAAACTCCACGGGGTAAATAACAGATTCTTGTTTGTCGCTTTTACAATACAATATCATAATTGTGTGTGTGTGTGTGTGTGTGTGTGTGTGTGAATGAAAAGTAGTGAGAGGATTGACATGAGGATTGTCCCCACAGACTCTCCCGGCTGTCCCCCGAGTGCCAACGCCCACCAGCTGTTTAGAGGCTTCAGCTTCGTGGCTATCTCAGATGAGGAGAGTCAACCGCCACAGAACATTAACATCAACATGACCTCTATACAGGTACCAACACACACGCACGGGATAGGTCCCTGTGTTTTATTATAATATGGTTGTGTGTGGAAATAACAGAATAACAGTCTCTGTATCTATCTCTTTCTTCAGCAACTCCACAGAAACACGGTACAGTTTAGTGACGCCTACGATGTGAAGGAGGACATCGGTGTGGGCTCTTACTCCATATGCAAACGCTGTGTTCAGAAGAGCAACAGTATGGATTATGCTGTAAAGGTGAGCTGTAACACTGTCAATATCTCACCCTGGGGCTGCCCATGGTAGAATGGTATGATTAACGGTTATTACTGATGTTGTTATCCCAGATCATCAGTAAGGCCAAGAGGGACCCCACAGAAGAGGTGGCGATTCTTCTGCACTACGGACAGCACCCCAACATCATCACTCTCAAAGATGTGAGTCATTACATCAGCAGTATGCTAATGAAGCAAGCAGCACTGTTGGCTTAAAAGCAAACAATTGTTACTGTTGACTGAAGTTACAGCAAGATGGTGCTATTATTCTAGATTGATATAAATGCAACAATTTCAAAGATTTTACTGAGTTAGAGTTCATATAAGGAAATCAGTCAATTGAAATAAATACATTAGGCCCTAATATATGGAATTCACATAACTGGGAATACAGATATGCATCTGTTGGTCACAGACACCTTAAAATAAATGTAGGGACGTGGATCAGAAACCGTCAATATCTGGTGTGACCACTATTTGCCTCAAGCAGCGTGACACATCTCCTTTGAATAGAGTTGATCAGGCTGTTGATTGTGGCTTCTTCAATGGCTGTGCGAAGTTGCTGGATATTGGTGGGAACTGGAACACGCTGTCGTACACGCCGATCCAGAGCATCCCGAAAATGCTCAATGGGTGACATGTCTGGTGAATATGCAGGCCATGGAAGAACTGGGACATTTTCAGCTTCCAGGAGTTGTGTACAGATCCTTGCGACATGGGGCTGTGCATTATCATGCTGAAACATGAGGTGATGGCAGCGGATTAATAACACGACAGTGGGCCTCAGGATCACGTCACGGTATCTCTGTGCATTCAAATTGCCACCGATAAATTGCAATTGTGTTCTATGTCCGTAGCTTATGCCTGCCCATACAATAAACCCACCGTCAATATGGGGCACTCTGTTCACAACGTTGACATCAGAAAACCGCTTGCCCACACAACGCCATACATGTGGTCTGCTGTTGTGAGGCTGGTTGGATGTACTCTAAAATGACGTTGGAGGAGGCTTATGGTAGAGAAATTGACATTAAATTCTCTGGCAACAGTTCTGGTGGACATTCCTGCAGTCAGCATGCCAATTGCACACTCCCTCAAAACTTGAGACATCTGTGGCATTGTGTTGTGACAAAACATTTTAGTGGCCTTTTGTCTCCAGCACAAGGTACACCTGTGTAATGATCATGCTGTTTAATCAGCTTCTTGATATGCCACACCTGTTACATGGATGGATTATCTTGGCAAAGGAGAAATGCTCACTAACAGGGATGTATACACATTTGTGCACAACATTTGAGAGAAATAAGGTTTCTTTTTCATATTAGGGTTGAATGGCGGGAACTCTGTTACTGAGATTTACCTAGATTTACCGCCCAAATCCACACCCTTTTCCCGGTATAAATAACTGCGAGAAACCGGTAAATTATAATAAGTTGTTTATATGAACAGCCTGGCGTGAAATGGAACTGTTAAATGATATGCGATGTCTAAATCTGGCTTCTCAACGGCCTCTGCATGATGAATCAACGCTCAGGGTGGGGACAGACAGCCCATCTCAGTATGGAGCAGCAGTTCACAATGCATGTAGTAGACCTATCATCTCATCATGGTAACTTTTTTTCTTGTGACAGGTAGGCCTACATTTGCGGCAGCATAGCCTATTCTACAGGAATATAAAGACAGAATGCGCGTTTAATTTACCCATCTCCATCTGGCGTTCAGGGGTCACCTTGTTTTTTAATTGTAAATATATCTTTTTTTATTGCAGCTACAGAGTTTTAAAACAGCGTATCACTCGAATACCGTTGCTTTAAATCTGTGCACGCGCGAGCACTCTTCTCCTTCCAACTCCATTAAAATTGCATCCAAAATAGATAATCCTGTTCTATATTTATTTATAATACACATATATACAGTGAGGGGAAAAAAGTATTTGATCCCCTGCTGATTTTGTACATTTGCCCACTGACAAAAGACAGTCTATAATTTTAATGGTAGGTTTATTTGAACAGTGAGAGACAGAATAACAACAAATAAGTCCATAAAAAAACACATGTCAAAAATGTTATAAATTGATTTGCATTTTAATGAGGGAAATAAGTATTTGACCCCTCTGCAAAAGATTACTTAGTACTTGGTGGCAAAACCCTTGTTGGCAATCACAGAGGTCAGACGTGTCTTGTAGTTGGCCACCAGGTTTGCACACATCTCAGGAGGGATTTTGTCCCACTCCTCTTTGCAGATCTTCTCCAAGTCATTAAAGTTTAGAGGCTGACGTTTTGCGACTCGAACCTTCAGCTCCCTCTCCAGACCTTAATCCCATAGAAAATCTGTGGACTGGCTAGGCCACTCCAGGACCTTAATGTGCTTCTTCTTGAGCCACTCCTTTGTTGCCTTGGCTGTGTGTTTTGGGTCATTGTCATGCTGGAATACCCATCCACGACCCATTTTCAATGCCCTGGCTGAGGGAAGGAGGTTCTCACCCAAGATTTGACAGTACATGGCCCCGTCCATTGTCCCTTTGATGCGGTGAAGTTGTCCTGTCCCCTTAGCAGAAAAACACCCCCAAAGCATAATGTTTCCACCTCCATGATTGACGGTGGGGATGGTGTTCTTAGGGTCATAGGCAGCATTCCTCCTCCTCCAAACACAGCGAGTTGAGTTGATGCCAAAGAGCTCGATTTTGGTCTCATCTGACCACAACACTTTCACCCAGTTCTCCTCTGAATCATTCAGATGTTCATTGGCAAACTTCAGACGGGCCCTGTATATGTGCTTTCTTGAGCAGGGGGACCTTGCGGGCGCTGCAGGATTTCAGTCCTTCACGGCGTAGTGTGTTACCAATTGTTTTCTTGGTGACTATGGTCCCAGCTGCCTTGAGATCATTGACAAGATCCTCCCGTGTAGTTCTGGGCTGATTCCTCACCGTTCTCATGATCATTGCAACTCCACGAGGTGAGATCTTGCATGGAGCCCCAGGCCGAGGGAGATTGACAGTTATTTTGTGTTTCTTCCATTTGCGAATAATCGCACCAACTGTTGTCACCTTCTCACCAAGCTGCTTGGCGATGGTCTTGTAGCCCATTCCAGCCTTGTGTAGGTCTACAATCTTGTCCCTGACATCCTTGGAGAGCTCTTTGGTCTTGGCCATGGTGGAGAGTTTGGAATCTGATTGATTGCTTCTGTGGACAGGTGTCTCTTATACAGGTAACAAACTGAGATTAGGAGCACTCCCTTTAAGAGTGTGCTCCTAATCTTAGCACTGTATATACACTACCGTTCAAAAGTTTGGGGTCATTTAGAAATGTCCTTGTTTTCAAAAGAAAAGCAATTTTGTTGTCCATTCAAATAACATCAGATTGATAAGAAATACAGTGTAGACATTGTTAATGTTGTAAATGGCTATTGTAGCTGGAAACGGCTGATCTTTAAAGGAATATCTACATAGGCGTACAGAGGCCCATTATCAGCAACCATCAGTCCTGTGTTCCAATGGCATGTTGTGTTTGCTAATCCAAGTTTATCATTTTAAAAGGCTAATTGATCATCAGAAAACCCTTTTGCAATTATGTTAGCACAGCTGAAAACTGTTGTGCTGATTGAAGAAACAATAAAACTGGCCTTCTTGAGACTAGTTGAGTATCTGGAGCATCAGCAATTGTGGGTTCGATTACAGAATCAAAATGGCCAGAAACAAAGAACTTTCTTCTGAAACTCGTCAGTCTATTCTTGTTCTGAGAAATGAAGGCTATTCCATGCGAGAAATTGCCAAGAAACTGAAGATTTCGTACAACGCTGTGTACTACTCCCTTCACAGAACAGCGCAAACTGGCTCTAACCAGAATAGAAAGAGGAGTGAGAGGCCCCGGTGCACAACTGAGCAAGAGGACAAATACAATAGTGTCTAGTTTGAGAAACAGACGCCTCACAGGTCCTCAACTGGCAGCTTCATTAAATAGTACCCGCAAAACACCAGTCTCAACGTCAACAGTGAAGAGGCGACTCCGGGATGCTGACCTTCTAGGCAGAGTTGCAAAGAAAAAGCCATATCTCAGACTGGCCATCTTAATCTTTTCTTTTTATTGGCCAGTCTGAGATATGGCTTTTTCTTTGCAACTCTGCCTAGAAGGTCAGCATCCCAGAGTCGCCTCTTCACTGTTGACGTTTGAGACTGGTGTTTTGCGGGTACTATTGTGTGTATATGAACTCAGCAAAAAAAGAAACGTCCTCTCACTGTCAACTGTGTTTTATTTTCAGCAAACTTAACATGTGTAAATATTTGTATGAACATAAGATTCAACAACTGAGACATAAACTGAACAAGTTCCACAGACATGTGACTAACGGAAATTGAATAATGTGTCCTTGAACAAAGGGGGGGGGGGGGGTCAAAATCAAAAGTAACAGTCAGTATCTGGTGTGGCCACCAGCTGCATTAAGTACTGCAGTGCATCTCCTCCTCATGGACTGCACCAGATTTGCCCGTTCTTGCTGTGTGAAGTTACCCTACTCTTCCACCAAGGCACCTGCACATTTATGGAGGGAATGGCCCTAGCCCTCACCCTCCGATCCAACAGGTCCCAGATTTGCTCAATGGGATAAACGCGAATCCGACCATCACCCCTGGTGAGACAGAACCGCGACTCATCAGTGAAGAGCACTTTCTGCCAGTCCTGTCTGGTACAGCGACGGTGGGTTTGTAAGGCAGGTCCTCACCAGACAACAGGCCTACAAGCCCTCAGTCCAGCCTCTCTCAGCCTATTGCGGACAGTCTGAACACTGATGAAGGGATTGTGCGTTCCTGGTGTAACTCGGGCAGTTGTTGTTGCCATCCTGTACCTGTCCCGCAGGTGTGATGTTCGGATGTACCGATCCTGTGCCGATGTTGTTACACTTGGTCTGCCACTGCGAGGACGATCAGCTCTCCGTCCTGTCTCCCTGTAGCGCTGTCTTAGGCGTCTCACAGTACGGACATTGCAATTTATTGCCCTGGCCACATCTGCAGTCCTCGTGCCTCCTTGCAGCATGCCTAAGGCACGTTCATGCAGATGAGCAGGGATCCTGGGCATCTTTCTTTTGGTGTTTTTCAGAGTCAGTAGAAAGGCCTCTGTAGTGTCCTAAATTTTCATAACTTGACCTTAATTGCCTACCGTCTGTAAGCT